ATTTGGATTTTTGTGTTCTCTTTTTCACAGTTTTCTATATACTACTACTAGGCAGTTACCCGAGACCCTTTTCAATGCTACATGCAACCGTAACCCCAATTCTGAAAAAGCCCAACCTCGATCCCAACTCCCCATCCAACTACCGCCCTATCTCGCTACTGCCATTTGCCTCCAAGATCCTCGAGAGAGTTGTCTACGCCAGATTGACAGACTTTCTTGAATCCAACTCTCTGCTTGACCCCTTCAGTCTGGATTCCGTGCTGGTCACTCTGTCGAAACTGCTGTGACCAAAGTATCCAACGATTTAATTGCTGCTAAATCTCGCGGCCAATACTCTATCCTAATCCTCCTTGATCTTTCTGCCGCCTTTGACACTGTTGATCATCAACAGCTTCTTCACATTCTCCGTAACTTTGGTCTACGGGATTCTGCTCTCTCCTGGTGCTCCTCCTACCTCTCCCAGCGCTCCTTCAGTGTTTCTTTCTCTGGCTCTGCCTCTTCTCCCCAACCCCTCCCTGTCGGCGTCCCCCAAGGTTCTGTCCTCGGCCCCCTACTGTTCTCTATCTATACTGCCTCCCTTGGTAAACTCATCAGCTCTTTTGGCGTCCAATATCATTTATATGCAGATGACACGCAAATCTACCTGTCCTCCCCTGATCTTTCTCCGCCCACCTTGACTCGTGTTTCTGACTGCCTCTCTGCTATTTCCAACTGGATGGCTGCTCACTTCCTTAAACTCAACCTGTCCAAAACAGAACTTCTAGTTTTTCCTCCCTCAAGTGCTGCTACTCCTGTGTCTGTCGCCATCCAAGTCAACGGCGCTACTATCACCTCTACCTCCCAGGCTCGCTGCCTAGGAGTTCTTTTTGATTCTGATCTCTCTTTTACTCCCCATGTTCAATCGATAGCCAAATCCTGTCGCTTCCAACTCAAGAACATAGCGCGCATCCGCCCATATCTAACGCCGGACGCGGCTAAGGTACTGGTTCATGCTGTTGTTCTCTCTCGCCTTGACTATTGCAATCCCCTTCTCACCGGTCTTACATGTTCCCAGCTTGCACCGCTGCAATCTATAATGAATACGGCTGCGAGGCTTATTTTCCTGTCCGGTCGCACCTCCCACGCCTCCACGCTCTGTCAGTCCCTGCATTGGCTTCCAGTTAGATATAGGGCCCAATTCAAAATTCTGGCGCTTGCTTACAAATCCCTACATAATGCTGCTCCAACATACCTATCCTCCCTCATACACAAGTATGTCCCGACGAGACCCCTGCGCTCAGCCCAAGACCTACTCCTATCCTCTGCCCGGATCCCCACCTCTGATGCTCGCCTTCAAGACTTCTCCAGGGCTGCACCTATTCTGTGGAACTCCCTTCCCTCCTCAATCAGACTTTCACCCAGCCTCCATTCCTTCAAAAAATCTTTGAAAACTCACTTCTTTATTAAAGCGTATCAATTAAACTGTCAGCAGGTTTCTCATCCCCCACCCCATGACTCCGTTCCTTCACCTGTCAAAAATGACCTACCAAGCACTCAATAAACCCTTCTGTAACAAACTGTTTAATTCCCCTACTTTAACCCTTTGTGTCACTATACCCCACTCCCTCTAGCATGTAAGCTCATCGAGCAGGGCCCTCAACCCCCTCTGTTCCTGTACGTCAGTGGTCTGATCTCAATTATGTGTCTGTTAGTCCACCCATTGTACAGCGCTACGTAATTTGTTGGCGCTATATAAATAATAAAATAATAATAATAATAATAATGCTCAACAAACCTTTTACATTAATAAGTTGAACATTTATGTGGAATAGAGAGACCATACTATATGTGCGCCTTTGCATGGAAACTGGGTGTTATTTGTAGCTTGGTGCTGCTGAGCGCAGTCACTGACATCGCATAGGTTTTGACAGCTAATAACAAATATTTTTTTTCCATTCCCAGATAGGGACAACCTAATTTTGTTGGTCTACTGGAGGTTTAATGATATCACAGCTATTCTTTACGTACCCTATTTTTCAGTCATGTCATTTCATTTTAAGAATGAACCAGATATTTTACCAGTGGATTGTTTATTCAAGGGTACAAGGACACATTTGTCCTTATCTTAGTGATATAACTGTCTACAGTCACTCCTAAGATGAGTATCTGAGCAACTTGAGAGATATGCTAAACGGTATTTACATAGGAGTTTAAACATTTTTCTTGATAAGTGTCAGGTGTAGAAGGTATAGCAAGCTGCTGCTCTCACCCAAAAGTAAAAAAATATCAAGAACTGACTCACTCCTAGTACTACGAATCAATTGATGGCATTTCTGTGCACTGCAGAATGTTACTTTAAAATTGTGTCTTCCTACAGGGTCCTTGCCCAGCCACTGACTAATCGGACCGGAAATGAAAAACCTTGCACGATGAACTGAACCATACTAGGACTTTTTTTTTTTTTTACTGGAGAAGGTCTTACAGTGACCAAAATCTAGCTGCCTCACAAGGCAACTACAGGTTTTTGAAAAGACCCTCATCTCCATGTTCAATGTTAGGTCTTTCATTAGCCATTTAAATTTAGAAAAGGTGGGATACATCCAGTGGCATACTTGAGTGGTGAACACTAGATTTAGAGGGTAATCATGTGGACAGAGTATTCTGCTCTAGTGTGGGCTTTAAAAATATTCCATCCCAACCTCTATGGTTGAGAATTTATCTTCACGATAGACCATATGACATTGCTGTTGGTAAACGAATTGCTTTTTGGGGAATAACATTTGGGGAGCCATGTCATCTGCTGGTGTTGGTCCACTGTGCTTCATTAAGTCCCTGGAGGAGTTTTATTTTCATATTAATGTGGATAGTGTCTCAAAACTTAACTAGAAACAAGTGGGTTTGTGGTTTATTTATATAGAGCCAGCAAATTCCAGAACGCTGTAGAATGGGTGGACTAACAGACACGTAATTGTAACCAGACAAGTTGGATTCACAGGAACAGAGTGGTTGAGGGCCCTGCTCAATGAGCTTACATGCTATGCCACCACTATATGCCCTTTCATACAATGATAGAAGTATGCCAAATCTGAAGATAGATAACTTTAGATTACTCTGTGTTTTGTTGTAGTGCCACCTATTTCAGTGTGTTATACTGTTACTACCTGTTGCCCCACATTGCTTTTTTGTTTGTTTGTTTGCTTGTCACATCACCATGGCTTAAATAGAGAGCTACTGAATGCGTCTTTGTATCAAATATATCCAGTGTTAACTTGTTTCTCTTGACAAATTGTCTGAATTTTGTCTTTGGACTGCTATAAATTCATTAAAGAAACACTCCAAGAACCACAACCACTACAGCACCCCCTCCCCAATATAAGTAATCAAACCAGTTGTTTACAGTGTGACATTTTAACTGGGATCCAGCAAGGACTGCTCCGGATATCTCTGTAGGTGGAAACTCTCTTAACTGAGTTAAGTTTGTGGGTGCAGGGCTTAGAATGCTCACCTTAGGTTCTCAGTCAGTGAGCTGGCCCAGCATGACAGGGTTTAGCTCAGCAAAGCTAACAGACGCTCCTAGCAGGAGCTTCTGGTTCTCACTTCCATATGCAGAGAGGCAGGGATGGTGCCCAGTAGACCCCAGGTAAGAAGTAAACGATGAGCAAATGGTTTGACTTCTTACACTGTGAATGTGTAATGGCACATCTGGTACCATAACTAATACAGTGCGTTTAGAGGTTATGGTGCTTTGTGTGTTCCTTTAACCCCTTAAGGACACATGACATGTCTGACATCTCGTGATTCCATTTTATTCCTGAAGCTTGGTCCTTAAGGGGTTAAGAATCATTGCAGGAGCCAATTACTTTGCCATTGAGCAGCATGCGTATTTGTAAAGAAAGTGTTTAGAGATGTTAAAGTAAAGAAGACGATAGCGATACTGACTGCAATAAGTGGCTAAAGTAAGCAACATAGATCTTTAAAACGGTCTACAACTTTGTAACACGGTTTACAATAAATAAATAAATAAATAAAAGGTTTCACTCTAGCATTACCAGCTTAGAAGACAACTACCCATGGCTCACCATACTCTCCCCACTCTATCTGTTCATATGACCTCAACCCCAAGTTCTTCCTTTATTTTAAACAGAACATTTTCCACCTTTATGAAAGTGGGATGAGTAGTGTATGCAACATGATTGTTTTATTTGTATAATTTATGTTTTCTGCCAGATGTTCCAATGCTGTTACACAATTTAATTATTCTAATGCACAATCTGTAATTTCACTTTTGCTGTGAATGTGAAATAAGCAACTAAAGAGAAATGTAAATACATTACAAAAATAAAAAAGGAGATTGATAATGTCTTCTTAGCCACTGGCTCTTGTGGGTAGAGGTGAGAGTATACCGTGATCTTGGAAAGTCAGCCCCCGCAATCTGTTGGTGTAATTAAAAAGTCTTGTCCGGTTTGCCTCTCCCCTTCGCATTGGAGGTGAGTGAGACATTGGAGGGAGCTAGGTGTTTGTTGCATCTAACATAATAACCACCAAAGCCAGATTAATGGTGGTTGTGAAAGAAGGAAAGGTGTTAAGTACTCATTTTGATTTCACATATATCTACTTGAACTCCTAAAGTAATACAAAGCATAATGTACAGGTGACAAAATTAGAATATCGTGCAAAAGTTCATTTATTTCAGTAATGCAACGTAAAAGGGGAAACTAATATAGGAGATAGACGCATTACATGCAAAGCAAGATAGTTCAAGCCGTGATTTGTCATAAGTGCGATGATTATGGCTTACAGCTCATGAAAACCCGAAATCCACAATCTCAGTAAATTAGAATATTGTGAAAAGGTGCAATATTCTAGGCTCACAGTGTCCCACTCTAATCAGCCAAGAAAGCCATAACACCTGCAAAGGGTTTCTGAGCCTTTAAATGGTCTCTCAGTCTGGTTCAGTAGGAATCACAATCATGGGGAAGACTGCTGACCTGACAGTTGTGCAGAAAACCCATCATTGACACCCTCCATAAGGAGGGAAAGCCTCAAAAGGTAATTGCGAAGGAAGTTGGATGTTCCCAAAGTGCTGTATCAAAGTACATTAATAGAAAGTTATGTGAAAGGGTTCAGTGTGGAAGAAAAAGGTGCACAAGCAGCAGGGATGACCGCAGCCTGGAGAGGATTGTCAGGAAAAGGCCATTCAAAAGTGTTGGGGACTTTCACAAGGAGTGGACAGAGGCTGGAGTCAGTGCATCAAGAGCCACCACACACAGACGGATCCTGGACATGGGCTTCAGATGTCGTATTCCCCTTGTCAAGCCGCTCCTGAACAACAACAAACAACGTCAGAAGCATCTTACCTGGGCTAAAGAAAAACAGACCTGGTCTGTTGCTCAGTGGTCCAAAGTCCTCTTTTCTGATGAGAGCAACTTTTGATTCTCATTTGGAAACCAAGGACCCAGAGTCTGGAGAGGCACACACGGCAAGATACTTGAAATCCAGTGTGATGTTTCCACAGTCTGTGTTGATTTGGGGAGCAATGTCATCTGCTGGTGTTGGTCCACTGTGCTTCTTTAAGTCCAGGGTCAACGCAGCCGTCTACCAGGAGATTTTGGAGCACTTCATGCTTCCTTCCTCAGATGAGCTTTATGGGGATGCTGACTTCATTTTCCAGCAGGACTTGGCACCTGCCCACACTGCCCAAAGCACCAAAGCCTGGTTCAATGACCGTGGGATTACTGTGCTTGATTGGCCAGCAAACTTGCCTGACCTGAACCCCATAGAGAATCTATGGGGCATTGCCAAGAGAAAGATGAGAGACATGAGACCGAACAATGCAGAAGACCTGAAGGCCGCTATTGAAGCATCCTGGTCTTCTATAACACCTTAGCAGTGCCACAGGCTGATAGCTTCCATGCCACACCACATTGAGGCAGTAACTGCTGCAAAAGGGGCCCAAACCAAGTACTGAGTCCATATGCATGCTTATACTTTTCAGAGGTCCGATATTTTTCTATGTACACTCCTTGTTTTATAGATTGCATGTAATATTCTAATTTACTGAGATTGAGGGTATGACAAATCACGGCTTGAACTATCTTGCTTTTCATGTAATGCGTCTATCTCATATATTTGTTTCCCCTTTTATGTTGCATTACTGAAATAAACTTTTGCACGATATTCTAATTTTTCCAGTATCACCTGTATACTATTCCACCATGTCTGGATTCAACTTTAATCTACATAAAATGATTGGTCTGACTATCCACTTTATGAATACTACAGTATACTTTTCTCATACATTCCATTAGTATTTTTCCCTACACTTTTTACTGTCACTACTAGGTATTAATTATAATAATTTAATTCCAATGACATTTATCATTGCAATTTCAATCTAAACAATAACTGCAAAGAATGGTGCATTATTTTGTTGACGTTTGCCAATTATTTATGACATTGCAAAGCAGTATCAGTAACTTTAACGAAAATGAATGTTTTCAAAAGATATAATAAACAAGCTTAATTTTTTTTGTTAAATTGGATGAGATGATAACAATTAATATATTTTGTAACATAGCCAATGCATTAATATCAAAAATCATTCAGAAACAATAATAATGGAAGCACAGGTAAACTTCCAAAGCATTAACATTCTCATTGTTAACAGTGTATTGTTCATGTTGGATCTATGCTTTGACGAAAACAGAAGTGGACATGGGTAAAAATGTAAACACAACAATTTTATTTAAAAAGTAAAACTAAAATTAAAACATTACTGGAACAAAGATTGCATTAAATTTAGCACTAAGAAGCATATACTAGGATACAAATAAATGTTGACAAAGTTCCAGCCTTTAGATTCCAATAATTAAAACGGCCAGAAAAGTAAAAATATTTGCAACTGTCTCAGTTGCAGTAAAACTATACATTACATATATTTAAAACAAAAGGCAATAATGATGGTAAAAAATGTTCTTATTTGAGAAGTCAAGGTCGTGTATTTTACACATTTATTGGGTCTTGATTATCATCGGATGAAGCGGTGCATCATGAAATCAATGGTTGTGCACCTGGGAAATTTGCCTATAGAACTCTCTTCCACTGGTGTAAACACTTTAATCTGTCTCATATGAGTATCTCTCCCATTCTGATGGTTTGCCAAAACTGCAATCTGAATCATAAAGGTACGAATTGGTTTTTTATGAGCATCAGTTAAAGGGACATGTATCCATCCACTTGGTTCCACCAATTCGAGTTGCTGTTAAAGAAAAAAAATATATATTAGGAAAATACATTTTTATACACACTATAGTAAGTCAAAGAAAAGAGGTTCATCATTTAATAGAGAAAAGAAAAAACAAACCAGAAATCAATTAACCATTTATTAACATAACACAGCACCAGAAGTGGTGTGTACTTTACGTATGAGGAGAGGAGTTCGCATCTTCCACTGCTGCTTGAAACTTAAACAAAGGTACCGGACTTCAAATAAAGCCACTGTCATGTCATTTAATTGAACATGATTTAAAAAATGTTTTATTTTATTTATTACTACTTGTGCAAATTGAGGAATTTTCAAACCCTTTGGCTTTTGACTTTACGTGTTTGCTCCTATCTGTATTCCTGACATTGGCTTGTTACTGGCTATTCTATTTATGTTAATTCCGGCAATTCTAAGGCCTGGTAATACGTTTTTCCATAGTTTATATTTTATCCGTGTTTGACTTAATCCCGCGTGTTGCGCCACTGTACTGTCCTGACAATAACTAGATGAAACATACAGCCCTATAGTGCAGGGTAAAAACTGCCTCTAGTGGCACTTCCAGCAGTTTCACATAGTTTGACTCTTAAAAAAATCTGGATGTCCTCTGGCTATGAATGACGATGTCCAGTGTCCTCAAAATTCCCATAGGAAAGTATTGATTAAATGCTTTTCTATGGGGAAGGCATAATGCAAGTAAGGAGGTTTCCCCTTGGCACGGATGTCAGAGGAGGTGTAACCAGAGCCAGTGACGAGGGACTTCAGCACTGGAATAAGGGGAGTTAAAGAGAGTCGCAGGGAGGGAGAGGAACACTTTAGTGTAAGGAATACTGTTTTGTATTCCTAACATTATAATGTTCCTTTAACCCTGCAACTGCAAACATTGCTGTTCTGCAGTAATGGCAATGTTTACAGTGATGGTTTTAAATGCCTCTGGAAGCCTTCATCTGAGGTTGAAAAGGGTTATCTGAACATGGGTGTATTTATTTATTTTTCTATCAATACATCTGAATTTACCAATCATCTCTTTCCCCTTATCTTCTTAATTTGGGGATACATAAGTTGTCCTGGTTCTAGAGGAAGAAATTCTTCCTGTTAAAGTCCACTACACCTTGGTATTCTCATATTCATAATTATCCTGCACAAATTATGTATTTTTCATACGTGCTTTCTGCTCTTCAATTAGCTTGTATATTAGATTACCTATACGAATAAAGTGCTAATGTAAAACCTGTTCTAGGTAACATTATTATTTACCTGGAGTTAACTAAAATGTGACTTGTGTATTTTGCTTGACTTCACCATTAAAGATGCAGAAGAAAAATAAAATGTAGATGTAAGGTAAACGTATGAGTAACTTAGTTTAATGAAAATAAAAAAGGAAAAAAGCTTTATGTGGAAAAGTCACACAGAAAAAGGTTAGCTTTGGAAAAATGAAGCATCTTGCCAGAAGATCTATATGTATGTTTTCCTGTCTGGAAGATTCTGAATAACAAATGTCATGCAGAAAAAAAAGGGCTTGCCCTCAAATCTATAGTCACTTGTCCTATAACAGATATCACGGCTGAGCCATAGCACCATACCTGTCAACACTTAAAGTGTTAGAAACTGGCCACCAGCCACCTAGTTTTATGCAGAAAGAAGACAAACTTGTAGAAGTGAGGCAGTAGTTCCAAAAGGCAGATGATGTCTGATCCAAAAGAAACTTCCAAAGTTCCAGCTGAGTTAAAAGGAGGGCCCCTACAAGGGACGCTTTAAGGAAAAACCCAAACAAAAACAAGCAGAATGGATCCTAGTGAAAGAGTCAATTGTAGGAAGAAAGCTCTTTTATAGCAGCAAACAGTTATGAGACATTAAGACCACCATGTAAGGAGATGAGTTCTGCATTTTTGGCAGTTTCTTGTAGTAGATCAAAAAGTTTGATTTCTAGTTCAAATAGCTAGAGAAAAGTAATGTTGAAAAAAAGGTGCAGTGCAGACTGAACAAGCTTGGTGGCAGGAGTGACGTAAACAAAATCGCCATGAAATGCAGTTGATAAATGATTAATTTAAATTTTTTTTTTTTAAATCTTAAAAGGATAAAGAGGAAGGCTGCAACAAAAAATTAACTGTTAATTTTCTAGTAAACGTAAAGGAAAACACTTATGCAAGTGTATAAAAGAGAAATTTAGGGGACAAAAATAAAGTTAATAACTTTTCCCGTTTTATAGATTTTCCGGGTATCAGATACATTTCGACTGACAACTAAAGGCTTTTGAAACGAGAAACTGGTTGAGACCCTTAAACCTATCCTGGTCTGCACTGGGAAACTGGTGAGTAGGAGTGCAAGAATGTTAGCACAGATTATCATGCTCTCTAATCTCTAATACAGAGCAGTGAAATGGACTTGAGCATCAATGAAGGAAATGGTTATAAACAGTGGAAAAGAACTTGTGTTCACGCCTGTGAATTGGTTTCCTCTTACTCATCACTCTTCCTATTGATGGAAGATGAAGTGATGTTTCAATTTCATACATAGACGAAGGATGAAAAAATGTGGGGTGGCCCGACAGCTGGCCTTGACCTGTAATCTGCTGCCTTGCCCAATTTTTGTTTAAGGAGGCTATGCTCAGGTCGGCAAGAGAAGCACCGGAACAGGTGTATGAGGGGAATGTGCTAAAACAGTACCCGGATCTATCCTCTGTTACCTTAGATTATAGGAGAGTATTATAGGAGAGAGCTGGTTACGCAAAGGATCAGGTAACAGTGGATGATGCCTATCAGGCTAATGTTTTTTTTAATACCACAGGGTCCAAAAGCTCTGCTGTCCTACCAAGATTTTAAGTAAAAATGGGGAATTGGCTACAACTACTCCTATTCAATGTGCTCTGCCCAGACCCTCTTGACTTCTACCGCTCATTTGCACAGAGACCAAGGAGAAGAGAGAGGAAAAATCACCAGGCCAGGAGGCTCCCAAATTCGCCTATAGGAGAGACTACGCAAGTTTTCTTTTGGGTTTCTCAGCATGGGATCTGGCGTGCCTTGAGCTAACCAATTCACGGATCTTTGCATGTTCCAAGCATTATTCTTATATACAGATTGACCATGCTGCATTGGAGAAGAAGAAATGGGTTGGGGTAACCGGACTTAGATATATACATATATATATATACATATATAGCAGCACCCCCATTTATGCATGTTAAGGTGAGTGCAGCCAACCCCCTCTTGTTTTATATATATATATATATATATATATAAAATACTGACAGTCTTGCACTCCTACTTACTATTATATTTTCATCCGGTGCTTGATAGCACAATCTTATATACAGCCGAAGAAGGGGGTATCAGCACTCCAGGGTTTTCCAAATTGTCTTTTATTGGAAGTCTGTCAACATAGGTCTATATGTTGACACACATCCAATAAAATAACATTTGGAAAACCCTGGAGTGCTGATAACCCCTCCTTCGGATATATATATATATATATATATATATATATATATATATACACACACACACACACATATATATATATAAAAGATGCCAGCATAACAGAGTATTGAAGTATGCAATGATACCTTTTTTATTGGACTAACAATTTTTATGCCGCACAGCCAAATTCTCTGGAACTGTTTTTGGCATGAAACCATGCGTATGATCTGGGTGATTTTGGGATATGTTGGTCCCCCAGGTCAGGGCTATCAGGGGATGTAATATTTGTGGGGATTTTTTGTGTTTTTGGTGTACTTTTGGGGTTTTGTAATATATGTGTTTTTTTTTCTGCCTGGAGATAATTGGGTTAATACATTATCTGACTCAATTATCTCTCAGGCAGAGGGGAGAGACTGTATGCTATGGGAGTGCCTTACATTGTAAATGTGTTATTATTGGTTTGTAAGTTTGTGTCCCTGTCCCCAACAAGGTCCATGTTGGCGTATATCCTGCTTGGGAACTTGCATTAAAAAGGCCAGTGTGGCTCCCATTAAAGAGAGATTTGTTTACCCCTTCCTGAAGTCTTGGCTCATGTTTGGGGGACTGGAGAACTACATTCACTCTGGGGATTGCTATTTCACAATACTCCCCTGAGTATAATCACTAGCTCTTATCAGAGCTGTTCCTGCTACGCTCTCTGGACTAAGAGATGTCTACCCACTGGAATCTTGATCCTGGTCTTGGGTCCAGGGTGGGTGGACGACGACGAGACCCCAACCAAGCAGCGGCGGTTTGTGGGATGTACTGTGGTTATGGTGTTCCAGTACAGTGCTTATGGTGCTCAGGGTGCCAGGCGGTCCATCAAACATACACACACAAACACACATTTATAAAATTTAAAATGACACAAAGAAATGTGGGGCAATCCTTATTTACAGGCCTACGTGAACGTCTGTTTCGGCACACCACAACCAACTTACGCTCTTTCTCTGCATTTTTCCTTGACTACGAAATAATAAAAGTCTTCATAGTGCCCCCCCGTCCCCACCCCCAATCCATGTATAGTATGTGTGTATAGGGGTGAAGTGTTTGTATAGGGGATTTATTAAATTAATGATTTAAGAACAAATATTAACTTTCCCTTCCCTGTTACCTTGTTGAGAGAGAGAGGCATGCTGATCTCTGGTGTTCCAGTGTGCTGGGAATCTGATCTGTGCCTCTCTGTGGTTCAAACCATGAAAAACTCACAAGCTCAGGCATTTGCAGTGTCAGAGCTTTCCTGTGGTAATTCGCTGCAACACTCAGATAGGCCCGAGCTAGGAAGACAGCTACTCATGGTCTGCAGTCAAGAGAAGTGCAGGCCAAAAGGGAAATTTTCCTTATTTACCTTGACCTATTTGGAACAAAAACTCCTAGTAGTGCACTGTTTATCCATTTATCACTGAGCTCCACAGCAACAAAAAACCCTCACAGAACTATGTGGTGTAATGACCACAAACACACAGTTACAGATGGTCGCGCACACAGTTACAGGCAGACACTCACACAGTTACAAGCAGACAGTCACGCACAAAGTTAGAGGCAGTCACACACACAGGCAGACTAAGTATATTACATAATACTGCGAATTGTTTTGCTTTGTTCACATCACACAGCTCAACACCATTCAGGTGGCTGACTGGAAAGTCTATCAATCTTCGGCACAGTAGCTTAGTATACAAATAGTTCCATTTCACCTAACAAACTTCCTCTGTGTCTTCATGCCACCATTACCTCCCTCTATGCCAAGATCCTTAACATTTCTGTAAAGCGATTACTCAGAAAATTTCAACACCAACGGGTGCACCTAGTTTAACTGCAAGAGACTCACTTCCAGGAGGGGCAGGTCCCAAAACTGACCAATCAATTCTCAGGGCTATTTCATTAATAACCCCTCAGGGAAATCCAAGGGTATCACGATTTTATTCCATAAAATCACTCCCATTTTTTTTTCAAAGTGACTCTGGCGGATCAGGAAGGAAGATAGGTCATGGTTAAGGGTAAGATCCTATATATTATTTGCGAACCTCTACATCCCAAATTGCCATTAAGATAAGTTCTTAAAGGTGGCACTGCTGGTCTCATTTAGTTACTCTGAGAGATACCTAGTCCCGTGAGGCGATTTTAATGAACCTCTAAACCCTTCTCTGGATATCTCTGTAAGCACTTTCTCAATCCTCAAGTACATCTTACAGGTGGTGCTGGATGACCAACGATTAGTAGACTGTTGGAGGGCTCTACATTTAGATGAAAGGGACTACGCCTTCTAATCCACCCTAACTTTGTCCTACTCCAAACTGGACTACTTCTTTCTTCCTCATTACTTTCTAGCCAACTTGAGGCAAACCACCATAGGCACGGCGATTATGTCAGACCTTGCACCTGTTACCCTGCTGGCAGACTTTAACACATGTCCACTATCCGTTGACTTGCTCTTCCAAGACACTTAGTCGAGAATAAACCATTACTTTCATGAGAATGACAATGGTGATGCTGCCCCATTCTCCATCTGGGAAACACATCAATGGGTCATGCCGGTAATTTTTTTTTTTTTATTGATAAGGCAACGGTGCTAAAGAAGGCCAGGAAGGCCTAATTCATGCAGCTTCTTCAGGAAGTAGTGTTGACACGCTGCACAAAACACTCACATAAACCAGTGCATACTTTATTTTTCTGATAAGATTGCAGACACACTTCATGATTACTTTTCTAAACTGTACTCACTCACAGATCCAATTGCACAGAAATGGCATTCCTGACTCAGGGACCAACTCCAAAATTGCCTACAATTCCAAAATAGGAGGCAAGAGACAACATACTTCCTTATCCATCAATCTTGCCTGTCTACTCTTACTCTCAAAAGACCTTTGACATGGTGGACTGGGAGTTCCTCTTAGAAACCCAAACAAATAGGATTGGACCCACACATGCTTACCTGGATCTGACCCATCTATTCTACACACACAGCCCGGATGTGTGGCAATGGATTCATTGCACCCTTCCACATCTGCAGTTGATATTTCACCGGTGCGCTTTGCCCTTGAAACCCTATTGAATGCAATCAGACAAATCCCGACCATTTCAGGCCCCCTGGCAGGTAACACAGAGCACAAAGTCACTGCCTATGCAGATGTCTTCTACTTCTTTGTAACAAACCCAGAAATCACCCATTCCAATATTATAGAGTTCCATAAATATGTACTATAGCTAATTTGCGCATAAATTAGTCCAAATTCACGGTTCTTAATGATTCTGTACCCACAGCCCAGGCTAACCCAGTGCTATATCTTTCCATTCCAGTGGTCAGATCATTCCATTAAATATCTAGAGGTGTGTTTGACAAAGAAGTTTTGCCACTTATACGAGATGTATTTCCAACCACTCCATGATAGATTTGGCCAAAATCAAAAAGGAGTCAATGCCATCCCTCTCCTGGTTTGGCATGGTCAGACTCAATTAGATCGACCTCTTACCCAGAACACGCTTTTAAAGCTTTCCACACATTCAAACCTCAAGCCAATAGTTCTAACACCTTTTATTTTACATCCCTTCGGCCACTCATCACCAAATACATTTGGCAGAAGAGCAACCCAGCATTAGCTACACGACCCTGGCTTTTTCCAAAACGTTGTGTGTGTGTGTGATCTTTAAAATGTTACTACCAGGCAACACACTCATGGATTGTGGAGTGGGCCAAAGAGGGGGTATATAAACTATGGAAAGAAGTTGGAGCCGTAGCTGGGTAGGCCAATGGCAGAACTAATCTGGATGGATCTAGAGCATAGTTAAACAGTAGCTGTACCACATTCATTATTATAGGCCACCCTATAAGTGTGGCAGACTGTGGCACTTAAATGGGAGCTTAGGTCTTTCCCTTCCCCTCTGCTTCCCAAAATACACAAATCAGCCTTTTCACCATCACTTTAAGCTAAGATTGTTCAACAACTCTTATGACGGCCACTGGTATGACACTTGATACAGGACAGACAGGTAAAACCTATATCTACCCTAAGGGAGGGGCTGACCAATCCTTCATGATGCAGGTCAGGGATAGACAACTAATCTCTTTACCACAACACCCTTTACTGCTTTGCGACTTAGCTTCGTTCAAAGCATTCTGCTCTGGTTATTACCCCATAGACCATGGGATAACGCTTTTCATTGCTACTGCCCAACACCAGGCTAGGGACCCTTTATTTAAACTCTTTTGGAAAATGGTAGGAAACCCTTGGGCTTTCCATCAAACCTAAGCAATGGCAGAAGATTTGTGATCTTACACTACACGGTGCCAATTCCAGTAAATCACTTTGGTACAAAATGTCACACCTATTGCACACAATTGATACCAGACAGAAGAATCAATGCTGGCTATATCAGGGAGTGTAGTGGACCTTTCTTCATATTTGGTGGGACATTCTCAAAACCTTTTTTAGGTGACCCGCCACCTTTTACACCTGCCTACATGTTAATACACCACACCAACACAAGTTCGTCAGTAATAAAAATATACACTGTCTTTTTGGTTCCAATTTTAATTGGTTTTATGCCTATATAAACCCTCTCTAGCCAGGTGTATGTTTTTACTTTATTTGAAAAAGCCAAATGTTACTACTTTGTATTTCAACTATTAAAGGATTTTGGTCACTACACATATGTGCTGTGCCAATTACCTCTTTTATTTAGTTTTAATATTTTTTTCATAGTTCCTGGCATATTTTAGCTCTACTCCAAAGCAATCCTAGGTGGGGATCAAACCACCAACACAGTCATCATAGAGCAGTTAGTCTGCTCTATATTTGTGAGTATATTCGAACTATTTATTATCATATACATCACTTTTACACTAATTACAGTCTTTCTGCTTTTGTCTTTTAATATACATCAACAAGAAAATAAAGACAGCTGCCCTACCCAAAAAAAAGTCCTTGCTGTACTAAAGACTAAAACGTCTACTATCAAGAGACTTTTATTTGTGAGGACTATCACATTGACCTATTTCTTGTTTGTTCCAAAAATCTATTGGTGCATAATCTTTTTATTTCTGTATATTCTCTAAAAGGTTTAGAGGGATTCCCCTTTTAGGGTTGCTGCCCTTTTCTGTTGATTAATGCTGAACCATTTTTTGTATTCTAACAAGTTCGTCAGTATACAGAATATCCCTGACTTTTCTGACACTTAATATGGCCAAAGGGCTCATACCCCTATATTGGAAGCAGTCCACCACACTACCTATGCTTGACTCCACCATATGGAAGACCTCATATTATCAGTCATTCCAATAAAAGGTAAAGATTTGCACATTGATTCTAATAGGGATTTTTTAGGGAAGGGGCGAGACCGAAGAAAGGGAGAAATAACGGAGTTCTTTCCCCCCAGGTCTCAAGAATTACCCCTAACCAATCGATTCATGCCACTAAGAGAGAGAAATACCCCGGGGAAAAGAAGGAGATTGAGTGGAGGGACAATTAGAAGAAAAATTGGGTGTTTTTAATATTTCAAAATTTGACATAACCCCTCAGGAAATTTTTCTTTTAAGTAAGGGTTTGAAGTTTGTTCCAGAAGAACCCCCAATTTTTTTTCAGTTATTTATAGATGCCCAGAAGTTTATTAGGAAAATGTCAATTAAGAGATTTTTTATTAAGAAAAATAAGGAAGGTTGTATAAATGATGCACCCAACACAGGAAGGAGTTGACCATCAAGAGTGCAGATAAGGGAGGGGGCATTGTAATTATGTCAACTGAATATTATGTGACCGAGATTTATAGACTACTTGATGACCACCTCACCTATAAGAAGTTAACTTATAATCCGAATTTTAAGTTCAATCAAGAACTAAAGATCCTTTTAAATAAGGCTAAATTGTCAGGCGCCCCTGACGAACCCACTTACTCCTTTATTTTTTCTGAATTCCCCAAGGTACCCACCCTATATTTTCTTCCGAAAATCCACAGGTGTAGAGAAAGACCACCTGGTAGGCCGATCATTAGCGGCATAGACTCTCTGACATCGAAGCTCTCTGAGTATATTGATTTCCATCTACAAAAGTATGCTCAGGGAGCGATGTCATATCTTAGAGACACTAAACATCTGATCCAAGAATTAAAATCAATCAAGTGGATGGATATGTTTGGGTTACCTTAGATGTAACCTCTCTCTACACCGTTATCGATCATGATCTCTGTGTTGAGGCGGTTAAGAACAATTTAGATAATGACATCAACCTTACACCCATATTCCGCACCTTTTTAGAAGATGCTATTCGCTTTATTTTAACCCACAATTTTTTCAGCTTCGATAAAGAATTTTTCCTTCAAACTAAGGGCACAGCAATGGACACCAAGTTTGCACCTAGTTACACCAATGTATTTATGGACTACTGGGAGAGATTGTCAATTTGGTCCAATAATCCCTATGGTGCAAACTTGGTGCTCTGGAGGCGCTATATTGACGACATTTTGGTCATTTGGCGCGGTCTTCTGGATGAACTGGAAAAAATGTTCAAGTACATTAATCTCAACTCTCTATCCTTAGTGTTTACCCCCCAGGTGGGCATCTCCAATATAGATTTTCTCGATTTATCCATTTTCATTGAAAATGGGGGCATTAAGACTAAAACCTTTTTCAAGACTACCGACACGAACAGCTTTATTGACACTGCAAGTGGACACCATCCAAACTGGCTTAGGGGTGTCCCTAAAAGCCAGTTTATCAGGATGCGTAGAAACTGTAGTGATTTGGAGTTGTTTTATTCACAAGCGAACATCTTGAAAAGTCGGTTTCTAGAAAAAGGTTACCATCCGGAACTTCTAGATGCCGAGATAATTTTATTTTATTTTATTTATAAAATATTTTACCAGGAAAGATACATTGAGATTTCTCTCGTTTTCAAGTATGTCCTGGGTCCACAAATCATTGCATTGTTACATTAGGTACAACAAAATACAAAAACAATATTAATACACAATATATACAAAAGTTAACATAGAACAGGCAGGAAATATATAATCAACCATGACACGTGCATTCTGTTTTGAGGTATGTAGAGAGGGATCTCTTAAATGACTTTAGGCTTAGGGAAGATTTTAAATTGTGCGGGAGGTCGTTCCACAATTGCGGCGCTCTGTAGGAGAAGGAGGATCGGGCCGCTTTCTTTTTGTATTGAGGTAGACTAAGTAAAGTGCTTGTACTGGATCGGAGCTTATAGAAAGTGGTCACAGCTGGGGAAAGCATTTTGTTCAGGTAGGGTGGGAGTTTCCCAGAAAAGCTCTTAAAAACAAGGCTGGAAAGATGAATGGTGCGTCTGGATTCCAGCGACAGCCAGTTTAGTTCCTTTAGCATGTCACAATGATGGGTCCTGTAATTACATTGTAGCACAAATCGGCAGAACGAGTTATACAATGTGTTGAGTTTATTAATGTGGGATTGCGATGCAGACGCATATACTACATCCCCATAATCAATGATTGGCATCAGCATTTGCTGTACAATCTTTTCCTTTACTGTAGGGCTTAGGCAGGCTTTGTTTCTGTACAGGGCACCTAATTTTGGATAAAGTTTAGATGCAAGCTTTTCTATGTGCAGGCCAAAAGATAGATTGGGGTCTAATATCATACCCAAGTATTTGAAAGAGTGGACTGCGGTCAGTGTGCCATTTGAATTTGTTTTGATGGATAGGTGGGGATTGTGTAATTTGTGTAATTTAGGTACTGTTCCAAAGATCATTGTGACAGTTTTGTCAGTGTTCAGGAAGAGTTTGTTTTTTGCGATCCACTTTTCTACCTCTGTAAACTGGTCTTGGAGCAAAGCCTCAAGTTGCGGTAGATTGGATTTGCTCGCATAGATTACTGTGTCATCTGCGTACATGTGTACATTTGAGGATTGGCAGACATTAGGCAGATCATTTATAAATAATGTAAATAGTAGGGGGCCGAGAATGGAACCCTGGGGAACACCACACGTGACTGGGAGAGGGAGGGAGTCACTGTCAGAAATGGACACATATTGCAAGCGATCCGATACATACGATCGAAACCAGTTTAAAGAATGATCACCAATACCTGAGTTTTCGAGTTTGTGCAGTAGAATGTCGTGGTCTACTGTGTCAAAGGCCTTAGCAAAATCAAGGAAAATAGCTCCAGTTAGGGCTCCTTGTTCCATGCCAGTTTGGATATCATTGCAAACTTTTAGGAGGGCAGTTGTAGTGGAGTGATTCTGGCGAAAGCCTGATTGATCAGGGGTCAGATAGTTTAATTGTTGGTAGTACTCACAAAGTTGCGTATGGACACATTTTTCTAAGATTTTTGACAATACCGGGAGCAATGATATTGGGCGATAGTTAGAAACCAAAGTAGTGTCACCACTTTTATGGATAGGCACTACTCTCGCAGTCTTCCAAAGTTTGGGTATGTATCCAGACACCAAGGATTCGTTAATTAGAGTTGAGACGGGTTTAGCAATTGCCGGCGCACTGAGCTTCAACAGCATTGCTGGGATTTGATCAGGTCCGGACTGGTTTTTCATTTTTAGATTATTAAGATGTTTTTTAATGACACTAACAGGTACAGGTCTAAAATTAAACTTATCTATATTGGGCCTTTGCAAATTTAGTGGGGCCTGATCCACATTTGTAGTTTCAGGATGCGTGTCATTTATTAGCTTGGCAATCAGGGCAGTAGAGCATCCGACAAAATAATTGTTAAAGGCATTTGCTACATCTAAGGGAAGTTGCAGGGTTTGGTTACCCACTTTGACAGTGGAGGGTTGGGAGTGGATTGGGGGAGTTTGTAGTTTATTTATGACTTTCCAAAAGTTTCTAGGGTTTGAGATGTTACTGTTCAGATTTTCATAGAAATATTGGACCTTGGCCAGTTTTGTCTGTTTTGTGCATATATTTCGCCATTGTCTATATGCACCGTGATCATTCATAGAGCCAGTACGCTTAAACTTTGACCACAAAGAATCCCGGAACTGGTACATTTGGATGAGGTCAGCTGTGATCCAGTTCATATGTGCTCCTTTTACCCTCACCTTATGCAGCGGGGCATGCAAATTCCAAATTTGTAAGAGTTCAGACTGAAAATATTCAACAGCACAGTCTAGATCTGGGATAATGTTTAATGTGTGCCATGAGAGATTCTTGATGTCATTTAAAAAGGATTCAAGATTACATTTTTTGAAGGACCTAGTTATTTTAACCTTGGGAGAGGATTTAATAGCCTTTATTTTGCGCACGCAGTACATTAAACAGTGAACACTGAACGTGTTTGGGAGAACACCAACCTCCTGGATTCTATCAGGAGAAGTGGAGAGAATCCAATCTAGCAGGGTATGGTTATGGCTTTTAATGTTTATGCGAGTTGGGGAGGAGATTAATTGCGTTAGCTGCAAAGTCTTAAACAGCGTGCAAGAACTATTATTTTTAGGGTTCAGCCAATCAATATTAAAATCTCCAAAGACCAACAGTTCACTTTTTGGGTTTTGAGCTATGGTTTCACTAAGGAGATGGGCTATGTAAGGAAGGGAATGCACAGGGGAGCTAGGTTGGCGGTAGATTCCTGCAACAATGATTGATTTACTGCACGGGATCTCAATTGTGCCAGAAAGGAAATCAAAGATGGCAGGAGGACTAAGTTTTGTAAAGGGGTAAACTTTATGGAATTGTCAACATAAATAACAATGCCTCCTCCTCTCTTTGCTCTGTCATTTCTAAAACATGAATAACCCGGTATTTTAGACGTTAACCATGATTCTGAGAGCACAATGATTTTTGGTTTGTAATGGGAACACCAGGCTTGCAGTGCATCCAGTTTAGGGAGTAAACTATGGATGTTGCAGTGCACAAAAGAGAGGCCTTTTTTAGTGGGGAGATTAGGACTAGAATTAGCTGGGGGACCAGGGTTAGACTCCACATCATTTGCAAGGGCAAGTAACATAAGGAGTAGGAATTTGGACATCATCTTTGTTTGGCCATATAGTGAATGGGATAATTTATAATTTTGTGAGTTTGGGGTAGGAGGGCTATTTTGTATAACTCTCCACCAGCACTCAGCAGATAAGTTAAAGGAACAGAGCAGGCCATGGTGTATTATAATTTGTGTTCCAGTTTGAGGTGTGTGCTTATGCTGGTAGTGGTGTGAACAAAATAGGATTGAGAAAAGGGTTATTAAGAATAACAGTATGGTTATATTAGGATTCATGTTAGTGGTATGAGGTGTGTAGTTGAAAATGAAACAAATTGTGAGAGAAATTTTTTTTTTTTTTTAAATAGAAGTATATGGTTTTGGTGTGTGATATATCTATTTGTAGTGACAGGGGGTATGTGTTCTATAGGGTTAAGAGATTGAAAGGGTGTGCTGATCAATGGTTCACCTGTCATTTCAGTAGATTGAAAGTTGTGTGGGAGACTATCTACAAATGAGAAAATGACCATGGGGTGGGTGGGCGAGGGGTAGGGTGGGAGGGAAAAGTCAGTCTTCCAGAAGGCTACCTGTTTCAAATGGCCATGGAACAGCTGATGGAGCTCTGAGTTCTATGCTGGACTGGGTATGTTTAAAAATCAGACTGTGGGAGAGAGATGTATATTAGGGTCAGATGGGCTAAGAGATGGGGGGGTGCATAGATGGACATTTGATTTAAGGTCATTTAAGGAAAAACAAAAGCAAAGATTGAGAATTACAGAGATAAGACAGAGGTATTTAAGTAGGGAAATAAAACCATTAAACAAGGAACAGGAAAGATATATGGGCCTGAGCTGGTTAAACTAACTTTTAACATGATGGACAAAGACAAAGGTGATAAAATACTTTGCATGATTAGGGAATATCAATAGAGATGACCTTTTGGTTGACAAAAACAAAACGGACATTAAAAATCCTATGTTCGATTTCTCTTTCAATACCCAATATAGCTCCAGAGCTTTCGACATACAAAAGATCATTAAGAAACATTGGGGGTTGCTCATTGAGGATGATTACTTGAACACCCAGATTCCCCAGGTTCCTAAAATTATTTTTAGGAAGGGAGTGAATTTTAAACAAATTCTTGCACCTAGTACCTTTCGATCAGGGAATAAAACAGCCAAAACCAAAGAAGGTTTTCTTACGTGCGGGAATTGTGTTAGTTGTAATCACCAACATAAAACTGTTACTAATTTCAGCAGCACCCAAACTAAAAAGACATTTAAAATAAAAAGTCTAGTCTCCTGTTCCTCCACCCATATTGTATACCTTCTGACATGTGGATGTGGGTTGCAATATGTGGGGAGGACTGGAAGAAAAGCTAAAATTAGATTTCAGGAGCATCGAAATAACATCAGAAAACATATGTTAACTCATTCAGTGCCAGTGCACTGTAATAAATGCCCTTCTTTTAATTTTAACACTCTTCAATGTACTGTTATTGAACAGGTAGTTGTAGATGAGAGAGGTGGCGATCTTGGGTTGCTGTTGAGGAAGATAGAGGGATATTGGATTCATACTCTACAAACTATGCAGCCAAAGGGACTTAATGTCGATTTTGATTTAGTTTGTTTTCTTTATATAAGTTTTTGATATGTTCTTTATTTTTTTTTTATTCTTTATTTTTGTTGTGCATTATGGGTTACAAACATGCCTGTTATGCCACGACAGCAGTCACAGGAATATCAACGTAAACATAGTCATGACAGGTTTAAGCTGCACATTTTTATAAGTAAGTATGCGTACGAATACATGCGATCCATGTTAAATGAAGGCGAGTTGTTGATAGTTATGCTTATTAACAGGTGGTTGTTGTTCTATGCCCGGCACATTTTAGCAATCATTTGACTTAAACAATTATTAAACTTAGGGGAAACCAGCTTAGACTAGTAGTGTTACACATATATCAGAAATACAGTTTTGCTCATACTTAGATTATTAGGTCCATTTCCTGTCCTAGTGCTTGTTAGATATAATATTATCGAGTTAGTGTGTGTCCTAACATAAACAATAGGCAGGCATCATTATAGGGCATAGCAACCGGTCGATGAATTAAGAGAAAGAGAAAAATAAACCAGGCCATGGCATATAAAAACAAAGTAATAGGGTTCTGTCAACGGTAATTGCCTCAGGCTAGTTTTAACATGTAACTCGATTGATATGTGATGGAGCCTATACATCAAAATTGCGCCTTGCCAGATGTGGTGCTTCAGTATTTAAGCGTTTAGTTACAAGCACTTCCCTGGACCCAGATTAACTAGCTATGCCTCCCACCTCCCGAGAAAAAGACACAACATTATTAGCTAGTTAAGTGCAGATCCCGGTATTCCTGACTGGTAGCTGGTAAAAACGACTGAGTTACGAAGAACCCCCTTTATGTTGGCAGTCTCTTATATTTAGACAGTTTTTTTATGCTTGCCGCTAGTGTTCAAGGTTGCAGTCATGTTCATGTTCCACCTGTTGCTCCGGTAGGAGTAGTAGTGGGGACGTTGGATCATCCAGTGGGTTGTGGAGCATTGTTGTGCCCATTCGCTTGTAGCCTTGTGGATGTTGTCCGCCCGTTCCGCTTTGCGGCTTGGTGGAGAGACTTTTGCTTTGTGGCTCAATGCTGGTAAGAGGGTGAAGTAGCGTTGTCGCTTAAAGGTCATATGAGTCTCTGCATTAACGGTGCCCCCTGTGAGTTTCTTGCAGTCGAGATGTCGGTTGGTCGTTAGTTGGTGGCGCGGTCTCACCAGGGGTGGCTGTGAGTGGTTAGCCTTTTTTTTGCTTGGTTGCTGTAGTAGTGACTTGTTGCCTGCCATAATAGACGTCGGACCAGCTTGTTCCCGGCGGTCTCCTTGCTCCCCTCAGGATCGTGGAAAGGGCATACCCTCCTTCTGTCCGCCGCCATTTTAATTGAGGCGTTTGGGCCACGAGGCTGGGTGGCAGTGCTGTTGGCCCCCGGGTTGTGCTGCTTCGGTCTGGGTCCCAGGGTGCAGACCGGGATCACCCCCACCGGTCCAGGGGGGGGGGGACAGGGCCAGATCCACCCGGCTGCCGTCCTCTGGTTGGGTCTGTTAGGCAGGATAGTGGAGCAGCGGCCGTCCGCCCCACTCACCGCCGGAGTAGGCCCAAATTAGGGTATCAAGGGTCTCTCCTCCTGGGGACTGTAGCTTGAGGAGCCAGCCTCACCCTGGATCCAGTGTCCCCTGTACACTGAGGACAGGCGCTGGCAGTCCTTGGTATGGTTAAAAACGTTCTTTTTGTGGCTATTTAGTTATTAATTTGTAGGAGCTGAGCTGCCATCCAGCTCGGCGGTCCGGCCCCGCCCCCGATATGTTCTTTATTTTAATATTATTTTTATTTATTTTTTTACAATATTATCTTTTTTTACATTATTATGTGTTATTATATTCTGTTATTATGGTTAATTAATGTTATTTTTGGGTCATTATTTTGTTTGGGTGAAGGTCGAGACAAGATAAAACTTATTGCTGGGATCTCTATGAATATACAATTAATTCTGAGATGTGGGAAAAGATGTTTTTGTAATAACTTCTTCTGTGACTTTTCCGTGTCTATGGTGGAACGCAAGTTGCCGAGTGGAACGCATATCACTGCGTCATCATCTCCGGCCTCATTTTGAAAACAAGGCTTGAACCGCATTTCCGGAAGTGTGAGTACATCCGGGAGTATCCATTATGATGAACCCGGAAGTCCACCGCTGATAGGTTCGGCCATCCGGCGCGCCAAAATTGAAAGACTTTTGGAAGGTTTAAAAGAAGACTCAGAGTGTAAGGACATTAATGCTGGCTAGAAGGAGGTTTTATTTTCCCCTGAGGATGTTCAATTAGTTGAACGAAACGCGTAGGGCTATCTCCATTAGTGCAGAGTTTTATTATTATTTTATTTAGTTATTTGTAATTTTATTTTGATTCTGTTTTATTTTTTATTATAATTGTTGTTCTTTCTGATGCTCCATTCTACTGGGACCCTGTGATTGAACTGACATTGTATGATGTGCCTGTATCTTACTTCAATTTTGTAAGTGTATTTTTATATTAAAACATTCACCTTTATTAAGATACTCTGCACTATTATTATTTTCCTTTCCTTCTCCATATTGGCCATGATGTCCTGTGAATTTTGAGTTTTCAACCATATTGATGATACGCCTACAATCAATTTTGGTTTGTGAGTGCAACTACTATATCAATTCTTCATTTTATAAATCTTTACAATAGTATCACACTATGTTTCTCTCTTATTATTGTATTGTAGATCTTTTAATTTTTTGTACATTGATTCATGAACCCAAATTATTTACTGAGAATATTCAATACTGGATAATGGACTATAGAAATGGCTAGTCTCCAAAATACTGCCAAGATGTGGGTTACAATAAAAGTAGTAAGGTAGATCCATAAAATATGTATTAGTGGTGCCTACCAGTGTGTACCTCCCAAAAGCATATTTCATGTCTCCTGAACAAATTTCAAATGTTATTTACCACCAGCAAGGCCGGATTAGGAGCCCATTGGGCCTCATGCTGACAGTTATGATGGGCCTAATTACAGAATCTTATGGACAGAAAAACCAAAAACCATTATATCACCAAGCATGAATGCACATCAGGCTGCCTGCCAACCATGCAGGATGGTCAACCAAGGGCATACCATGCAGACAGCACCCTGAGCTTGGCAAAAATGCATCTAATGATGCGCTAGTTCTACGCTTTCTAAGGACTGTCCCCTAGCACTTGCTGGTCCACTCCTCTCCTAACCTTACTAGCAGGAAGAAGCTCCTGTTATACAGTCTGGGACAGAGAAAAAGTGTATGTAGTGAGTGCAGAAGAAATGGAACATGCTACAGTGTTAGAGAGACTGAAGCAGCAAGAGCTAGCTCAAAACTGCAATAATTACCACTCTAGGGTTAAGGGTGATGGGACTTTGCACCCAGACCACTTCAATGAGCTGAAGTAGTCTCGGTGCCTACAGTGTTCCTTTAACTAATTTCATGGTCAGCCCGTCCACACCAGTTTTGTTCCCCTACATCCATCTTAAGTTTCCATACTTAAGCAAGAACATGTGAAGAGTGGTAAAAAAGAAAAAGAAAAAGAAATTGCATCACCATCAGTTAATATTTTAATCAGGCCCTTACCACCAGTGCCTAATATAAAGAGTAAGGAGGTCATGCTCAATTTGTTAATGTATAACTTTGTGTGTGGTTGGCCTTATCTCTAAAATGTCACTATTAATGCCAGTGCTCATTCCTCTGTTTTTAATTTCAAGTTTAATTACTTATAGTAATACAATTTTCTTCCACAGCAAATATAAGTTTCATAAAACATAAGCTGTAAAAATCATGAGTACTGATACACTACACAGAACATAGTTCTGAATATGTTTGAATATGATTCATTCTCAGTTGATCTTATACTTCAGCAAGACAGGGTAAGTTGTTTGAGTCATCTCAAACAGGGTAAGTTGTTTGAGGTTATTACTAGGCTTTTGCTAAAATACTTCATGAAAAGGAGAAAGAGAAATGTTAACAGTAATAAATAGTAATACTTGTTATAAGAATACACAGTAATTGTTATTATAAACTGTTCTTCATTACCCATAATTCTGTATACTTTAATTCTCTTTCACTGTAATCTTATTTCTGAAGGCTGTATTCCACCCCGCGTTCCAAATGTTACTTTGGGCTAGCTTATCTACTATGCTGGCCTCTGTCTCATATATAATCTTTTATTTCCCCCAATTTATCCTTTTCCTGTCTCACACAGTCATTTACAAACTTACTTAAATGGGTGAGAAATTAGCAAATACTTAGCAGAAAAAAAAAATCATTGAAATGACCATATATGTTGTTAACAGGAAACTTGAGCATTACAATATTTGATAAGAACAAGAGATACTAATTATGTCCCTTGTTTCCTTGAAACTACACACTGCCTTCTGTCTTACGCTTTATGTCAGACACCACAGTGGCTTACAGCAGCTGATTCATAAGGAATCACTGATGTCAATGTTGGAAGTAATTACGGGAACTGCACTCTTGGCTGCTTAGCTTGTGCCACACACAACGGTACATGAAATGTCTGTGTATGCAGACACATTAAACATATCCTCATGGTAAATTAGAAATGCATATGAGGACAGTGTCAAGAAATGGTTCTTGAATTATCTTTTATGGCTTAAGTAGGAATGTCTGTTGGCCCAGTTCCCTCTATCTTGGCTGTGAAGAAGAAGATTGCTTGGGATGTTCTGCTGCCATGTTTGGATTGCTTGGTCAGTTTACTTTAATTGCTACTACAAAAGTCTGAGGCACCGCCCAGTAACATATCAAGTAGACACAGCATTACTCATAAACACTAGAAAGATATTGATCACAGTACTGGAATGCTGAATACATCATTATAATAATTTAAATCAGGGCTCAACAATTCACAGGCGCAAGATTACTATGGGGACCCAAAAATGTCAACTAGAGACCAGATTTCTGTCACCATTGCAGGGTCGTTTTAACATAAGTTCTACAAGAGTCGTTGCTTCTGCCCGATACTTTTAACTAGTCCCAGTCAGCCAGGAACTGCATAATACTGATAAGCTTAAACAATGTGCAGTATGTTTCACTGGGTCCATCCACTTTTGAATCTGCTTATTGCCCCATGTTGCCGACAGTAGATGGGGAGCAAGGTCCGCAAGAGAATACAATGAGGTGCTTGCAAGCTTCATTCCCAACACCTCTGACGAGAAGTCATAAGTTTAAATCCATGTCCCCATCTGCAAATTCAAAATTTGCAGTTATACCCCAACTCTTATGTGTCCGGAGCTCACGGGGTTAACACACAACCACCTGACAGATGTTAACTGGGCTATAAATACTTGAGTCAGTGTAAAAAAATAAATTATACATCATACAGACAAACCTCCTCAGAGCCACTCTATGTTTTTTAAAGGATCACTATAGTGTCAGGAAAACAAATTTGTTTTCCAGACACTATATCATCCTTAGGACCCCCCACCCTCAGGGTCCCCCTCCCTTGGCGCTGAAGGGGTTAATCCAGTGCCAGGCTACCTCGGTGCTGGTGACCTCTCCTCCCCCGCCGACGTCAGCTCCCGAGTGGAGCGCGCATTCAAACAGTCCATAGGAAAGCATTTCACAATGCTTTCCTATGGACGTTCTGCACGCTGGATGCGATTTTCGCATCCAGCGTCGCAGAAGCGCCTCTAGTGGCTGTCAAGTAGACAGCCACTAGAGGTTGGATTAACCTTGCAATGCAAACATAGTTTCTCTTTTCTGTTTACATCTGAAGGGTTAAAACCTGGGGGACCTGGCACCCAGACCACTTCATTGAGCTGAAGTGGTCTGGGTGACTATAATGTCCCTTTAACGTACACCTATGTGTATAAATGCGTTCACAAACCCAAATCCATCTTCATTCACATGCCTCGACTACAAACATTCACATGCAACTAAAACGATATATATATATATATATATGAAAAATCGGCCACTCAATCTGCCCAATCAAATATGTTAACACATAAACAGACCAGGGTGCTTCCCAGGGCTCAATATGTAACAATACTAGAAATGAAATAAAGAAAAAATAAATTCAGTGTATTCAAATTCACATGAAAAATCATTGATTGATTGATTATATATATATATATACACACACACACACACACACACACACACACTCAATCTTTCACACTGTTATTTTGGCATGTTTTAGTTTGTGTGATATGCTGCAAAAAGTCCCAGAGAATAAAAATAAAGAAAACTAGAAATGTGTCAAACCCAGATACAAATATGGTGATTTAGCGTTCTCGTCAAATGCTTAAGGAGTTAATTGACTTATCAACACAACTATTTTGGTTTAACTGTGTGTAAAGCAAGACCATTCTGCTATTTTTAACAGGTAGAGATCATGGTCTAGCACTATAATTCAAAGAAATTGTCAGCACCCTTATTTTCCCATAATACATATCATCCCTGTGAAATATGAGATTTCTCATCTACAGAATGCATAGATTTGTTTAGCCACATCTGGCCCAACCTTAGGCACAGCTCAAACTACTATATAGTCTCTGCAGGCAGTACAAATTTTATTCAATGTACATGGAGCAGATAAGCCTAATGCAAAAAACAAAACAAAACAAAACAGGTTTTCTTGGTAGCACTACTTCAAACATAAGACAACCAGGAATAAATCTTTCTATAAGCACAATTTATAGCATGTTGCACATCTTTTATTTATTTTTTTCGCATAATATAGTATTCAGTTTATGAACGAATACATTTAACTTTATTTACATTTTACAATCTTGTTTGTCCATGTAAAGTGCTACTGTGATTTATCAAGAGCATATTTCTCTTTGAGCAAAAAAGAAGTAGTCTGTAGCAAACTCGCCACTTTAAAGGAGTTTGCCCTGAGTTCTTGGAGGGAGCTGCTTGCCTGCCTCCTGCCCAGTGATTATGATCCCGGGAAGATGTAGCCCTTTAAGTACAATGGATGGGCTTAACGGGATTTTGTATGGCACTACTGGCCCTTTAAGAACCAGCCAAGGACATATAACAATAATATTGCAAAGACTTCGGACTATATAACTTATGCAGCAAAGGACATTGAGCTGTCTGCAAAACTGTGTGTTTTAAAATGCTTACGGTACTTTGCTGCTATATACATCTTCAGTGTATGAAGCATTCGTTTGATTGTCCCCATAAAACTGTATTGACCCACTGCATTCGTCAAACGAACTAAATCTACCGAACACCAGACCACCCTTATACAAAGTGTGGCTTCAATCAAAGTGTGGCTCCCAATTCGTTTTATTACCGTTGAGACCTCCAGACTACCATATCTTTGGGCTGGAACTACCGAACGAGCTGCCGTTCGGTAGAAAGACTCCTACTAACCAGGGGCGTTTTAGCCGCGAGGCAAACAAGGCATTTGCCTTAGGCGGCATTTTTCAGGGGGCGGCAAAAAAAGCCGCCCCCCAAATGCCCAAAGCAAATGTCTTGTTAGCCTTGCGGCTAAGAGACATGCTGGGGCGCTGGGCGGCATTGGCGGGCGGGCAGCTGGCGAGGGAGCTCTTCCTGTGAGCTGTCTGCTCAGCTCCCTCACGCGCCACAGAGTGAGGCTGGGAGCCGGAAGATGACGTCATATTCCGGCTCCCAGCATCACTCCGCGTCGCGCGAGGGAGCTGAGCAGACAGCTCACAGGAAGAGCTCCCTCGTCAGCCGCCCGCCCAGCAGCCACTGGACCACCAGGGAGATAGAGAACCCCTTCCCTCCCCAGCACTCCCAAAGGTAAGGAGGCTGGGGGGGTTTAAAAAGTACATGTGTTAATGTGAGTGTGTGTCTGTTAGTGTGTATGTGTCTGTTAGTGAGTGTGAGTGTGTGTGTGCGTCTGTTAGTGTGTGTGTGTCTGTTAGTGAGTGTGAGTGTGTGTGTGTGTGTCTGTTAGTGAGTGTGTGTTAGAGTGTGTGTCTGTTAGGGAGTGTGAGTTTGTGTGTGACTATTAGTGTGTGTGTGTCTGTTAGTGAGTGTGTGTGTATGTCTGTTAGTGTGTGTGTGTGTCTGTGAGTGTGTCTGCTAGCGAGTGTATGTGTTTGACTGTGTGTGTCAGTGAGTTTGTGTTTCTGTTAGCTAGTGTACGCGTATCTGTCAGTGAGTGTGTGTGTATTTAGAAGGCGGGGGAAGGGATGGGTGGGGGTCGCGCGCGCGGGGGGGAAGGGATGGGTGGGGGTCGCGCACGGGGGGGGGTTGGGGGGCGCCTGAGTTTTGTCCTGCCTAGGGCAGCACAAAAACAGGATACACCACTGCTACTAACATGGGGATTCACACAAATGCCAGCATAGCCATGGATGGCAAGCCTTTCGGGACTTTTATTCCACGAACAGAGACCAACCGCAAGGCCAAAACTTATGGAACTATTTTCAGATACTGTTGTCTGTGCGGTCGGTCAAAACTTTACTAGCCCATAATCCCCGAACCCCTGGTCCGATCTGGGTGATTTTTTAATATGTTATTCACCCAGATCAGGGCTATCAAGGGATATCATAGGGGTGTATCCTATGTATTTGGGGTACATCTAGAACTTGGGGAAAAATATGTACATTTTAATTCTGTTAGCAGATAAGCTGATGGGAGGAAATGTGTGGGTTGTACCTTGTACTTTATTGGTTAATGTACTAATTATTGTGGGTGGCTCCCTTGCACGGGAGCATTGCATAAAAGCAGGGGTTGTGTGATTAAAAGTTAGTTAATTTCTGCTCCTGATACTGTGTGTCGTCAAGTTATTGGGAAAGGTGATGGGATATTCTTGTATTATATTGCTGATTGGGCCTATTGGATTTACTTCTTGTTCCTGAGCCATTCTAGGATACCAGCGGAAATAGGCTGTGGGAGACCAGCTCTCCGCTACATAGTCCATCCATATATTTTTACCAGTAGCCGAAAAGCTTGCAAATGTAATGTAATTTTCCTGAACGTAGACCTGCTCTCTTGCGCATGCTCGCTAGTGCATCCTCACCGACCAATTTGTTTTACGACCGGGTTGTAAGAAGGAACATGATTGGTAAGTGAGGAGTGTCTGTAATGCCTATTAACGGCACGATTAAAGGAGTACTACAGTGCCAGGAAAACAAACTCATTTTCCTGGCACTATAGGGTCATTAGGTCCCCCCACCCTCAGGGCCCCCCTCCCGCTGGGCTGAAGGGGTTAAAACCTCTTCAGCCACTTACCTTTCTCCAACGTCAGGCTCCCTTGGCACTGGAAAACTCTCCACCCTCTGCCGACGTCAGCTCCGAATGCGCATGCGCGGCAAGAGCCACACGCGCATTCAAACTGCCCATAGGAAAGCATTACTCAATGCTTAACTATGGATGCCCAGCGTCTTCTCATTGTGATTTTCACAGTGAGAATCGCGGAAGCACCTCTAGCTATGTTTTCAGCTGCAGGGTTAAAACTAGAGGGACCTGGTACCCACACCACTTCGTTGAGCTGAAGTGGTCTGGGTGCCTATAGTGGTCCTTTAACCATTTGAAGATTAAATGATATAATACCGGTACGTCAGTTGTCTAGATAGCCTCACTCATCCTTAACTATCCACCTCATCTCTATAATGTGTGTGCCACTGATAGTTGTGTTGTGTATTTTTTTTAATCCACCTAACATCCAAAGTAATTTGTTTACACTATAAACTTTACTTTAAATGCATGAGGTAGATTTGAAAAATTACGCAACTGTCAGTGTCACAAACATCATGGACACAAGACGGGTAGAGAAGGAGGGGTTATGCGATCTAATCTCCCGTTAAGGGACGTGGGGAGTGCTAATGATCCATGACTTGGGGGATGTAATACTTGCTTTGCCCCGGGAGCTGGCAACCCATGCTACACCACTGCACTAAACACTATTCTTGGCACGGCTGGGTGGAAGTTAAAAAGCACACATCCTATGGAAAGCACTCGCACACTTGCTTGGGCTGTTTAACATGAGTCAAAGTGGTTGACTGATGGCCCTCTGGGAAATGCAGGAATGCTCATAACTGGGGCACAACAAGCCACAAGAAACCCCTAGATAAAACTGACCCAGTAAGCAGAGAATGCACAGAGGCAGAGAATATACAGAGCAACACAGAAGGCAACCACAGTTTTAGAACAAAAAGATTCAAAAACAAAAACTCAAAAAGTTAAAAGGACTACATAATAAAAGCTTTAATATCTTTTATAATCTTTATGTTAATACACAACCTCTTATTTATTTTTTACAGGCATACTGAAATTTTATTAAATAAAAATTAATTTTCTAACTTTCCCATTTCTGACAGCCATCTTTATGTATGTTGGGTCAGACTGCCAGCCCCAGACAAAGCTCACTATTTTGCAACAGTTTTTCCAATCAGGCGCTCTTTCTGCCTGCAGCATTTTCTGCTTTTACCAAAACAATTTATCTTAAAGGGACACTATAGTCACCAGAATAACTACAGCTCATTGTATTTGTTCTGGTGAGTAGAATCATTCCCTTCAGGCTTTTTGTAGTATACCCTTGTCTTTTTAGAGAAAATGCAGTGTTTACATTACAGCCTAGGGATAACTCCACTGGCAACTCCTCATATGGCTCCTAGAGGTGTTTCCTGGGGCAGTGCTGCACTACCATTAAGTGTATCCATTAATCGATATTCAGCTTAGGGCGGTCTGCACTTGCAAGGACCCCTCCTGCTGAATGAAGTCACCAGATAGACACTCCAGTAGTGTCTCAGGGCTTAACCCCTATGGTTAAGTGTTGACTGGATATTTAATTAAAAATATTGAATAGACACTTAACCAAAAGATGTTGGGAGGAGTCAGGTTAAAAGTTCCAAAGCCCTTAGGCTTAGCCGATGACTAATAAATTAAATATTTAGCAAAATATACCCCTTAAATTGCTGTCTTTATTAGTGATTGCCAATAGGGGGGGTTAAACTTAAGTTAAAGATGTCTTGCAAATATTAATAGTACTGTAGTATTACAAGGAAGTGGGGAGATAGATATAGTACTATCTGTTGAACTTTAAAGGTAAATGTCTCCAATATGTGGAGATAGTCTAAAGGTGTCACTATTAAGATGTGTTATAGTTTGCACTTACTCTTAGACTACAGCCCTAGATATGATTCATAACGACAGAGCAAATTCGGCTTACTTAAGAGTCTCAATGCCTGCTTCTATATACGTCCACTAAAGTAAAGGCTATTATACTCTAGCATGTAAGCTCATTGAGCGGGGCCCTCAACCCCTCTGTTCCTGTGCATCCATTTGTCTGTTTACAATTACGTGTCTGTTAGTCCACCCATTGTACAGCGCTACGGAATTTGCTGGCGCTATATAACTAATAATAATTGTAAAAAGTTATAACAATAGGAAAGCAGTAACAGATAGAATACAAAACATTCAGTGTATCCACCCTCTGCATGGAGGCACTGAACTTTCCTCATAGAGTTGCATTGATTCAATACATCTCTATGAGAAGATGCTGTTTGGCCAGGACTGTGTTTGGCTTGTACTGACTCTGACCCTGACTCCTATGAGAAAGCATTGTGATTGGTATTAAGCAACACTTCTGCTGATGTCAACCAAACAGTTAGGGTAGATCAGGGGCAGAGCTGCCTGCAGCAGACTGGAATAAAGGCAAGGAGGAGCCAGGGGTGGCTAGATGGTGGTTGTCACACTATAGGGTCAGGAATACAGGTTTGTGTTCCTGACTCTATAGTGTTCCTTTAATGAAGTAGTTTCTGTGTATACATTATGCCTCTGAAATCTCACTGATCAATTTTATAACATGATAGTATTTGCATTAACTTTCTTTACTAACTCCATAGCGGCAAAGAAAAAACTGTTAAAAGAAAGAACCAATCAGCGTGCGTCAAAGAGTATATAAGTCCAAGCATGACCAATCATTTCCTCTTTCTTTGCTGCTCCATCACAAGTCAGGTCAGAGTACTGATTTCTTAACTGTATGGTTATGCATGTTAGACTTTATGCTAGATTTTACTGTATGTAAAGATTTATTGTAATTATACATTTTTCCTGGGGATGGCAGTGGTTTCTCTAACCGTTTTAAAAAACCTGGAACGTTCCCCTCTCCCCCCCCGTCCTCTCAAGGGGCTACGTTTGCCACTTTCAGCACTGTTTCCCGCCCTGTTTGCACCGCCATCTGTGCGAACGAAGCGGGCTTTCCACTGAAATATGTGCACTTTGGCATGAACGGACGCAGCATCCTGCGTTCGGCTAATTACGCCTGTTCGCGCTAATAACAGTGCAAACAGTGCGACTGCACGGTTCTTGGCTTTCTGCGTGAACGGACAGCTAAATGAAGCTTACCGTTCGCCTGGATTGACACGATTCCTATTCATTCGGTTTTCTTTTAAATACCTTGGCGTTCGGCAGTTTTGTTAAATTCACAAATGGCCGTTCAGGAGTTTTCTGCCGAACGCTTCACTGAACATTGCGATTTAGGACTTTTTTCGCTGGCTTTTCCCTGTCAGCCACCCAGGGTCTCTCGAGAGAACCGCGGCGGCTATTTTGTGGGTGAAGTTTAGCAGGAGTACAAATCACAGCAAGCTAAGGCTCTCGTTTTGGAAGCATTTCCAGCGAAATAGCAGAGGTGAAGTCTGAGTTGGACCTACACAGGTTGGTGTTACTATCCCTGGGGAGTGGGTCTGCCAGTTAGGTATATCCTAGTAACCTGGCAAGGGGTGAGCCCCCCATTGGGAACTGCCCTAAGTGCTGCCTAACGGAACCTGTCCAAGCAGTTTCCGATCTCCTGGGTGAGCCCCAGTGTGAAAGAGTCCGATTTCATGCCACTGAGCGAGTCATGCTAACACAGCCGACGGCCTATTCAAGTCCCTCACCTCTTATACCTATACCTGTGCCTGTAAAATAGTGCCCGAACTAAAATGGAGGACACAATTAATACAAGTGACCTTCAAGCCATGATCAATGCAGCGGTAGCTGCGTCTTTAGAAAAAGCAATAGCGAAAGTGATACCAGCGGTCATTGACACTAGCAAACCGACTGGCAAATAGCGCCAAAATAAGGAAGACTTGGATTAGTCGGAAGACTCCGCTAAGGAGAAAGAGCGCCCGGCAAAACACCACTGGAAGTGCGAAGAGTCCAAAAAGGCCGCCACCAAAGGCAAGGCGCCACTGAAGCGCAGTAAAGGAGAGGCGGAATCCTTCACCACAGCCACCACGCAGGAACAATATTCCTGGACGCCACGGGGCAGAGAATGTTTGACTCCAGGAACATTCGACACCCCCGCTCCGGGGAATAAACTCAGGTTTATGCATTTTTTGATACGTAAACCACTGGAAAAACACATACGCAAGAGGATGAGAGCGGAGTGCCCCAGACCTTCACTGCCAGACAAGGTGGCCCTTACCCCGGAATTCGATCAGCTCATGCTGACGTTCATGGAGCAAAGGGGACGCGACCCGCGCAGAGGCACCGAAAAGAGTTTTAAAGGGGCCAATGGACCGAGTGATGTATCTGGCGGACAAAGCCTACGCCAGAGCGGACTCGTTTACAGCGGACTTGGTGCGCGAATTGGCGCATGATATCCGAGAATGGACCCAGAGGGGTTTCTGTTTTCTCGGTAATACTAATGCGGCCCTCTCTGCAGAGCGGCGCCGCGCAGCACTGTTCCGTATAGACCCCAAACTGGCTGATCTGGGTGTTAAAGAACTGGGCCCACAGGTACAGGGCAAACTCTTTGGCGAGGCCTTTATGAAAGAGCTTAATAAGCATGTAAATATTTATCTCGCTCAACAGAGCCCGCACATCCATGCGTAGTCTTCCAAGGCAACCCCACAAGGGGTGTTTTATCAGGGCTGGTCGGCAGCGGGGCCGTGCCACCAGCCAATTCTGGCCATCAGGCCCTCGCATGGGACACACAACAATTCTTCCCGCAACAAGGTTATCAGGAGACCAACTCTAGACAACACTATCCCTACTACCAAAGGGTCACAGACAGAGGAAGGGTGATCGCAGACGTGCCCGCGCAAGATTCCCAAGAGGTAAGAAACCAATATTTTTCAATGCCTCAACTAACATTGATTGCAGTCCGTGTTTCTCTTTTTTCCCAGAATTGGGCAAAACTGTCCACAGATGCTTGGATACTACAGACGGTCAAGGGGTACCACATCGAACTACGAACACCCCCCATGCAAAGACACAATCCTCGTCCTTTACACCTCTCAAGCTCAGATGCTCGCCTCATAGAAGTGGAGCTCCGCAAACTACTTGCGAAGGGCGCTATACAACCCGTACACGAACGAGGAGGCTTGTTCAGCAATATGTTCCTCGTTCCAAGAAAGCCGGGGATTTCAGGCCGGTGATCAATTTAAGGGAATTGAACACCCACGTGACCTATCGCCACTTCAAAATGGAGGGCATACACTTACTGAGGGACCTCCTGCAGGAAAAGGATTGGTTTAAACGTCTAGACCTCAAAGGCGCATACCTATCGATTCCAATTCACAAGGACAGCCGTCCCTTCCTACGGTTCCTATGGAACGACTCCCCATGGCAATTTACGTGCCTCCCGTTCGGGCTGAGTTCCGCACCATAGTGCTTCACAAAAATGTTAAAACTAGTAGTCACACACCTCAGGACCCACGGGATCAGATGATTCATTTACCTGGACGACATTCTCTTATTCTGCAGAACAAGAGAACTGGCAGTACAACACACCGAATATACAGTACAATTATTAGGCCAAATCTGCAATGAAAATCCAATTCCTGGGCTTCGAGATAGACTCCAGGTCTTGCACACTCCACCTCCCATCGACCACAGTGACGGCCATCAAGAAGGAGATCCACAGAGTACTCAAACTAGACTCCATCCCGCTTCGCCAACTGGCAAGGATCGTCAGCCTACTGTCCTCATCAATACAAGCCATATTTCCGGGTCCTCTGCATTACCGTGCCATGCAACGGTTGAAAGCTCACTTCCTGTGAAGAAACCCCACATACAACCAGCCAGTCCCTCTGATGGACAAAGCACGGCAAGAACTCGAATGGTCGCGCCATCTTCGGCAACCACCCGGACTTCGTCCTGGAATCGGACGCGAGTCGATTGGGTTGGGGAGCCACAGATGGAGAAGCGTCCAGGAGGTATGTGGACAACCCAAGAACTCTTGATGCATCTCAATTGCCTGGAGTTACTAGCAGGGTCCTTTGCTATACGCAGCCTGACGAAAGGACAGTCCAACTGTTGTATACTTCTACAGATGGACAACGTATCGGCAGTACGATGCATCAATCACTTGGGAGGTACCTGATCACAAACGCTGGTGAATTTAACAAAGGAGATTTCCGATTACTGCAGAACATCTACCAGGGGAGTCGGACCTTACAGCAGACTGTTACTCCTGACACTGGAGAGACGCCAGCGACTGGCAATTGAACCCACAGGTGTTCGCCTACCTATACAAACAGAAAGGCCCTTTAATACTGGATCTGTTTGCTTCACGCAACAACCACCAGGTACCACAATTTTACAGCTGGCTCCCAGACCCGGAATGTCTGGTGGTGGACGCTTTCACCCAACACAAGGGGCCTATGCCTTTCCCCCATCTGCCTTGATTGCGAGGGTTCTACACCATATCTATGGCTGAGCCAACCCTGGTTCCCAGATCTTCTCGAATTGTCTTGCCAGAACCCGATTCTATTGCCGAATGACGACAATCTACTCAGGGACCCAGCGGGGAATCCACACCCAATGCTGTTTGACAGCCGCCTAACCTTGGTGGCCTGGACTCTTTCAGGATAGCATGGTGTACCAACGACTTATCGGCAACAACTAATGGGACTCCTGGGCCCCGGGAACGCAAAAGAGCGATCTTGGACCAGTTGGTGCATGGGACGGGACCTGGATCCCTTTACAGCCCCTGTTTCAGATATCATGAATTTCCTCTCGGTTAACTTCGAGGAAGGCAAATCGTATTGCACCATCAATGTTATCAGATCTGCTATCTCGGCAGCCCACGTGCTGCCCAAGGGAGAGCGGTCGGACAAGACCCTTTGATATGTTGACTACGGGGCATCAAATTGAGACGACCCCCAACGCCTAAGTACCAACATCTATGGGATGTGGACGTCGTCCTCCATTTCCTGGAGGAATGGCCCTCTAACGAACTATTGTCACTGAAACAACTGACGGCCAAGTTCACCTTCCTATTGTGCATGGTCTCATTCCGGAGAGTGTCGGACGTCCAGGCGTTTGACAAAGACGCTTTCTCCACATTCCATACCTCACGACGGACTAAATCCGACTCGTCATCGGTATTCTACCCTTTCTTCAACTCAGACCCTCAACTTTGTGTGGTTAAGACTTTGCGGGCATATGTGGCGGCAACAGAAACGTTGTGCCCATCAACAGCACGACAACTATTGGTGTCATATGTTAACCCGCACGGCCCGGTTTTGACCACCATGCTGGCCAGATGGATCAAGTGGCTCCTCTACCTAGCCGGGATAGAATCTGCCTTTGGAGAGCACTCCCTGAGAGGGGCAGCGGCATCATCAGCTTTCATGGCAGACGCATCGTTATCAGACATATTACAAAGGGCGGATTGGTCCCACGAATCGACGTTTCGGACCTTCTATTTTTGTCCAACGCCCAACGCTGCATTCGCTCTTCTACCAAAGCGTTAAAATTGCAAATACGAAGCCTCCTGTCATGTTATAAAATTGAAGATTATGCTAGCGCAGTGTACTAATAATCTTAATTTTAATAATGACAGGAGGCGAGTATTTCCCTCCCCTTCATCTTCACGCTCCCACCCTTATGGAGGTAGGTTAAGGTTAACAGATATAAGCTGTCCCCAGTATATGAGTTAAGTACGAATACATATGTATAGGGGAAGAGTATTGTTATCGCTTGTAACATGATTTAACTAACATAACATCTTAATACCAGTCGAGTATAGTCATTTAGGAGCTTATACATACGTTCCTAGACATGTGCTTCATACGATACAGAATGGCGCCATTACAGTGTAACACACAAAGAATAAAATAAGAAGTACTCAGAACACCTTAGTGAGTTTCCCTTTTACCTCACAACAAATTAAAATTACATACAGTATATGGTGGAGTTTCTTCTTATTGGAACAGGTATCAATAATAAGTATTCAAGTAGAGAGCCTCTAGATAGGGCTCAATTTTCCAGCTTTGTGGGATATCTAGGTTCCCACTGCCTTCTTTATGTTGCTAGTAGCCAAGTATACTCTCAGAAGCAAGTATACAGTTCCAAAGTGCTTTATTATAAAGTGCACAAGTAATATAAAATAAGAATAAAAATGAAATAAGACCTTACAGTATTGAAGGTGAGTGGTAGGATAAGTGCAAAACGCGTTTCGCCTCATTCAGAGGCTTCATGATGTACTTCATACGGCCTGTTCCGTATCACAGATACTAGTCTCTCTTTCTTTTCAGTTTAACAAGACTCAGGGATGGAGAAGTTTATATTCCCTAATGTTTCCACGTTGGATTAAGAGTTCAAGTTGAATTGGACAAAGTTACTATTTTACGGACTTGTTATGTCGCTCTAGCCAAGAGGAAATGATTGGTCATGCTTGGACTTATATACTCTCTGACGCACTCTGATTGGTTCTTTCTTTTAACAGTTTTTTCTTTGCTGCTATGGAGTTAGTAAAGAAAGTTAAAGCGGCACTGTCATGCCGAATCTCGTTTTTTTTTTTTAACCCCCCTCCCGCCTCCACTACATCCAATTGACCCACTAGTCACCCCCAAATGCCCCTAAGCCCCCCACATTACCTATTTTTTAATCCTTATTTTCTGCCCCGATCTATATTCAGGGCGCCGCCATCTTTGTGTGGGTAGGTGAAGTCCCTGTGGGACACGTCATCAGCCCACACCAGGCAGACACTGAGATTCCCGCACATGCCCAGTGAAACACCTGGACATGCGAACGGGAATTTCATCTATCCATTCATTCATCAGACAGACGAATGAGTGAATAGAAATATCAGCCGAACAAACTAACACTATGTATCAGTGTTAGTTTGTTCGTTCAGTTTATTACAAGGAGGGAGCTACCGGCGTGCAGCTCCCTCCTTGTAATATGTAACGATAGAAGCGTCAGGGAGCAGTGCTCCCCACCACTTCATAAGCCCCCCCAGGCCCCCCTCACTCTATGGGGGTCAATATGACCCCCATAATAGCACAAGGGAGATTAAAATCTCCCAAATGCCCCTACTCGCTATACCACGAGTAGGGGCATGTCTACTAAACAGTGAGCAGTCTGTGGCTGCTCACTGTTGAAAAAAAAATGACAAATTACAATAAGTGGGGCGGACCTATTGTGGGGGCCCTTATAAAACAATAAGGGGGGGGACCTACTGTCCTCCCCCCCTGACCCCACCCCTGAGCGGTGGGTGGGGGCCCTAATAAAACAATAAGGGGGGGGACCTACTGTCCTCCCCCCCCGGCCCCCACCCCTGAGCGGTGGGTGGGGGCCCCAATAAAACTAATAAGGGGGGACCTACTGTCCTCCTCGCCCCCACCCCCTGTGGGTGCCAAATAAAACAAAGGGGTACTGCCCCTCCCCACCCCTGAGCGTGGGTGGGGGCCCCAGTAAACACAAGGGGGACCTACTGTCCTCCCCCGCCCCCACCCCTGGGTGGGTGGGTGTGGTGGGTGGGTGGGGGGCCCTAATAAACAATAAGGGGGGGAACCTACCACCCCGGCCCCACCCCTGCGCGGTGGGTGGGGGCCCCAGAAACAATAAGGGGGGACCCCATCCTCTCGCCCCCACCCCTGGGTGGGTGGGGCCCTAATAAACAATAAGGGGACACTGGCCCCCACCCCCTGAGCCGGTGGGTGGGGGCCCTAAATGAAACACCCCCCCAATCAAGGTGACTAGGGGTCCCAAGCCCCTAGTCACCCCCCCCCACCCAAAAAAACCTATCCCCTACCTACCCCCCTCACCCTAAAAATAGTGAGGGGGGAATAAAATAACTAACCTGTAAAAAAAAAATAAACTTACCATTTGACGTCTTCTTTTTTCTAAAATCTTCTTTCTTCAGCCCCCAAAAAGGCCAAATAAAAATCCATTATACCCGTCGCACTTTAAAAAAAAAAAAACGAGCGCAAAAAAAAATTAATCAAGTTTAGGGCGGTCAATTAGGTAAAGCCTGCCCGCCCTGTTACTGCTTAGAACATTGACAATCAGAGGTAGCAGGTCATGAATAGCGTAGTCCTTCCACGCTGTGTAAAATGACTCAGAGCACTCTGATTGGTGAATAACCAATCAGAGTGCTCTGAGTCATTTTACACAGCGTGGGAAAGTTCTTTTGAATTTTCCCACGCTGTGTAAAATTACTCATAACACTCTGATTGGTTATTCACCAATCAGAGTGCTCTGAGTCATTTTACACAGCATGGGAAAGTTCTTTTGAATTTTCCCACGCTGTGTAAAATGACTCATAACACTCTGATTGGCTTAAACCCACCAATCAGAGTGTTCTAAGCCTAATTGCAGGGCAGGGCAAGGCTTTATAAGCCTTGACCGCCCCATGCGGAGCCTGGGCTCCGCGGCGCGCCTCAAGGGCTTAGGGTAGCTTGGGGACAGAAGTTCCCCCATATCTTTTAAGGGCCCCCACCCACCGCTCAGGCAAGTAGTCGGGGAGGACAGTAGGCTTATTAGCTTTATTAGCCCCACCCACCGGCCAGGGTTGGGAGGACAGTAGGTCCCCCCCTTATTAGTTATTAGGCCCCACCCAACGCCAGCAGGGTGGGGCCAGGGAGGACACTAGGTTCCCCCCATTAGGTTTATTAGCCCCCACCCACCGCTCAGGGGTGGGGGCCAGGGGGGACAGTAGGTCCCCCCCCATCTTTATTTCGGGCCCCCACGGGCATGGGGGGGGGTATTAGTTTTTTTTTTTTTTTTTACAGTGAGCAGCTATATGCTGCTCACTGCTTACTACACATGCCCCTACTCGCGGTATAGCGAGTAGGGGCATTTAATTTACTAATACTAAGTAAACTTTACTTAGTATTAGTAAATGTGGCTGAAAGACCAATTTTAGGTCTTTCAGCCTTTTAGTAGATAGCTCCCTGATACCGTGGGAATTAGGGAGTTATCTACTAAGCGGCTGCAAGATGCAGCCACAGCAATGAATAGGATCAGAGTTTCATTCATTAGAATGAAATTCCGATCCGAATAAAGTGCCGAATTGCGTTCTAAAAGAAACGAACATACTGTTCTCATTCAGTTAGAACGCAATTCGGCAGTTTTGTGTAAAATGACAGGAAGCATTGTGGGAACACAGAGGGAAGGTAAGGATCATGGGAAAATTGCTCTGACCAGCGGAAATGAAGCACACTTTGCTCCTCCGCTGGTCAGAGCTGGTCAAGCGGAGGAATCCTCCATAAGGCAAAGAGTCCCTTCTTTGTCTTATGATTTTAAAGAAAACTAAAGAAGACAGGAAGAAAAGAATAACAGATCCTGAGAGAGGGGGAGAAGAGGAAGAGATTGAGGAAAGGTAAGTTCGGCATGACAGTGCCGCTTTAATGAAAATACTCGCCTCCTGTCATTACTAAAATTAAGATTATTAGTACACTGCGCTAGCATAATCTTCAATTATCTGCCATTGAGGTGTTGAATCACTTTTGTTTCTGTACATGCAGCCATTGTCACACCTCCCCTCGCTGTGACTCACACAGCCTGCATGAAAGTTTAATTTCAATCACATGTTAACTTTCTTTAGAAGTTTGTATCTCTTGCTCTGTAAATTGAAATTTATTCAAAGATGGGAAGCTCTTAGCCTAGCAAGTCCTAGCAAGCTACTGACAGAGCAGATGATTCTAAATTAAACAGTATTTGTAATAAAGGAAGTGTAAACATTAGATGACTCTTTAGAGGAAACATATTAAATGGGAGATGTGACTATGGCTAAATAAAACAAAGCTATTTAATTTAATTCCTAAATATGTGTGCCAAATTTTTCTCATGTATATACACATATACACACACACACACACACACAAAAGAAAAATTTGGCACCCACCCCTTGAGTATTAGTAATGTGGAACTTGCCACTGTGCAACCTGCGTCCATATATAGACCAGAAGCCAGAAGTCTTTTCAATGTATTTATTCAAACAAACTGTGTCCTGATCGAGGAAATGTGAAAAACAGCTAACTTCCGTAGATATATTTTCAGCATAAAAGAACATACAAAGACAGACAGTGAGTCACATGGAGTAGGAATATTTGGGCTTTCATTTTTTCCCCAATAGAAAATGGGGAATTTGTGAAATTTGCATCTTATTAAATATTCATTGACATTGTAATATGAACTTAAGATATTAGAGACATAATAAAGTAATTCAGTCTGAAATATAAAAATAAAAAAGTGACTGCTCTGTGAAGTATTTCTGGGACATAGGGAAACAAAAATGCATGCAGTCACCATGATGGGATAAAGAAGAGTGCCTGATTCCCCTTAAAACTAGCACATATATTTCCTTGTGAAAACAGGGTCATTTGTGCATCTGAAAGGAGACAAAATTACACATAGCCCCATAGCCTGAATGAAAAAGATGAACATAGCATACAGGCAACAGATCTTAAAGGGACACTGTAATACTGTGCAATAATTACCTTGCAGGGTTAAGTCCTACTCTAGTGGCTGTCTACCAGATAGCCACTAGAGGGATTTCTGGGTTCTTAGACGACTTTTGGTTGTCTAAACAACGCTGGACGTCCTGACGCTAGGCATGAGGACCTTCAGGGTCGCCGGAATCCCCGTAGGAAAGCCCCATTGCCGCACATTAGGTCTCCTCCCCCGGCGGATGTCAGCGGGGGAGGAGCGTGTGCAGAGCCTGGATTCAGGTAAGTGACTGAAGGGGTTTTGACCCCTTCAGCGGCACGGGATGGGGGATGGGAGGGAGGCGGTCTCTCCAGGATTCTTCAGTGCCAGGAAAACTGGTTTGTTTTCCTGGCACTAAAGAATCCCTTTAATATTTCGTTTTGAGCCGAAGAAGACACTTGAATATTAAAGGAACACTTTCCAAATGGGCAAATAAAAATTCTCAAAACCACTGTTTAGTAGATATTCCATTAGTGGATACATACATATTCATGCATTTATTCATTGGGGGTATAACCTAACAGTTTGCAAAACTTCCCATTTTTCCCTCGAAGTGGTAGGCCTGTAATAAAAGAGGGCAAAAAGCGTATATCAAACAAGATTTATTCAGCCTACAATGACAGTCATATAGCATATATCACATATTCATGTTACAAAAAGCTTCACGTATTTCCTGTATTGGATGGGGTATGTATCTGGTAGATGCCGATGAATTCCACCGTCCCAATGTCTTAAATAATATGTACCGGTATGTTTCTGCTGGAAGCAGTGGTGGCTGCTCCAATGTGGAAGGAGTGTCCTGAGTAGTGGGATGGATTAAGATCTAACCTAGCCAGCAATAATCTAATAATAATAATCTAATATAGAGAATTAATTTTGCCATGTAAGGTAAACAACAGTTGGTCAGGAGAACCCGGAACAATGGTTAGGAATTTATCTGGAACTTGTACCGGGCACCATTTGTTGCTGATGGGGTAACAGGGGATCTTTACCATTAGATTTCTCTGTGTGGTTTTACTGTGGTTGAGGGATAGTATGTAGTGATCTTGTATTTTGACAATCTGAGATCTCTTAATGACGTTTTGGGATGTGATGTTTGTAGTGGTAAACTCTCCGCGTATGAAGAACCCATAGAAAGCTAAGTAGATAGCGGTTTTAATGACATGATTCTCCATACTGAGAAAGGTGGGGAACTGAATAGCCCAAGTAGGAAACCTTGATCCAATTCAATCTGTAACAGATTGTTTACCGCTTTTGGATTGGCGAGGGCAGACTGTAGGTTCTTACATTCTACAAATAGCGAATGGCATGTAAATGATTCCAGTATGGAACCCTTCCGTGAATCCAGTCACCAAAAACTCCACCAAGTGGGGTGAGTGATGGTTCTGTAGTAAGTCAGCAAGACAAGTCAAATTGATTGAGGCCATGTAGGGTTTGGGAAACAATTTATTTGGACACATCATCTTGGCATGTGCCCTGAAACAAAGAGAACACACATGCAATAACCGGCAAGCGCTTAATCCACACAAACCTGCATTAAAATTATTGCAAATCAGGGATTTACCCAGAAAAACAATATTATGGCCAAGCTTGTCCTTACTCACTTAATCAGGTTTAGCTGAGGTGGTAGGGAAAGGAAAGGTAGCACTCAGCTCAGAGGTATTAGGATATAGGTTTGTGGCATGTGAGGACGCAGAGCAAATATCACAAGCTGGGGACTTGAGGCCTGCGAAGCGCCTGCAAAACAGTTCCGTGTCCAACTGGCTCCAGTCCGTCTGAAAATTGAACTGAGCCAGGGCCGCGGAGAATGATCTGTGGTAATTATAAAATGATGTACCGCCATACTTATGCCCCAGGTCCACCAACTTGTGTAAATACAGGTCGAATTCCTCTCTGTGTTCACCACGTCCTGATAAATACCAAAAGCCAGGACGAACTCAGGAATTGACAACTTCCTATTCAACCTGGGGTCCCTAGCCTTCAGTACGACAGAGACATCGCCATAGGAATAGGTCTTGTTCTCCAGAATATCTTGGGAGGCAATCAGGAGCGAAACTAGATTGATAGCCTTGCCTTCTTGATATTAGCTGGTACCATGTGAGCTGGGTTGATGATATTAGTGTTCTGTAGTGGACCAATACATTTACCAGTCAGGGTGCCTAAGAGACCAGGTTCTGGAGTAACCAATCCAGATGATGCCAATGGCCTATCACTAGCATCCGAATGGTCCAACCTATCCGTAATCCGTCCCAATGAGGACAAGACTGATGACAGGATGGCATGGAAGTGGGCACCACTGGGGCACTCACCAGCACCAGTGTTAGCCGTGTTGATATTCAGTAGTTTATAACGTTTTGCCTTCCTGGCACCTTAATTCGGCCATGATCGTAGGTATCTTCCAGGACCCGAGGGAAGACAGGCTGGCATTGTCCCCTACGTGAGATGGAGAGATGGACCTTGCAGGGATGCTGGGACTTGACAAAACCACAATAGCGTCTGGTAGTTCACACATGCTAGGATAGACCAAAAGATTCATAAGTAACCAAAGTGATAACGTACTGGCTAGCTCATCTAATGCCAAGTGTCGAAAAATGATCTAAGTGGCATGAGAGGCTCATGTGTTGGCCCGAGGAGATTTTGTGGCCACTGAAATTGTGGCAGGGTAGTGGCCTCTCGGTGACCAGTAAAGCAAAAGATGGCATGGGAGTGACAGGGAGATGCCCTCTCTATACCACCATGCAGGCGACTAACTATGAGGTGGCCATTGGGCACGAGTACCTCCGAGTATGAGGATGGCTGTTGGCCTCGCGGGACCTCTAAGATTAGGCAAGAAGGCCAGAAAAACTAAATAGTCGGACTCTGAAACCTAACAGCCAGTTGACAAAGTCTTACCCTAGTGGTAGTTGCAGGATTGGGGGGGGGGGAGAAGGAGAGGTTACGACCACTGGAGACACCTACCTGTCGTATCAGATGGATATAGAGTAGGACAGAGTAGATGAAACCCGAGCAATACCTACGAGAGTAAAGGTAATCAAGTAGTACCCATAATGTGACTGTAAATAGTACCAAACCAACATACAATAATATGGGATACCTACCAGCTGATCGAATAGGCCTAAAAATGAACCAGGCCGAGTGTAAGTGGTAGTATAACCAGTAGGGCATAACACCTAACAACATAAAAAGGAAACAGGTTATGTGAGCAGTGAGGGTCAGATCGTGGATCCTCAAGACAAATCTAAACCCCTAACCGATGTGAAATTTGTAGGAATCGAAAGGGAGGAGATGATAGTGAAATGGCAGAGAGACTTCAATCTGTAATATATATTATCACCCATATTAGAACTTCAAGAGAGCATAACTGACTACCAATTGAAGAGAAAATAACAGGACCCACCTAAAGCGATTTGGACAATTGAAATCTGAGTCAACCAGAACCTATGAGACTTGAAAAACCTCAGAAGCACAGCAAAAAGAAGGTTCAAGCCCAGCAACCTATAAAACAGCTTGTTTATAACAGATCAAATAGCAGAACAAAATCTAGCAACAATGTGCTGATCAATTAAAATTTAAACAAAGTATTTGATCAAAATTTATATAACGTGTAGTACTCCCCTATGACCTCTAGAGGTCAGCAGCTTTTCAAGCATATTCATTTACTTATAAGAATGTTCGCATGGACTGAAGGAATTCCTATTACTTTAAAAGAGCATTCGGCTGTAATTATACGAAAGGCCCCAAAAGAGGAGCAAAGAGCCGCATAACATCCGAAACGCTCCAATATAACAAAACATATAACAGACATGTTTGTGCTAATCGTAAGTAATGTTCGTGCATACGAACTAAAGGCTGAACGGGTGAGCGCAACATCACGAAAACCAATGTATACGAACCGACAAGCAGTAAAATAGTGAACAAACTGCCTGAACTGTACGTTCATAAGGAAGTTAACGAAAAACTATACGAAGGCATATGAAATAGAGGTACGTATGAGAAATAGATTTGGCCCGTTATGACGCTGTGCGCCTGCGACAGGGTTGCAAAAGTCAACCATCTCACTGTTACTGCGGCTTTGGGACAGTTAGCGGAAGCAACCAGAGGAGAGGGGAAATATCCAGGAGGCCTTGGACAGCTGGAAACTTGAACCAGGAACGGGCAGGCACTCTAAGAGCAGGTAAGGTATCCACGAAAGGTAAGCAAAATGGCTATCTGCTGCAGCTGGAAGTCCAGGTATGCAAATCGCCAGACCAACAATGGTAATGAGGAGGGGTCTGGCGGTCCTTAAGTAGGGAAATCATGCCCCTCCCACAACTACTCTTCACACAGAAAGCTTTTCAGCAAGTTAAAGTGCCTTAGGGGTATGGAGTATCCCTTCAAGACAATGTTGTCAAAACCTGGGGCAAATAAAATGGTAGCTACAATGTTAAAGGACCACTCTAGGCACCCAGACCACTTCAGCTTAATGAAGTGGTCTGGGTGCCAGGTCCAGCTAGGCTTAACCCATTCTTTTATAAACATAGCAGTTTCAAAGAAACTGCAATGTTTATGAATGGGTTAAGCCTTCCCCCAATTCCTCTAGCGGCTGTCTCATTGACAGCCGCTAGAGGCGCTTGCGTGCTTCTCACTGTGAAAATCACAGTGAGAGCACGCAAGCGTCCATAGGAAAGCATTGATAATGCTTTCCTATGTGACCAGCTGAATGCGCGCGCAGCTCTTGCCGCGTGTGCGCATTCAGCCGCATGGGAGGAGAAGAGGCGCATCGGAGGAGGAGAGCTCCCCGCCCAGCGCTGGAGAAAGGTAAGTTTTTACCCCTTTCCCCCTTCCAGAGCCGAGCGGGAGGGGGTCCCTGAGGGTGTATGTTTTCCTGGCACTATAGTGCTATAGTGGTCCTTTAACATTAAAAGTTTTTTGAAAATTGAACAGATGATCAGTTCACAAGTCATAGAGTATAAGAGAACCTGCAAAGCAGAATTCCTGGTGGAAAGTTTACCAACGTTCAACAAAGAAGCTTCGAGCATGGAGGCCAAAATTACCATACCAATTACCAATTACCATGAGAAAATACATTCTCTGCAGGAATTTCTAACAGGAGACTTCATCATAAATAGCTGACAAAAGCAAGTTACGCAACAAAGAGCATGAAATAGACACATCAGAGAGATCTATATGTGAGCAGATAACAATTGTACACAAACAGAAGGATTTATGCAGCATGTCTTTTTTTATTCTTTATTTTTGTTGTGCAATTGCTTATTACAAGTGGTGAAGATGCCACAACAGCTCTCTCAGGTAGTCAAGCATATAACATAGATGAACAGTTGGCATTAAAAGACAGTGCACAGGTTTTTTATAAGGTTAATTTTACATGTTACAACAATTCTGTTTGATCTATCATTGTGTCGCCATAGGTCCCCCTAAGGTGATAAGTTACATGTAGTTATCTTGGTGTTGCATAGCATGTTCATCTCTGATTGGTGTACTATGGTCGCTTATTTCGTGTAAGTGGGTCCTAGTGGATGCTCTGGCGACTCAGGTTCGTACCACACTACTCGCCAATGTATCCCTAGTCCAGGGCATTGTTGCTGGGTGTATTGTGCGTGAACTTAGGTCTCTCTATCGTTAAGTTGTCCTGTGTGCTTCGTAGATGATTGTACGATGTGTGTGGGTCCTTGACCCCTAACCAAGGGGGCCTCTGGGGGGTGGTGGAGATGTACTATTGGTACTATTGGTATATGAGCAGGCTCCGGCTTGGCGGTGGCTTTTGTGGGTCTCCGGTAATTGCGTTATGTGGGTCATCGCCTGTGAGGTGGCCCTTTAACTTAAGGAAGTGTTATATGGGTGTGTGCCCTGCTGGATTCCCTAATTGGTACTAAACCCTTGGTATATAAGTAATCGTAGAACTGGTAAAAGAAAGGGATTCCCCTGATTTTTACATTGCATTTGCGGCTCCTCTCTTCTGTCGCCTCTAGTTTGCTGAGCAGAGTTGAGAGGATTTTAACTGTGATACTGTTTCTTTAAGGCCTTTTATTTCTTGTTGTATGTCGTTTATATCTTCCTCTGTGGATTTCACGCGGTCCGTGACCGCTTCGATCTCTGTTTTTATTATGGCTATGTCTGCCGCTGACATTTGTTTTAGTTCCAGTAAAAGGTTTTTAATGTCCAGTTTGGTGGCTGGTGTTAGCGCATCTGGGTCAGCCTGTATGTCATGGGATGGCCGTTGGTCTGGTGTATCCCCCTCAGCATGATCCGAGCATGTGGTCAGGCCTGGCCGCCATCTTTGGGCCCGCCGGGCGCTGGAGCATGGTGCTAATGTCATGGGTGTCTTTACACGCACCTGCTGCCGTCCGCTGGGATTTTCTTCCCATGGTGTCCGAATCTGTGTGTTTCTCTGCTGGCTGTGCGGTTATGGAGAGTGCTGCGCTGTATAGCGCCGTTTCAAGGGCCCTGTAATCTGGGTAGGCCTTGGTGGCGGACTTTCCGACCCGTCTGGTGGAATGTAAAGGGCATCAGTCGGGTGTCTGCTTTGCTCTCCCGGTCTGCCTGTTGGGTTCCAGAGGTATATGGGCTCTTTTAGTTTTATTTTCTCATGATTTTGTCTCGTTTTGGCCGGAGCTCTCCGTGTGTGCGACAGTTTGGTTCCGTGGTTAAGCTCCGCCCCCTATGCAGCATGTCTTAATCATCTCTGCCATCAGTTGGGAACATTGCTTAGTGCCACTGACTTTCATTTAAACATTTTTCCTCTTAAAGGAACACTGTAGACAACCAAACCACATCATCTCATTGTGGTCTGGATGCACTGTTCCTGTTCCCTGTTCTACGAGACAGCCACTAGAAGAGGTTCCTGCAGTTTTACAGTGTTTTACTCCGTGAAACAATGATGGACGTCTTCAAGCTTGGCATGAAGACGTCCAGCATCATACAAACCCCCACTGAGAAGCATTAAGTCAGAACTTTCCTATGAGGAAGGCCGAATCTGCCAAATTTGGTGAAGGAGAAGCCTGACCAAGTGCCGACAGATATAGGCACTGGTAAGTGAATTAAAGGGGTTTTGAACCCTTTCAAAGTTTACTTTTTTTTGGTGGGGTCCCTGACTGATGTTTTGCTATTTTATTAGCATAAAACACACAATTAGAAGAATAAAAAGACCGCAGATTCAATCATATATCACAACTGCGATTCTGGATATTTTTACATGCAACAGGTTAAGATTCAAATATCTATTAATTCAAACAGATTCCTTTACCGTTCTAGGTACATTTGATATATTGAGAAATTAAATAACCAATCTAGTTGTAACTATGTGGTTTCCCATTATGACTTTCAAGTGTTTTATACTTGATTTACAAATGTGACTTGAATGCTCTCAAATGCCAACATCCTGTACTTACTGTCTTCTACAACCTTGGCTGCCAATGAATTCAGCACAATGCTGAACAGCTTAATAAGATTAAACGACTTAAAGTACGCAGAACATTTAATTTTTAAAAGTGTTTATATTGCAATTTTATTGCTATATACACTGCCAGCAAATAGGTTCAGATAAAATAGTTGTAGCTATCCCAATTATAACACTGCTGTCATTCTGTAATGTAGAACACCCATGAAAAAAAAAAATATTTCCTGATATACTATTTTCTCCTAAACAAGATTTTTGAGCATTTTCAAATTATTTCCATAATGCTTATATCTCAGAAACACATAATTTAAAATGCTTAGCATATATACAGTATGCCAGCTATATACAAATACCCTTGTTTAGACAAATGTAAAATAAAATTTGTTTATGACTGTCAATGCATGGCTTATGTGATGAAGATGCTTGAAAATATGATCACAAACATGCCTGCACACATTTTAATGTAATTGAATATACTTACAAGTTTGTTTTATACATACAACACATTTAAGCAACCAGACAAACTTTTTGCAAGTTTCTTAGAAAATATTAATGGTTTAAAATAGAGAACATGTGTTAGATAAATGTGGAAAGAGCATATTCTTAAAATGCAAATGTGAAAACAAAATTAATCCGCTGCCTTTGCAAACAAGGAACAACAAGTGTCCCAGTGCTCTCTGCTAACACAGAGCCTTTATTCCAAGGGGAACATTCTGTGAAAAATGATGTGTGAACATTAGGCACTGATGTTCACATACGCATACTACATACAGCACAGCAGGAAAGTGTTTTTTTTTTTTTTCATAGTGCCCTTAAGGTGCTGGCACAATGGAATTTAAATTACATAATTGTTTATTTCAGTGGGTGCCAATTTCTAAAAAAAAAAAAACAGGTACAAAACTAATAAACAATAGCTATAGTAAAAGAAAAACACATTCAACTTGTCTACTCAAAAGATATGTGCTCCTAACACCAAACTAAATCTTTCACAACACTAAGAGGACAGCACGAATGATAAAAAAAATTTAAAAAATGCAGAAATAACGCAACGTTCCAGAGGTTTATTTTACAAGGACCTCACACAAAGTGCTTTTTTTATCCTTCTTTCATAACTCTTACTAGGAACAGCATTATTTGCTAAAAATGTAATAGCAGCCAAAAGAGAAAGTCCATCAAAAGAAAACTACATTTACAAATATAAAGTAGAAAAAAAAATGCATGTTAATTATACATTTGTACTTTAAAAATAAATAAACTACTAATGATAAGTTGCTTTTGACACAAAAAAACTAACTGATTTCACAAACAGGTAAAATCTAACTATAAAATCTAACTAATACTTTCTAATTAGAAGCTTTTCAAGTGTTTTGGGACACTTTTAAAACAGCCTTGGTCTCACATGATAGAACAATGGGAAATTTTACGAATGGCTGAGCGCTAACTCTCACAAGTGCGGAGAGCCAACTACAATACATTATATAGTAGGATAACCTGCCACCCACGTTGCTGAGAGCACAGCTTTCGAGGACATGCACTGAGCTGTAAAACCACAAAATCCCTTATTACACATTGTATTACACAGTTTTAGATAAAATACACCATTTTGTTTCTATTGCAGATTTAAAGTTTATTTTTGGTTTGTATAATTTTGGGGTTTATTCAATAACAGTAAAGCGATCTTCCTTCTCAGCCTGTTTCAGACGTGTCTACTTTGTTTCAAGGAAGAAAACAAAAGTATCTTCTTGCAGAAACATATTGAGAATTTACATCTGCTACCTGCTTTTCACATTTTCTTATAAATGTCTATTTCCTATTGGGCAGAAAGCATAAACAGGTTTACATTTTAACCACATTCTGTCCCAAAGGCGGCATCACTTGTTCCAAACAATTATTATAGCTGTGTAACAAATAAAAAAATATATATATATCTTTCCATTATAATTACTGAACACGAAATACATACCAGTAAACATTTGTATTGTGTTCTTTGTTCATCAATATTGATGAATAACATTGTAATATAACGGAACTGTATAATCAAACATCAAATGAAAAAAAAAGTACAATAAACCAGTAGATTAAAATAAAACATAAAACATACTAAGGTCCAAAAAGTCCAGCAACATAAACTACATGTGGACTTAAATAATAAAATACATATAAAAGACACAATAGTCCAGCAGGGTAACATCTCTAATACAGGCAATAGATCACAATGCAAATATATCTGATAGATGTCTGTGGAGATTCACATGAGGCAGCATAAATTAGGTTAAATAGATTACAGACTTTTCCATCAATCATTCTAGAGGTGGAGCTTCCAAAGAAAAGGAACAAACCCATAGGCGTGCGAAGCCTATTGTATAAGGGTGTGCACCCTAAAGCACAAACACACACGCCGCGTGTATGTATATGTATATATATATATACACACACACATACTGCTGTTAGTGTGTGTGTGCTGTGTGTATAAGGGTGCTGTTAGTGTGTGCTGTGTGTGTATGTGTGAGGGTGCTGTTAGTGTGTGAGGGTGCTGTTAGTGTGTGAGGGTGCTGTTAGTGTGTATGTGTAAGGGTGATGTGTGTGTGAGGGTGCTGTTAGTGTGTGTGTGTGTAAGGGTGATGTGTGTGAGGGTGCTGTTAGTGTGTGTGTGTGTGTGAGGGTGCTGTGTGTGTAAGGGTGATGTTAGTGTGTGAGGGTGATGTAGTCCAGGGGTGCAGCCGTGGAGAACGTTGGTAAAAAGTTTACCGTCTCAAATCTCTGCTCCAGCTTCCGTGCGATGAGGTTCCCGGACCCAATGCACCAAAAATGTTAACGGAGGAATAACAGGAACAAACCGCAGAAGCCACACATAGAGATATGGACACAAGTCTTCAGGAAGTAACAGGTCTTTTATTTACACACCGATCGGGTCTCACACTGAACTTGTGTTCAAAAGGTATGAGCCCAGAGCATAGTTTGCACAGGCTATTTATTAACAATAACTTCTCCCATTCATAGCTCCACTCACACATACCCTTAGACAAATCAGTGACCAGGATATTCAGGATCACCTAATATGGGCAGACCGTATGACTCCTTTTAAGGACAAAGGAATGTGACTACAGTTGATGCACATGCTCAGTACATTGATGACAGTATCTTAGCTACATGTTACTAACTAACAGATACAACAAACACCAGTACTTGTATATGCCACATGGAGATTTCAGGCCTACTAAATTTTTAACCATGTTGAAATCCCATCACAGGTGCTGTTAGTGTGTGTGTGTGTGTGTGTGTGTGTGTGAGGGTGCAGTTAGTGTGTGTATGTGAGGGTGCTGTGTGTGTGAGGGTGCTGTTTGTGTGCTGTATGTGAGTAGATGCTGTGTGTGGGTGTGTGTGCTGTATGTTTGGGTGATTGTGTGTATTGTGTGGGGGTCTTTTAGTAAATATGCCCCCTCCCTTCTTACCTTATGTAGGGAGGGGGGATCCTTTCTGCCTTCTCTGGTGGTCCAGTGGAGAGTAACCCATAGGCGTGTGCAGCCTATTGTATAAGGGTGTGCACCCTAAAGCACAAACACACGCACCGTGTGTGTGTGTATATATATATATATATATCTATACATACACACATATACTGCTGTGTGTGTGTGGGGGCACTGTGTGTGTGTGTAAGGGTGAGGGTGCTGTGTGTGTAAGGGTGCTGTTAGTGTGTGAGGGTGCTGTTAGTGTGTGTGTAAGGGTGATGTGTGTGTGAGGGAGCGGTTAGTGTGTATGTGTATTGTGTGTGGGTGCTGTTTGTGTGCTGTATGTGTGTAGATGCTGTGTGTGGGTGTGTGTGCTGTATGTTTGGGTGATTGTGTGTATTGTGTGGGGTTCTTTAGTAAATATCCCCCCTCCCTTCTTACCTTATGTAGGGAGGGGGGATCCTTTCTGCCTTCCCTGATGGTCCAGTGGAGAGTGAACTCTAGTCTGGGGCTAGAGTTCACTCTCGCGAGATCTGAGCATTGCCGCGGCAACGCTCCGACCTCACGGGAGGAACCCGGCGGAGCTGCTGGCAAGAGCTCCCCGGGTCCTCTCCTGCCTCCCTCACCGCCTGTGGGTCGGTGAGGGGAGGCTTTGAGCAGAGCCGGCGCTGTCTGAGATCTCCCTTGCCGGTCTTAATACATAGGCAGCCGCGGGATTAGGGTGTGCCCAGGCACACCCCGTGCGCACGCCTATGAACAAACCTTTAGACTTGCTTAGTCTAAAGAAATCCTAGCCTTATTGAGTATATTACATGTGATTTTGTATGGATTAGAGACTTTCAAAGAATAATTCCTTCAGTAATAAGGCTCTTTGTGCCTAATACTTTATTTGCATTTTTAGCTATGTTGCAGCCAGTCCTTATCATTCTATATGGTCCTGGACATAAGATCCAATGTCACAAAGTATTTTAAATTGAATGCTTTTTCCCCTCTATGTTGTATTAATTTGTAAATTACGCAACACCTTATTTTCACAGCTTTTTTTTTTACATATTTTTACTTGTAAACTTCAGCTGTTAAGGAATATTTGTTGGTAATATTACATCACTCTTTAACATATTAAACAGACAGAATACATATTCCACGCAACACCGCCAGACACACAGACACTCAATTGTAATGTACAGTATACACAAGTGAGAGCTCCAATAGGGCAGCTTTAGTCAAATGTTTCCATTTGAAAATAATTATATTGGGCGATCACTGCATTTGATAGTATTTGAACATATGCAGCAATTTCATCCAGATAAGATGTGATATATGCAGTATTTTTAAGAGGGTATATAAAGCAGAGTATATGCTTTTTTACTTTACTTTATGCACACTTACTATTATTTTGCGACAAAAACAAAGAATATGAGAACAGTCAAAGCTTAGAGAATCCTCAACTTGCCCTGAGGTTAGGCTCAGATCTCAAAAAAATTTTTTGCTCACTTACGCCATTGCAGAGAGAACATACACACTTTACATATCAGACTGATCTCGCTCAAAAGGACAGTTTAAATTTAAAATGTTAGCAAGTTCTCTCTGCATGAGCAATACAGCAACCCCTAACTATCTGTGAAAAGTGCTCTGTGCATTAAATTAGGCGCTTCAAATAAAACATTTTCTGAAATGCCACTATATAAGCTATAAGCTGCTACAACACTGTTGTGGAAGTCTCTCTTATCCACCGAATGTAGTATTTAGTGCAAGTAAGGGGTTTGATAAAGTGACATACACCCTCAAAAGGCATGTACCATACAGTTTACATAAATTAAATAAAAAAATAAAAAAAGATTCTAATGGTGAAGTACAAATGATACAAGGAGTAAACTGTAAATATAGAGAAAACACACTCACAAATAGAGAGCCAAGTATGGGACTGGCTCAAATCACGATCGCTTTGGTGTACTTACGTGACACCTTTCCCTCTTCTCGTTGGTTTCCAAAGCAGAGAAAGGGACTTCTAGTGTAGTATATAAGGCACCATGTGTGAAGTGGTAAATATAATATATATTTCTCACCTTTGCCAGAGCCTATAAATAAACCTGGCTCTGAGTGTAAATGCCTATTATCCACTAAAGGGGGGTAACCCTTCTTTACTGGAAGTAGACGGAGTTGCAGCCGGTGGGACTTAAAATAAATTTGTTAAGTATTAACATAAAAAGTCAATAAACAAGCAAAAGCAATAAAGTATTGTCCAAAATTGGGGCTGATGCTTGCTTCGAGACGCGTTTCGCCCTTGGGTTTTTTCAATCGAAATCAAAAAACCCAATTGTTTGGGTCTTCTTTGGGCCTCATCAGCGAGGTATAGCCAATGCCCCTCTAGGCACAGTAAGCAAGGAGTCCACGTCTGGGTTACCCTTTTTACTTAGGTAGAAACCTTAATAGCTTGCCCTTCAATTATTCCCCACTAAGGTCTCAAAAATGTTTTTGAGATTAGAATTCTTTTGACTCATACAGAGTACACAGTTGTATAAATATATAAACTAAATGGTTTCTAAGGCGGGTAACTCTGGAAATGTATAGAGCTGAATTTAAGCAATGTATTTATCTGTCAGCACAGTCTGTTCTCCGCCCGCATTACACCATGTGGCTTATCAGCCAAAAAGTCTTCAATTTCAAAGAGGAAAAATGAAAAAGAGTGAACGAAAATAAGCAGAAACAACTACCATTCTAACAATATAAATGATCAAAATAAATACATACAAATGAATAAATAAATAAATAAAAAGGTCAATCACTTTCCACAAGTAGCTTAATTCATCCACTTATTGTTCCTGTACCATTTGGTAATGGTCTAAATTATTGTTAAATTTCTCCCTTTAGAACATTGTAAAGCTCTGCAGATTAAGTTGGTGCTATATACATGCCAATAACAATAATGAATCTAACCACAGCTAGGTTTGCCATGTGCAATGAAGCAATTTGTTTAATTCACACAAATTGCACATTGATGTGATTTTATTTTACGAATTGCTTCACTGAATGTAAGTATGAATGTACAGCCAGGACAGTCTCAAACTAGACAGATTTTGACAGAAAGTGTGTTACTGAACTACAGGGATCAATAGGATATATGTACAATGCACCCATAAAATGTCTGCTGAAAATGACTGGTGAAAACTTCGCAAATAAGCAATTATTAGCACATTTTTATATACTTTATTAATATCTAGGCATTTTTTAAACAATTACATCTTAAAGGATCACCCTAAACACCTTGCTGAAGTGCTTTATATGTGAATAATATGTTATTTTTTAATTTTACAAAAAGTGCAGAGTTCAACAGAAATTGGCACTTTTATAAATTAAACTTGTTACACACCCTGGCTGTCAGTAAGACAACAGCTTTTGCTAATTCCTGGTTGGTTAGCTAAGTGGAGCTCAACTCAACAGGCAGTAGTTGCCTAGAGCACCTGCCTTGCAAAGCTGCATTGGCAGGTCTGTGAGTGAATAGCCATATAAAGCCTGGGCTAAATTAGAAGGGAAGGGCATCCAAAACCTGAAGACAAGAGAGCTGCAGTTTTTGCAAGTTGTTTTAGATATAACCTTAATGGAAAGAAATACATAATTACATGCAGTGAAATGTCCCTTCAAAACAGTTTTGTAAGGGGGGGGTGATTCTAGCACATTAGAAGTAAAAATAAATAAAAAATATTTTAAAAAAGACACTTTCTCTCTCACCTGCCTATAACTGTCATTTGGGCTATTACAGAATGTATCTTTCACATAAGACAAGCAGTAGCATAGAGACTAGATTTGGCACTGGGTGAAGTATTTCTTGTCAAAGCTCTTTAAAAAAGTTTGACACATATCAAGGAGATGGTGTACAAAGATTCTCTGCTCTATAACAGACGCAATGAGTTGTAATGCATATGGAGCTCAGTTTGTGCCTTTTTAATGAATGTCTCCAGCACATAGCAAATATGGATAATGCATCTTTACAAAATAACTGAAAAAATATTGCTGGACACTTGGTCTATATAATGATCAGTGAACAAAATTATACAAATGAAGACAGGAAAGATGATCCTATAAATACGAGAAACAGAATTTGCTGGCGCTTTAATAGAAACCACATAACTGGACTTATTTTGGATGGTCTATACTCCCACACATATTTTATTCTACATCTCAGAAAACACATGCATAAATGGATTATTCCATTACTTCCAATTTCCAAACAGACTGCAAATTTCTTCATAGCGGTTACAAGTTTGGTACTTACTGAATTTATGCACTATATAGTAAAAATAGTACACTAAAATTACTAATGCACAATACAGGTAAGCACTGGGTACCAACAATGTAATTACAGCTATATACCGGTAGTTGAATAATTCTTCCCTTTTCCTCGGAAGTCCATCATCTGGAGATGAGTTCTAAAATGGTCTTCATTATTTGCGGTTAACACACAAAGATGTACATAAGTGATAAAGAAGTGCTGTAAGTTATTACTCTGCAAAGGAGCCTAGAAAAGATGGGGAGACATTCTGTACCAGTTATGTAACAGATGAATTTCAGAAAAAATGTAATAACTATGCATTTGAAAAAATAGAATTAGAGCTCAGTTGCATATGGAATTTTTCCATATCACTCAATCACATGCACGTGGGTTTTAATATTACAATGGTTGGGCAAAGCAAGCACCACAGCCAGTCAGACACATGTTGCTGGAGCTAACTTTGGCACATGCCTGCACATTCTACCGCACCCACGAATCGGCTTGCGTTACTCTATACTCCAATACCAATGGGGAAGAGCACCGGGTCGATCCGGGCTCCAGATTCCGATATATTGGGACTTTTATGCGACAGCTCATTAGACCAGAGATTGTTATAATGGTGCCCACAGAGTCCTATACTTCAGCTTCCTTGTATGAGAACAGCCTACTGGCTGATGTATCCACATTTGCCCTGGTACCTAGAATCACCCAAGGGACCACTACACTTGGGAATACTGCCCCTTCAACTAAAGTTGACATTAAGGCTTTGCTACATGATATTAAGTTACTGGTCGAATTCTGCCAGTGAAGGAAGATTTGGAACACGAAGGTGGCGCAGACGCTACTGACACGGCCCCTAATGTCATATAGAAAAGCAGTGGTGATCTGTCCAACCGCACGGCTAATTTGGAGGACAGGACCAAAGCAAGGAATGTGCGGCTCAGGGGGTCACTGAGGCCAGTACATCTAAAGAACTGCCTCACTTTATCAGATGGCTCCTCTCTCCTCAGATGCCACTGAAACAGGCAAAATTTGTAATGTTGGATTACGGTTTTAAATTGTCAAAGGCCTTCAGGGCACCTCCAGGCACCAAATAATGTTCTCATCAAGTTTGTGCTGGACTTAGACAGAGAGGTTATTATGGGTGCAACCAGGGGTACTCCCTCAGTGACCTTTGAGTGCTGTCAACTTACCTTCTACTGGGACATGTCCCACCATACTATTTTATAAAGGCAGTCATTCTGGCCAATCACACCACTACTCAGGGACCATAATATTACTTACAAGTGGGGCCCACACAGGCTTCTAGTGGAAAAAGGCAGCAAGATCTACCATGTTACCAATCTCTTGGAAGCCTCCTAACTACTTGTGGTGATAGGGTTACCAGAAGGATTAAGATCAGTGACGACCCATCCTTTGTGGTCCATAGACCAAATTACACCATTTGTGCGCAGAAAAGCCTCGCCTAAGTCCAGCAAACTGTCAACATGAACAGCACTATTATTGTTTTACATGTATTTTAATTATTGCATTGCTTACATTTACATCTTTTACCTTACAGTGAAATTTATTTGAATATATGTTTTGTTTTTCTTCATGCCTGGTTCCGTTGGCTGATAGAATCACGCTATATAGTTCTGACTATCTTTAAGTCATACATGCCACAAGATGTACTTGCCCACGGATCTAAAATTAGCATGTGCTACTAGGAGATTATACCTTTAATGCTACCAATCATTTGTTTGAATATTTTCTAGTTATCAGTTGACTTTTTGTTTAATTAACAATAGCCTCACTGGTATGTATTATAATATTTGCTAACAGAATAAACATTAATTCAGTATTATTAAAAATGTGCAGTTACTCAATACTTGTATTTCATCCATCATGTGCACCATATTGTCTGAATGTATAATTCCAAATGATGTATCGCTCTGTTCTGAGATGTTATTTTTTTGTGGTACCATTCTATGCATGTACTCTGAAATTTATGTTTGGGGGAAAAAACAGCTGTTGCAAGCTATTTTAGATATACCTCCAATGGAAAAATGCATAATTAAATGCATGCATGTTTTCATTGGGGGTATATATACTAAGGAGTGCTTTTTATTGTTGCCTTTTTTTAAAGTTTGGGCAGTAATTGCATATGCATTACTACTTACACATTAGGTTTCACAATTTTGGTTCAGTTTATATTTAAAAAAAAAAATCTAAAAACTTATTTAAGGACACAGAACATACATTATTTAAAAGAGATGTGGTTAGTGCAAACATGACATTTTTATTTTTGACAAGTCAAACATTGCATCAGTTATTTTTAGTTTATTATTATGTATACAATATATTGCAATATCATAAAAATACATGTAAGTTGAAGTACAATTATCTAACAGTAGGAAACGACCAATGGCTCTTTTTCTTTAAAATCAATGTCTCTGTTGCCAATTTGAATAATTAACTTTTTTTTAAATTCTTTATTTTGTCATGTAAGAAAAATACAAGGCAAGCAATGCCTCAACAGCGATTGCCAGCGCGTCGGTCAACATTTACAAACAGTTGTTTGGCACTTCATAACATTGTACATTTTATATTTTAAGGTAGTTTCATCAAGAGTTAAGCCAATGTTAAGGCAGACGAGGTACTGATTCAGATTAATATACTGACATTTGGGAAGATTGTGGGGTCACAAGACAGGTCTTATTTGTGTGGGTTATAGAGTAACAAGGCATAACATTGCAACAACCATTAGCTGTAACTTTTAAGGGGGCCCCCACCTACAGCTGCCACAGTCTCCCGATAGGTATGGGTATGGAACTGCTTAAGAATCTATAGGGTTGCACCTTTTGCTAAAGCAGAAGGTTAAGACCCAAGTGTTAAGCATACTGCCCAACAATTAAAGGGTGTCTTGGATCTTGTGTAGAAGGCATGGCTATGTCACTTTTATAAAAGCATGTCTCAGTGAGTCTCATTCAGCCTATGCCTGCAAGGGTCTCCCGCAGTGGTACTCACCCATCCCAGATCTCAGTCCTGAGTGCCCCAATGACAGGCTTGTCTGCGTGCGGGGGTAGAGGCTTACTGCAGAACCATCAGGGATGCTTGCCAGATGTGTTTGGTTCCAGCTTGTGTATAGGCTCAGGCTCTTTGTGGCTCTCATGTTGAGTTGAGCCGTGGTGGTGTGCTTGATTGAGGCTTGCTGTTTTTGCACAGAGTGGTAGAAGCTGACAGATGTCAACGCGCTGGTTTCTCTGCCGGCGAGAGACAGCGTCTTCTTCTGTGCCATTTTCTGGTGCTCTCTGCTATGCTGGGTGTACATCCAGAACAAAAGTGGTAAGGTAGCGTCAACGGTGTATCCTCATTCTGGGCATGAGTGGCACTCAGGCGCTCATCGAGTTTCCTCCAGAAGGCCTCGAATATAGCATCCAGCTGCGCCAGAATGTCGGGAATGTGTGTTGTATCAGTTTGCCCAGTAACAGTCTCCGCCATTTTGGTGTCAGCGCGCCTCAGCTTGGGTTGCTGACACAGCCTCCGGAGGGTCCCTCCTGAGCTTGGGATATCCCCCACCGGTCCATAGGGGGGACGAGAGCCTACATACAGGATATTAGCCATTGGAGGCAACAGAGGAGCGGCCTTCTCCCTAGCGCCTACCATGTTGGTGTGCCTTGGGTTTTGCCTCGATGGTTCCTGCTTGTTGAGCCGCATGTTTGGTATCAACATGTAGCCCCCGGTTTCGCCTTTCTATGGGTGCTTGTTGGAGCAATTTGCAATTCGTTAAAGGCTCTTAATGCAGGGAATATGCCTTGAGGAGCAGGAGCAGATTTATTCTGTGTCCACTCAGCTCAGTGGTCAGGCCCCCCCTCACCCCTGAATAAATCACTTTTTGAAATAAATAATAGAAGAATAATGAATTAGGGTAGGAATAAGGACATGGGGTGGAGCCCCAATTTATCTACTGTCAAACTTTATCAAAGAAAGCCTCCGAATGGTGGACCCAGACCGTTAGTTTGTCTATAAGATATGTATCTTGTACTCTCTTCCACCTCTGCCAGGGACCACAGTTTTAACCATGCCTGGTTCAAAGCTTTACTGGCTGCCAAGGCAATCTTACTGAAACTTTTCGATCACATGATGGGGTTCAGTCCCATGGCTTAGACTGCAGTAGTTTCCAAGGATCTAAGGATATATTTCTGCCAAGGACCTTACTTAACCTTCTGTACAAGTTTCCAAAATTGTTCGCCCTTGGGGAAAAAACACCACGTGTGGATAAGTTTCTTGATTGCTGCAAAGATGTCAGCATGCATCTGTGGGGGCTTTTCCCATATGATACAACTGTATATCACAGGGCCGGGCCACCGAGCCGACTGGCAGCCGTAAGCTTTAGCTCCAGACCCGAACATGTGAAAGTGGCACAAAAAGTGAGTGCAGACAGTTTCAAAGGCAACTTCTCTGCAGTCACGGAGAAGAGCATAAACCCAGCTCCACACTGATAACTGCAAGTCACCAATTGCCGGGAGAGCAGATGCGGACATCCCCGGTTTACTCATGGCTGGGAGCCTGTACACATGCAGCATTTAAATGGGGCAGGTGGCATATGAGAGCCCAGAGTCTGATACCGCACAAACAGTGCTTTTCGGCGGCACGGCCCCGCTCCCCCCCATGGCCGGCGGGGGTTATCCCGGCCTCATGGTGACAGCCCTCACGTCAGCGGGATCAAATGCTGCTGGTAGCAACATTTGATAGGAGAAGCGCAACATTTTGCAGCTTACACCTACATCCAGTCTAGTCGGAAGAGATTGCGTTTCTTTATCAGCTTGGATGCGGACATCACCAGAGGTGGAGCTGAAGGCTACAGTGGAGGAGTCCCGGCAGACAAAAACACACACATATATATATATATATATATATATATATATATATATATATATATATATATATATACACATACACACACGTGTCCCACAGGGACTTCCTCTACCCATACAAAATGGTGGCGCCTTGAGTATAGATCGGGTCAGAAACTAAAGATCAAAAATAGATAATCTGGGGGGTTTAGGGGCATTTGGGGGTGACTAGGGGGTCAGTTAGATGTAGAGTCGGGAGGGGGGTTAAAAATAAAAACGGGATTCGGCCATGATAGTGCCGCTTTAATGGTTTAAAGAAATGCTGCACATACAGAGATATTTGCACTATTGTGCTGGGGGATAGTTGCACACTTGGCAAAAGTGACTGTTCCAAGCATCCTAATGTTAATGCTGTGCAAAGATTATACTGGCAACAGACAAAACCACTGGGAGCACACCTACAAGGGGAGAGTGAGTGTGTGTGTGTGTGTGTGTGTGTGTCACACACTAGGGGTCCCCAAGCCCTTAGTCACCCACCCACCACCCAAAAAAAAAAAAAAGTAGCCCCCTACCTTCCCCCTTCACCCTAAAAAATAGTGGGTCAATATGATCCCCATAGGGAGGGAGCTGCGCGGCGGTAGCTCCCTCCTTGTAATAAACTGCACAAACAAACACTGATACACAGTGTTAGTTTGTTCGTCTGATTTTTCTATTCATTCATTCATTCATTCGTCTTTCTGATGAATGAATGAATAGTTGAAATTCCCGTTCGCATGTCCAAGTGTTTAACTGGGCATGTGCGAGAATCTCACAGTGCTATCTAGTGCGGGCAGATGACGTGTCCCACAGGGACTTCCTCTACCCACACAAAGATGGCGGCGCCCTGAATACAGTAGGTCCCCCCCCATTGTAATTTATGGCCTCCACCCACTGCTCAAGGGTGGGGGCTGGGGGGAGGACAGTAAGTCCCCCCCCGATTGTCCATTATGGCCCCCACCCACCGCTCAGGGGTGGGGCCAACAGGCTGCCCACTGTTTACTTGACATGCCCCTGCTCGCAGTATAGCGAGTAGGGTCATATCATTTACTAATAGTGATGTCCCGAACGGTTCGCCGCGGACTCATCATTGAGTAGACTTTGACCCTGTACCTCACAGTCAGCAGACACATTCCAGCCAATCAGCAGCAGACCCTCCCTCCCAGACCCTCCCACCTCGTGGACAGCTCACTAAGAATGCAGCTTCACAATGAATGTAAAATGGATGCTGTCCAGGATGTGGGAGGGTCTGGGAGGGAGGGTCTGATTGGCTGGAATGTGTCTGCTGACTGTGAGGTACAGGGTCAAAGTTTACTCAATGATGAGTCTGCGGCGAACCGTTCAGGACATCACTATTTACTAATAATAAGTAATCTTTACTTAGTATTAGTAAAGTTGGCTGAAAGACCAATTTAGGTCTTTCAGCCTTTTGGTAGATAACTCCCTGATACCGTGGGAATTAGGGAGCTATCTACTAAGCAGCTGCAAGCTGCAGTCGCGGCAATGAATAGGATCGGAGTTTCATTCATTCAAATGAAATTCCGATAAGAACAAAGTGCCGAATTGAGTTCTAAAAGAAACAAACATACTGTTCTCATTCAGTTAGAACGCAATTCAGCAGTTTCGTCTAAAATGACAGGAAGCATCGCGAGATCACAGAGGAAAGGTAAGAATTATGGGAAAATTGCTCTGACCACCGGAAATGAAGCACACTTTGCTCCTCCGCTGGTCAAATGGAGGAAACCTCCATAAGGCAAAGAGTCCCTACTTTGTCTTATGATTTTAAAGAAAACTAAAGAAGACAGGAAGAAAAGAAGAACAGATCCCGAGAGAGGGGGAGAAGAGGAAGAGATTGAGGAAAGGTAAGTTCGGCATGACAGTGCCGCTTTAAAAAGTTAACATGATTGTTATTAAAGAACAGAAAAAAAAACTACATAATTGCACCAACCTCCACTTTGCATGCTTACAAGAATGCATATCTGCCATCATTTGGCTTGAAATCCAAAAGAATAGACACACAGATGCTTACAAAACACATTCAGAGATGTCTCATCCTAATGGACACTGTTGTGAAAGGCTCCTACAAGTCTCCCTTTTCAACAGAATGCACCAAAGCAGATATATAGGAGCCGACTACTGTGAAGTGGTCTTGATAAGCTTAATCTTTTTCTATAAACACCAAAAATTGCTGGACTTCTGTGGTACAACAGTTTTGTGAGAGAATATACGGTCTTTACTCCAATTCAGAACATTCACTTGAGAGTTCACTTCTCCCTTAAACCTCTTCATCATCATTACTGCTAAAAATTACAAATTAACCTTTGACAATGCACCAATGACTGTGTGATTAGATATTCCACTTTCAAACTCCTACTTATGATTTTGAAGACTCCTTCCCTGCCTTACTTCCTCTCCTGTATATGCATTCCACTTGGAGGAAAGCTGGGCCAGCTCTATTGGTAATAGTATGGCTCATCTATATGATCACATACGCAATTCACAAATTCTCCATATAACACAGCCAAGGCATAATAATTAAAACGAAAAAACAAACAAACACCACAAACTTAGTGTTCAAATAATGTAAGTTACTTAACTTCAGTTAATATGCAGCCTCCCGAGATCGTTATCCACAACGAACGATATTTACAAAATACATAGAACCACAAACAAAAACGGGATACGGCTGTATAATCTATGGAGAGAACATACAAAAACAAAATAGCGTAATACAGTATATACAATGAATTGTGCGCTTTAAGTGAATGCACTCACAAGATGATGGAAAAGAAGAGCTTTCATAAGGTGCTTCCCCTGATAATATGGGGGGCTAGCAGTCCCCCTTGCCAATACGAAGCAGCCAATGGAACACGGGACTCCAGGTAGGTAATGGACAAAATCCAATGCTTTTTATTTTTTATTATTTTTAAAAGGTGAAATACACCATAAAAATAAAAATTAAGAATACAGCAATGGGTCCAACGCATTTCGTTCAAACTAGAACTTCCTCAGGGACCACACAATAATAAAACATACAATATCACAGATTGTAAAATAATGCATCCTACTCCCCCCCCTTAACACAATCCCTTTAAATAGGGCTAGTCCCAGTGTCCCATTGGTCCATACTGTAGGTGTTTTCCAATAGCCAGCTCTTCATTGGTCCTGGGGTAACTCCTTCCAGCTGATAATATTTTCGGCACTTGTTTAAAACAAATTTAGGCGCATTCAATGAAAAGGACGAAACCGGAAGTAGACGCAATCTCTTACTTCCGCGTTCCACATGCGATCCAAATGCGTTCCATCTCCATATCACATTCACATCAACAAGAAACAACAATGCAAATGATCCTTCAAATGGCCGTACGGCCAAAAGATAATAAATTAACTTTATTCAGAGAATATTTATAATAAATAATGAATTATGGCTTTTCAATATATTAATGATGTATGTGTCACTTTAAATAGACTGTTTAAATTATAAAATGGTGTGGGTTATTGAAATATATATTTATAAAACATATGCTCAAGAGTTTGTGGGCTATATTGATACCCTAATTTCCACATCTAAGATACTAACTTCTTCTTTTTTTACATAGAGAATAACTATACTAAGTTAATTTATTATCTTTTGGCCGTACGGTGTCTCCTTCCGGTTTCGTCCTTTTCATTGAATGCGCCCAAATTTGTTTTAAACAAGTGTCGAAAATATTATCAGCTGGAAGGAGTTACCCCAGGACCAATGAAAAGCTGGCTATTGGAAAACACCTACAGTATGGACCAATGGGACAAACCCTATTTAAAGGGATTGTGTTAAGGGGGGAGTAGGATGCATTATTTTACAATCTGTGATATTGTATGTTATTTTATTAGTGTGGTCCCTGAGGAAGTTCTAGTTGGAACGAAACGCGTTGGACCCATTGCTGTATTCTTAATTTTTATTTTTATGGTGTATTTCACCTTTTAAAAAAATAGAAAGCATTGGATTTTGTCCATTACCTACCTGGAGTCCCGTGTTCCATTGGCTGCTTTGAATTGGCAAGGGGGACTGCTAGCCCCCCCCCATATTATCAGGGGAGGCACCTTATGAACGCTCTTCTTTTCCATCATCTTGTGAGTGCATTCACTGTATATACTGTATTACACTATTTTGTTTTTGTATGTTCTCTCCATAGATTATACGGCCGTATCCCGTTTTTGTTTGTGGTTCCAAGGCATAATAATTAACTGAATGTTCTACTACAAAACAAACAAAAAATACTTCATCCCAATTGGAATTTTGCAAACATAAACTTTATTATTAGGGAGAGTGCTCCAGCAAATTGCTACCAGATATTGCAAACTGCTCACAACTAAACATAGCTACACAAGAGACAAACAAAAAGTCTGCCTTACAAGGAAAAGACACCAAGGCAAACAGATAAGTAGATTACTAAATTTCAGCCTGTCCTATCCTTATTTTTGTCTTCCTGCACATGTCTATTAAATGGCACTTTCATAAGCCAGCTTTATGTGTACACCAGACTATGAAAACACTGATTAGTATACATGATGCACATGAGGGATCTATAATTATAACCAGCATTTCAGTTGCATTTGGAAACAACCAGTTATAACCATAAATTGTATTGCTCACCCACTGTCTGTCAGTTCACAATGCAGGAAAGGAAGTACTGCATGGAGAGGATAGAGAAAACACCGGGAGCTGGACAGCCTGGTGATTTTCCTGCACTAAAGGGGTCTCTGAGCCCTGTATGTGTGAAGCCCTGCCTCGGTGTGTGTGAGTAGGGAGGGGGTTGGGACTGTACCCATTACGGTTCTGTAATCTTGCAATACTAACTGCACACAGAAATAGTACGTTTTAGACATCACATTCGCCTGTGCAGGGATACATCTATTAAACAGTAAGGACAGCTTGTCAGAAATAGGAAGTTTAAAAGGAAGGTATTTACATTTTTGAAAATTCTATTACTGTGCTGAATGTAAGCCTGTAGTATTCCTTTATGTAAGATGGTTACAAGACATTTTTCAGATAGTGACTTTGTCCAATCATGCAGCATAATATTCATAAAACTGCATTTTACATCAAAAATTTCCTTGAAGTGGGCAGGTACCTCCATATTTCAAGGCCTTTCATACAAGCCTCCGTCTATTCTCATTTCTACAAAAAAAAAAATTTTGTCTTTACATTATTAATAAATAACAGAATTCTTATAAACAAACTCGTATTGTTTGCGAAGAAAAAATAAAATAAAATGTACAATTGATAAGCAACAGCAACTACTACCTAATTGCAAAACCCATCCCAAGAGAATTGGATGGGGATATTTGGGGATAATATGAGTTGTAATCTGTGTATTTAGCTACCCACCCAATCATTGGTGAGGGTGGGTAAAAAAAAAAAAAAAAAAAAGGACTACTGGGAGGTCCATCCTGCCCTATTTTAGTCATATCCCCTATCCCACAGCTAAAAGAAAAGGAGTTAAGAATGGGTAGGGAGCTGCACCTGCCACAGCTTTATTTATTTAACCACCCAGTCACAGGGCAGAAGTGAGGGGTAAGAGATGGATCACATTATAATTATATATGTAATTCTCGCTAATCCCAATTTCATTTTTAGGCATACAGATCATCAATTTGGTGTTCAAAAGCACAGGGTCTTCCCAGCTAGGACATTAGAGTAAAAACTCTAATGTCCTAGCTGGGAAGCCCCTGTGCTTTCTAACACCAAATGGATGACCCCCATTTAAGATTACCTGCAGGTCCCTCATTTTGCCATTGCAAAATAACACAATCCCTTAGAAAGCATGCTATTTTGAACTAGTGATACATGCACTAAAAATGGCTATTTCAGGTGGAAAATATAAACACCAAGAGAAGTACACTTTTTACAATATGAAGCCTGCCTCTCAAGGTATAGGTTTGCCTACAATGAAAGATAACATTTTCAACTTGGCCACTAAGGTAACATAGTAAGACAATGCTGGAGAACAACATACTCCTGCACAAAGCACAAATGTGCGAGGGGATTGGAAAGAAAATAAATCTTACAAGTGGCAGCCATGTAAGGGACTAACATGTTCTTGAGATGTCCTCTTGCCACCCTCAAGAGACCCCAAGTTTTCTTTCACAGTAACCACCTGATTAGAACAAAAGGGAAACGGGGGGTAAAGGGCTCTCTTTCTTAACAGTGCTTAAAGGAACACTATAGTCACCTAAATTACTTTAGCTAAATAAAGCAGTTTTAGTGTATAGATCATTCCCCTGCAATTTCACTGCTCAATTCACTGTCATTTATGAGTTAAATCACTTTGTTTCTGTTTATGCAGCCCTAGCCGCACCTCCCCTGGCTATGATTGACAGAGCCTGCATGAAAAATAAACAAACTGGTTTCACTTTCAAACAGATGTAATTTACCTTAAATAATTGTATCTCAATCTCTAACTTGAACTTTAATCACATAATCTTGCAGGGTCTAGCAAGCTATTAACATAGCAGGGGATAAGAAAATCTTAATTAAACAGAACTTGAAATAAAGAAAGCCTAAATAGGGCTCTCTTTACAGGAAGTGATTATGGAAGGCTGTGCAAGTCACATGCAGGGAGGTGTGACTAGGGTTCATAAACAAAGGGATTTAACTCCTAAATGGCAGAGGATTGAGCAGTGAGGCTGCAGGGGCATGTTCTATACACCAAAACTGCATCATTAAGCTAAAGTTGTTCAGGTGACTATAATGTCCCTTTAATTTAATGAGCGTTTGAGAATGCTTGCATAGAAAATTTAGGTCCTGGCACCAACAAGGCTCTGATCTATTAAAAATGCAAAAATTATAACAAAAATAAATAAAAAAACAAACAAAAAGGATTCAATTAGGAGGTTTTTTTGGGGGGTTTTTTTTTTTAAGAAGAAGGGATAACTAAAAAGATTACAAAATGGTAAAAATAAACAAACAAATAAAAGCAAAAAAATGAAAGCAAAGATGCAGGAACTCCAGAAAGTGGTAATATAGTCATTAAATGTGGCTTTGCACGAATGTAGATACACAGAAAGGAATGTGTAAAACACAAACAAAAACTATTTCAGGGTGGCCATTTCCTAATCCACATACATATACTAATGTCCAGATAACTTTTTAAATAGCAGGCTTGATGAACTATGCGATTCCAGTAGGAAGTTAGGCACAAATATTCTTCTCCATGACCTGTCTCCTAGATGTCAAACATACAATGTAATGCAAAACAAAACATGAAGTTCATTTCAGAAAGCTCCAGAGACACTGAAGGACAGATAAGCATGATATAAGTATAAACTACAGCACTGATCTGTGTGATAGAGCTGTGTAACACAGGGCAGTAAGGACACTTCTAATAAGTTGTATACACTGCTGAGATATGCAGCCATTATCAACCTCTTGTATACATAATGTGTAAATAAAAATGAAATGGCTTTTTTATTTCAGGCATTAACTCCAATATGTTGTGACTAATTTGAAGTTTTCTCATTGTTAGACAAAGACCAATAAATTATATGTCAATAATGGTGTAGTCAAATCATCCCTACAGTTTATTCTAGGGGTATTTGTGACATTCCTCTAGTTTGAGCAGTAGAGGCTAGTGCATAGGGGCACCTCGGGCAGTGACGCACCAGTTTTTATGTGGGGGGGGGGTGGGGTTGGGGGGAAGGAATATATTTGCAGTAGTTTAGACACTAAGATTCTTGTTCAGGAGGAGAAAAATATGGGGAAATTTTTTTAGCCTTTCTTTATTTCTGCAGGGCCCCTATCATTCAATGCATTATCATTTGGTGAATTCCCCAAAATTACTCACTTTGTTGTGCTTGGTGTGGTTCTGTCACCCTTTTGTGACGGCCTCCACAGAGAGCAACTGCTTATGCACTTTGAGATGCCCACTGTACTATATACCATGACCGTTACGAGTGGTTTTAGAAAGACAGACTCACCACAGTTGGGGAGATTGGGCTATTTTGTTGAAGTAGCTGTCCAGTAACAGCCTGAAAGGGTTTCACACGCCATAAGACCATAGTGAGAGGCAATCACAACCGACCTATGGTGTGAAAAACATCTGATGCCCCAGCATTGTATGCCGAAGTTAGCGGCCAATTGGCTAGTGTGGACTGCCTCAGCAATAAGGCAGTCTAGAAATAGGCAATGATTGGCTCCCAGTCTGGATAATTATTCTGGAGGCCAATCACAGTTATCGCTTGCCTTAACTGTTATTTAAGGCAATGTGATTACTGTGATTGACTCCAAGTAATTAATCAGCCTGTGGGCCAATCTACTAAAGAGTAAATTTTTAGGGCTAATGATCGATATAGGGTTAGCTAGTGTTAGGGTTATTTAGGCCTAGCAAGGGCTAGAAACAGTAACACATATAATGTCATGACACCAAACCTTATCTCTGGGAAGAAGGTATTCAATTACTCTACGAGGAGATGCTGATTGACCAGGGTTGTGTTTGACTAGTGCTGGCTCTGCCCCGATCTGCCTCCTTGACAGTCTCAGCCAATCCTATGGGGAAGCTTTTTGATTGACTCAGACCACCACTTCTGATTATGTTAGCAGACAGCAGGCAGATGAGAGGCAGACAGGGGCAGAGCCAGCAGCTGCAAACTTCAATACAAGTACGATTTTACTATATTTAGGGAGGTAAGAAGAAGCCAGGGGGCTAGGAGGTGGATTTAACACTATATGGTCAGGAATGCAAGTTTGTGTTCCTGACCCTATAGTGTTCCTTTAAAATACTGGATTAAATTAAAATGTAATTAAACTTTACTAAAGGGAAAAAAAAATAACTTAACTCATACCAAAGGTTGTTGTTTTTTTAAGTGTAAGAAATGTATTGTATGTAAAACTACTGAGTATACTGACCAGAATAAAACTACACTTTTTATGACCAACGATACAAACAAATCCTATAAGATCAACTATTTTATCACTTGTAATACATAAAAAAATGTAACTTAGCTTTTAGAATGCCCGGCAGTATGTGGGAATGACATCTAGGAGTTTAAAAATGCAAATAGCAGAACACTGTTGCAATATAAAAAAAAAAAAAAAAAAAAGCATACCGAAACCATACATTGTCAAAACATTTTATTCTGCATCAAAATAACCCTGAATGCTGTTTTCCGTGAAGACAGGTGGGGACATGAAGACAATATTGGGCAATTAAATGCTCTGGGTTCTTAATCTGAAAACCCTTATACCCGGTCTAAACGCTGATTTTGTCCTTTTTCATTTTTTATAGATTGTATGGTGAATTTTATTAATTATCTTTTACTAGCAAAAACATATTATTCTTTTCCCAATTTAACACCTGTTTTAATTCAGTGATAGCCTCTACATTCAAAACAAAATATAAACAAAACCTAGTCTTTTTGCTATATGTCTGTTCAACCGTAATTCACCTCTTTCATATTAAGTGCCCCCACATTTATTATATATAATAAGCCCATCCCACAACTACAGGCCCAGGCCTTAAATTTGTAGTCGGGGCAATATTGCCGTGATGATAAGGTAACATAGCATAATTTCTAACCTTTAATCATAAATTAAATGACACCAGTCAGTTGTGGTGTGCCGGAACCGACAATGCAGTAGGCCTGTAATAAAAGAGGGCAAAAAGAGGTGTACCATACAAAATTTATTCATATAACAAACATCACTTATTTGGAAAAGTCATGAAAAGCTTACCGTAACACTTTAACTGGGTTTGGAATGTAAAGAGTATAAGCGGAAGATTTCCAGCATCCCATAGCTTTTATTACGTGAGCTGGAATGTGGTTGGAGGAAGCGGATGATGCTGCCCCTATGCGGAAGGAATGTCCTGAGAAAAGGTTTGCCTTTAGGCCGAGCCTAGTTAACAGTAAACGAACATAAAGCATGAATTTAGACCTAGTAAGGATGGAGCCGTGAAGTTCTAATAATGGCTGGTGTGGTTGTATTTGGAAAGTGTTAAAATAAGTGTCCAGAAATTTACGGGGCATCATTTATTGTGAGTAGGGAACAGAGGTATATTGACTGTATGTCCAATTGGGCTCGTTTTAGAATGATGAAGTGAGAGTACATAATGATCTAAGGTCTTGTGGATATCAGCTGTTTTCATGTATTCTGTGGCTGTTACATTTCTAGTGGTGAATGCTTTTGGACGTAAAAAGCTATAGAACGCTAGGTAGATGGCTGTTTTTATTACTATATTGGTTATATGTTCAAAAGGAGCTGTATCTTATAAATCGGAAAGTGAATGGAATATTTTGTTGTGGATGGGTAGTTTTTGAGATGATACATGTGTATTTATCTTTTGGATTCCTTTCAGGGAGGTCTTTATCTGATATGATAAAAGGAATCCTATGTTATTAGGGTGTCGTAGAAGCATGTGGTGTTGGATGCCCATAAGATACAGTTTAATTGTGTTAAAAGATAATTTTAAGTAAAGGTGGCAAACAAAAGTGAACCCCAGTATAGATTCCAAAGCAAACATGTCCTGAACTTGAAATTCCGCTATTAACTTAGTGAAGATGTGAAAAGCCCTACCGTACGTTTTCCTAGTGTTGACCAAAAGTGCAAAGTGGAAAATGTGTCGTGCATGAGTCAATAAGACATTTAATCCATGAGCATGTTCTGGAATGGCGAGGCAGGGGTAGCCAGCTGGGAAGCGGTGGGCAGAGTCTGGAAGAAAGCCTGAAAACTAAACCGAGACAGGTGATCAGCTGATATGTTTGTGAAACCAGGAACGTGAATATATGTGATAAAAAATTGGCAATTGGCCGCTACCCATGTGAGTTTCCTCAAAATTCTCATGATGACCAATGATGATGATTGGCCTTTATTCACAATGTGACAAGAGGCTAGGTTGTCCGAATAACATCTGACAGTGTGACTGGCCCACTTCCTCGGTCCCCAGGCAATGGCAGCTGCTACGATCGGATATAATTCGAACAAGGCCAATGTAGAGGAGAAGCTAGGCAGGGACGTAATGTGTGTAGGCCATGAACCCCAGAGCCATTGATTCCCCCAGATGGCTGCGAAACCAGTATTTGCCACAGCATCTGTCCAAAGTGTGGGTGAAATGTCAAATGCTGTGAGGGGTGGTGGTGGTGTAAGAGCGCAGCCAATAACGTGACGTTGATGCAAGTGTGGTATGGTTTAGGAAAAACTTTATTCGGGCACATGAATTTTGCATGAGCCCGGAAACAATGAGTACACACGTGTAACAATCTACATGAACTAAAACCACAAGTGCCCGCATTAAAATTGTTGCAAATTTGTGATTTGCCAAGGAAGACAATGTCCCTACCCAGCTTATCCTTCAAGATCCTGGTTGGTCTTGCAGAGTTCGGGACAGAGTGGCCCAGCTCAACTTCTGCCGTATTAGGGCAAACATTTGTACTGTGCGCCGTAGATGCACAAACTGCACAGGCCGGAGTCCTGAGGCCTGCAAAATACCTGCAGAATAACTCAGTGTCCAGCTTACTCCAATTTATGCTGTAATTGAACCGAGTCAGAGCTGCAGCCACTTTTGCAGAGAAGGAACGGTGGTAGTCATAAAAGGCTGTACCACCGTATTTGTGCCCCAGATCCATAGAAACATAGAATGTGACGGCAAATAAGAACCATTCGGCCCATCTAGTCTGCCCAATTTTCTAAATACTTTCATTAGTCCCTAGCCTTATCTTATAGTTAGGATAGCCTTATGCCTATCCCACGCATGCTTAAACTCCTTTACTGTGTTAACCTCTACCACTTCAGCTGGAAGGCTATTCCATGCATCCACTACCCTCTCAGTAAAGTAATACTTCCTGATATTTTTAAACCTTTGTCCCTCTAATTTAAGACTATGTCCTCTTGTTGTGGTAGTTTTTCTTCTTTTAAATATAGTCTCCTCCTTTACTGTGTTGATTCCCTTTATATATTTAAATGTTTCTATCATATCCCCCCTGTCTCGTCTTTCCTCCAAGCTAATCCACCAGCTTGTGCATATAAACGTCAAATTCTTCTCTTTTCTCAGGATATACCAAGCAATATACATCCCTATAAATCCCAAAACCCAAAACAAATTCAGGAACGGATAATTAATTGTTTAACCTGGGACCTCTTGCCCACAGTACCACAGAAATGTTCCCATACGCAACTGTCCTGTTCTCAAGAACATCCTGGAAGGCAATGAGGAGATAGACTCGGTTAACGTTCTTGCCTTCCAGAATGTCCTTTTTAAGATGAGCTGGGACCATATGCGATGGGTTGATACTCTCGGGGACTTTAATTGAGGCAAGAGTATTACCGGGTATGACAGCTACTCCTGCAGGAACCTGGGAAGAACACACTGCTTCCAATTTCTCCAGTCTGTCACTAATAGTGCCAATGGATGATATTAAAGTCATCATGGCATGAAGAGCCGGCATCTGAGACCCACAAGGCCCTTCTCCAGCATCAGAGTTGTCGGTATTAGTATTTAAAAGTCTAAACAACTCTGCTTTCCTAGCAGTAGCTGGGAAAGGAATGCATCTTCTTCGTAGTTCTGTCTGTGAGGCGTGCGATAGTCAATCACCTCAGGGAAGATGGACTAGTCACATCAGTTCCTTGGGTGGGGGTACCGGACCTAGCAGGGGACTTCTACAAAGCAGCACTCTTAGACCTTCTACAACAATATTTTACCATATCCGGCTACAAATGTAATCTCTCTAAGTCAGAACGATTGTCTGATATACGAGCCAAATACCCCTTTCAGATCTCAGATCAAATATTTGGGGATTAATATTCCTATAGCTCTTCCTTCTCTTTATGACACCAGCTACACTCCTCTTTAAAAAGCAGCACACCGAGATATTCTACATTGGAGGAGCCTTGGGGTGTCCTGGTTGGGCCAGGTTGACTCTGTTAAACTGAACCTTCATTCAGATACTCCCCATCCCTATCAAACAATCAGACTTCAATACATCTACAAACTGCCATAGATAACTTTATCTGGAATCACAAATGACCTCAAATTCACAGAGCTACATTAGATGTGCCCAATTAGCATGGTGTACTAGGATTACCGGATTTTAAACATTACTACAAAGCGACTCAGTTAGTAGCCATTCAACAGTGACATGCACCACCAAGGCAGAAAAGACGGGTAAGTCTTGAACACCTTATTTTTGTCCTCTCTTTACATGTCGATACCAAAACAATATTGCTCACTGGTTCCCCCCCCCACATACCCAGCTATCACTTATGCTCTAGATATATAGGATAAATTAAAGAATAAATATGAACTTCGTCCTTTGTCTCAGCACTGACATCTATCTTAAAGAATAGAATGTTTCCCCCAGGACTGACTCCAAACCTCTTTGCCTGTTTTGAAGACAGAAATATTAGTCAATTCTGTCATCTTTACTCCCAGTCTGAAATAATTGCTTACAAAGACTTACCAGACTCATCAACTCTAACACCATTTCACTATTTTAGATACATTCAATTACATAATATGCCGGCTTTCAAGCAGTCAACAATTCCATTACCTTATTTGAAAGGGCGTGTATGGATGTGCCTAACCAGAGGGGTCCGATATCCACACTATATATATAGCTGTAGTGGAATATTCCATACAAATCATATTGCTCTACATTAATGCTTGGGAAATAGATTTGGGACCACTGGGGAAATCTAGTGACTAGTCAATATATGGGAGGCTACATCTTCCCTCACAATATGTGTTAGCCATAAAGAGCAATCATATACGATGCTCTTTCATTGGTACTTGCTCCTCTCTGTTTGTCACAAATGTAGGTGATACCCATGGACCTCTGCTGGAAGGGTTGTGGAGAAATAGAATCCTTCTTGCACTGCTGTGGACATCCCCTAAACTCACGCCCATTTGGCTCCAAGTCACTACTTTATTAACACTTATTATGGGTAAACCGTTTGCTACGGATGCATGGGCACTTACTAAGCCTCTAGATTCCTTCAGAAGAGCTGAAAACAAATTATCAGCTAGAATATGTACATAGTTTACACTATCTAATGTTCCTTGCCCTGTCCTTTCTTCTGCCCACTATACATTGCTTCAGGAGGCCGAGCCTACTTGTGGGGCCATTGATACTTCGTACAACTATCATTCACCCATCGATAGCCTTTATGCGACTTTCTCTCCTTCACTGCAATGTCAGAAGATACACCGGCTCCAGGCATCACAGCAAGGCACGAGATGGAGCAGAGCAAGAAGAGCAAAAAGATCACAGCTCCCTTGCCGTCCACCTCCATTCCTGCCTTGGTGGAAGGGGGATCTAAAACAGCCAGTTCTGAATGGGCTGACAAACACCCAGGTGGCAGGACAAAATTCCTACTCGCCATGGCGACCTGGGATATGTCAAGCCCTCAGCTAAGCAGCAAAAAACATTGCATGCAAGTTCTGCCTTGCACCGCCATTTATACAACAGAATCCTAAGTAAAGTACATAAAGATGACCTAAACTGCAGGTGCCACAATAAGTGAAGGATTTATTGAGAGGGACACCACCCCTCAAAACATATTTAGGCTTAGAGAGAATTACTCCAACCACCATGACCACTTCAGTGATTTGAAGTGGTCATGGTGGTAGGAGTGTGGATATGAAGAGCTTCTGCTTGAAATGCTGCACATTCAGAGATTATTATTATTGCTATCATCATTTGTATAGACCCAACATATTTCGCTGTACAATATTATGAAGGGGGAAATTTAACACTAGATGAGACAATAACAAAATGTTACATGAACATTAGGTTGACGAGGACCCTGCTCGAGAGAGCTTACAATCTAGAATTATTTGAACTTGTGTGTCTGGGGCTGGTTACAGCCCTGGCATAAACGTATAACTGGTACAAAAAAATTTACTTTGTGTGATTAATGAGGCAACAGACAGAGTTGGTATATTAAACCTAAGTCAGTGCCAGGAAGCCATAAAGCCAATTAAACAATAAAATTGTCAAATGGTTATAGCAGGCAACAGAGAATGAATAATAAGAATACAGTCAATTTAAAGACTACAGAAATAGGTGTAAACCAACAAATAAGACAAGTCATAACAGTACATCAACTAGAACATTATATATTAAACTCTGACAGGTACTGCACAACTAGACACCAAATAAAACGATTGATCTCTTTATAGTAATTTTCCAAGTATGCATAACAATTTGTTCTAAGACCAGGAAAACATGACCCGATTGATCATAAAGCAACACTGAAGATCTATCCCACATCTGCAGATCTACAGACACTGGAAAGATTAACGTATTGGATCATAGTTTAATTCTGACCTTTTATTTGCAGACTACTCCTTTACCATTTGAAGTTCCGGTTGTAAATTTTGTGAACTGAAAATTGCTTGTATATTTCACTTTGAAGGTGGTTTACATAGGGAACAATTCTAAATTTAAAAAATTAGGAAGACTTTACCAGCCTTCCAAACATTTTAGCTTCAGTGGTTACAAAAAAATAATATGTAGCTTCGCTGCACTGAAAACCAAACCAATCCTGACACCTAGTGGAAGCCAAAAAGGAAAATTTAGCTTCCAAAGAACCAATATATTGCGCCAGTTTCTTTATTTGGAGAGGTCAGGATGTCACACATTTTCAGCTAATTCAATCATGCTTAGTTTTTATAAGGCAATAGTTGTATTTAATCATGAAAATGTACAGTTTAGGATATATTTCTCAAATAAAATTATTATTCCACATCAAGCTTAATTTGGTTAAACAGAGACACGTTAATGGGACAGATTGCAGAGCTAAAGCACAATAACACACCAGTGAGGGAAAAGTTACATTGTAGAAAACATTTTAAACTATTCAGAATTGGTTGTTCAGATTTCGTCACAAAAAGAGCAAGATTTCTTGGCTAATGACACCCCTGAGCTGGGACACTATAGTCACAAAAACTACAGGATAATGTAATCATTCTGCTGTGTATAGTATGTCCCTGCAGAAAAAAAGTCAGTGTTTACATTGCGGCCTAGGAATACCTCTAGTGGCAGTCACTCAGATGGCCACTAGATGTGCTTCATGGGTCAGTGCTGCACAATATGCAGCACTGACATTTAGCATCTCCAGACTCTGCAAGGAGGCACTGAATGTCCCTCATAGAGATGCATTGATTTAAAAAAAATATATTAAACTCAAAATAATATATAAGGTTGTTTTGTATTTTGGTTGCGCCAAAATACAAAACTATATATATATATCACACCGGTTATTTTCGGCTTTAGTTTCAAATATCTACAAGCATTTTGGAGTCCAGACGGTTACCAATTAAGAGTACCTGAAGCATATATTGGACTCTTTGGGCTCAGTTTTTTTGGCGCAACCTGCATTGTGTTTAATATATTTCTCTTTCCCTTCTTTATATGGGGTTGAGGTTATCCCTTATACTCAGCGTTCGCAGCCTACACTTTTATATACCAAGTTGATATTTCTAGGGCTTATCCTATTTTTGTGTATTGATTCAATGCATCTCTATGAGGACATACTGATTGGCGTAGCACAGCTTTTTGCAGTGCATGAACAATAGCCTCCCAATGCTTTCCTATAAGAAAGCATTGGATTGGCTGAGATCATAAACTCTGATGATCTCAACGAAAGAGCAAGGGCTGATAAAAGGGGAGTTTTACATCTTTTCTATGGGGCAAGGGTGGGCTGGGAGCCTAAATTGCATATTTTAGAACTATAGTGTCAGAAATACATGTTTGTATTCCTGACATTATAGTGTTCCTTTAAAGGACCACTATAGTGCCAGGAAAACATACTTGTTTTCCTGGCACTATAGTGCCCTGAGGGTGCCCCCACCCTTAGGGACCCCCTCCCACCCGGCTCTGGAAAGGGGAAAAGGGGTAAAACTTATCTTTTTCCAGCGCTGGGCGGGGAGCTCTCCGACTTCGATCCTCCTCCGTTCCTCCCCGTCGGCTGAATGTGCAGGCGCGGCAAGAGCTGCGCGCACATTCAGCCGGTCGCATAGGAAAGCATTATCAATGCTTTCCTATGGACGCTTGCGTGCTCTCACTGTGATTTTCACAGTGAGAATCATGCAAGTGCCTCTAGCGGCTGTCAATGAGACAGCCGCTAGAGGTTTGGGGGAAGGCTTAACCCATTTATAAACATAGCAGTTTCTCTGAAACTGCTATGTTTATAAAAAAAAATGGGTTAACCCTAGCTGGACCTTGCACCCAGACCACTTCATTAAGCTGAAGTGGTCTGGGTGCCTAGAGTGGTCCTTTAAGCTAGGAGTGGGGAACCTTTTGTCTGCCAAAGGCCATTTGGATATTTAAAACAATTTGCGGGCCATACAAAATTATCACCTTAAAAATTAGCCTGCGGTATTTGGTCAAACATTTAATAAACTCACTCCTAATGTGATGGCTGGAACTGATTCTCTTTGGTGTGATGTCAGCTGGTATTGATGATGTTGCTACTCGCAGTGTGTGTGTGTGTGTGTGTGTGTGTGGGCTGCAGTGTATGTGTGGCATGCATTGTGTGAAGGGTGCAGAGTGTGTGTGGGCTGCAGTGTGTGTGGCGTGCATTGTGTGTGAGTGAAGGGTGCAGAGTGTGTGTGAGAGGGGGGTGCAGTGTGTGTGTGGGGGGTGCAGTTTGTGTGTGTGTGAAGGGGTGCAGTGTGTGTAAGGGGTGCAGTGTGTGTGGGCTGCAGTGTGCGTGGCGTGCATTGTGTGTGTGTGTGTGTGTATGTGTGAAAGGGTGCAGTGTGTGTGTGTGAGGGGGTGCAGTGGGTTTGTGTGAGGAGTTGTGTGTGTGTTAGGGGTGCGGTGTGTGGGGGGGTGCAGTGTGTTTGTGCAAAGGGCTCTATGTGTGTGCAGAGTGTGTGTGAGGTGTGCAGCGTGTGTGTGTGGGGTGTAGTGTGAGTGAGGGATGCTGTGTTTGTGAGAGGGGTTCATAGTGCGTGTGAGGGGTGCAATGTGTGTGTAGTGTGTGTTTGCGTGAGGGATGCTTTGTGTGTGTGTGTGTGTATGAGGGGGTTGCAGTGTGTTTGTGTGAGTGGTTCTGTTTGCGAGGGGGTGCAGTGTGTGTGTGTGGGGGGTCTGTGTGTTTGTGTGAGGGTTCTGTGTGTGTGAGGAGAGGGGTGCAGCATGTTTGTGTGAGGCATTGTGTGTGTGTGTGTGTGTGTGTGTGTGTCAGGGGTCTATATTGTGGCAGAAGGAGGGGAGATCAGGGAGAAAATCTATATTTTTTTTTATTAAAAAGAGGGGGGGAAATGTATGTACACAGTCTTACCAAGGAAAAAAAAAAAAACATATAGCAGACTACAGAAACAGCAAACTCTAATGATACCCAGATTAAAACTAGAGGAAATTCAAGCTGCTCACAAACCAGTAAATCACTGGGCTGAGAAATGCCATGCTATGAGAAATTTGGCAACCTAACATAACAAAAGCACTAGATTTGTTAAATGATGGAGTGACTTTTTGCCTGGGCCCCTCTCCTCCTCTTCCCTTCATTTTCCAGCCCTGCATCTTCTCCCCAACCCCTCTCTGTTGGTGTTCCCCATTGTTCTATCCTTGGCCACCTACTGTTATCGATCTATACTGCCTCCCTTGGTAAACTCATCAGCTCCTTTGGCTTCCAATAAAATTTCTATGCGTATGACACGCAAACCTATATGTCCTCTCCTGATCTCTCTCCACCCCCCTTGACTCGTGTCTGACTGCTTCTCTACTATGTCCAACTGGATGGCTGTTCACTTCCTGAAACTCAACCTGTCCAAAACAGAACTTTCCTCCCTCAACTGTTTCTACTCCTGTGTCTGTCTCTGTCTCCAAGTCTACAGAGCTACCATCAGCTCTACCTCACAGGCTCGCTGCTTAGGTGTTCTCTTTGACTCCAACCTCTCCTTCACCCCTCATGTGCAGTCTACCCCCAAATCTTGCCTCTTCCATCTCAAAAACATAGCGCGCTTCTGCCCCAATTTGACACTGTACGCAGCTACGGAGTTGGTCCATGCCGCTGTCCTATCTTGCTTGGACTACAATTTGCCTCTCAGTGGTCTTATGTGTACCCAACTTTCCCTGTTACAGTCTATAATGAATGCAGCGACAAGGCTCATCTTCATGTCCAACCGCACCTCCCATGTCTCTGATGCTCGCTTTCAAGACTTCTCAAGGGCTGCATCATTACAGTCATGATCTTGTTTAGGTCAGATAGGAGGCTTTGGCCAGAGTTAACAAAAGGTTTTATTGGTAGGTATTGTCATAACATCAGGATAACTTATCAGAGAAATAATAAGGAAAGTGAGAGAAATAAACGTTAAGGCAATATGCCCTATAAAGATAATAAACAGGTTGTTTGTAAATAATAAGAAATCTAGAGATAAAAGTATAGGTAGAATAGTAAGACAGGTATAAAGAACAATAAGGTTTCAGGGTAAGAAAATAAAACCTTGTAAATAAGAGTAAGCAGCAATGTCCAGATAGGGGTTATGCAGGTTTGTATAATTCAGGTAGGCAGGACAAAGCAGAGTTGTGAGCAATCCAGGTTGGTATGGAGCAGGATTGATAGTAAATCAGGTTGGCAGGATAAAGCAGTGTTGTAGGCAATCCAGGTTGGTGAGGATCAGGATTGGTAGTAAATCAGGTTGGAAGTAATGAAGGTAAGTCACAGGTTGCTTCTCAGGAGCCAGGATCTGAAGTCTTTCCGTAAGAACATCAACTTCAATGTAAAGGCCTTTGGTTTTGTCGGGTGTGGCCTTTTATAGCAGACTTGATTCATGCTCTGCAGGTGAGAGACTGGTGCTGACTAGTCGCTAGGGAGGCCACTATTGGTGGAGAACAGGAACTTGATTTAAAGGAACAGAAATAAACGAACATAGAACTTAGTTGTCAGGATCCATTCCTGTGAAACTCCCTTTTCTGCTCCATTAGACTTCCACCCAGCTTCCAAATCAATGAAGAAACTCACTTCTTTAGGAAAGCATCTTAAACTGTTAACACCCTGATTCCTTTCTTGCAACTGCCATAAAAAATATTTTAAAAAAGAAATCACCCACTAAGCCTTCAGTAAATACTTTACTAGCAACCTAATTTTCTACCTTACCTTTTGTGTCACTATACCCTCTGTTCCAGTGTGCCCAACTTGTTTAACATGTCTGTTAGTTCACCTATTCTACAACTTTGCAGAATTTGTTGGCGCTTTATAAATAAAAGTAACAATAAGCAGGGAATACATAGCAGGGAAGCAAAGCAAAGAAGCCCATTGATTTTTTTTTTGATTTTTTTTTTATGTCATGTATTGAAAAGGATTTTTGGCTGGGTAGGCCAGATTAGGTTTGGAGAGAACATCTCCACTCAGTCTTAAAATTTAAAATGCACTTTGGATTGTGGATATTTTACACTCTAGTGAATATCCCTGCATGTGTATATACAATTCGAAGCAGAATAAATGATCTACAGGCATAGAATCACTTACAAAACATTTTCAACGGTGTCCTTAAACCTTTTAACTTTGTTTCTGCACAATAGAGCCCACTAAACATACATTACCGATGTATGCTTAGACATATGACACTTATTATTGGAAAAGACTTGCATGAAATCAAATTGTCAAAATGTGCTTAAAGCCAATTAGGAAAATTCACCAAATCATGCCAGTAAATTAACAAATGTAACCTGTTTAACAGAATTATTATAGCACTGATTACATCATGGAAAGTGGATCCAGGTTTGAGGTCTAGAAGGGCTGGTTATTACAAGAATGTCCACAGGGCGTACTAGGCAAATGACTGGTAAGCTAGTGCGTTCAGTAGCATCATTTCTGCTTTATAAAAATTCGTTTTAGCGGCAACTACGGTCAGGGGCCAAGAGCTATTAATCTACTCCCACTATCTGGGAGCATAAAGCTTTTCATGTCTTCCTGGTGCTGGGCCTAGTTAACAGCACGCTGGGTAGACTGTGGGTTAACAGTTTTAGTGTGGTATAGGACTAACTGAGGATTTATATGACAATATAGGATTACCTAGAAGGACATAAGGAGTTTGTGGTTTTTATTAACTTTAACATTTCTGCAGGATAAATGGTGAGTAAAGGGTCTAGTAGTTGGGAGACACAATGGAGAAATTGGGGTCTTGTATTGTTTATGTCATAGTAAAATATAGTTTGATGACAGATAAAAGTAATTTGACCCTAGGCCGAGACAGAGACAAAAGTGGAGTGATAAAGCGAAAAGGGACGGGGACCAGCCACAGTCCTCATCGCGTGGAGGCAAGAGTAATGTTACAGACCAAGTATAGTTATGATGTAAATGAGAACAGACTCAATGTCAACACTAATGGAATCAATTCAAGCCATGTCTAAACATAAGCAGAGCCCTGGGTCATATATGAAAGCCAAGGGATCCACAGTTACATACATTAAGCCAATCTGTACTGTAACTGGACACCTTTTTAAATGTTTTAGTAAAATACAGGATTAAAGTATGTCTAAGGATTCATTACTGCTAACATCAAATCAGAATCTGAAGTTTTCTTTAATAAGCAGATTATCAAGGAAGAGAGAATGCAGTGTGTGAAAGCCCAGAGAAAGTGTTCATTAGGGACTGACTGATTATCGGTCTGGCTGATATTCGGTATTTTCGGCAATATCGGTATCGGCCTATAGAGATACCGATATTGCCAATAATACATACCAGGACCACCGAGCCCACGACAAGTCTGGCAGTCATGGGGGGCCCGCAGCAAGCTCTTACCTTCCCCACCCCCCATTTTACACAAATTACATACTTACAGAAACACACACACACACACACACACTACACAAACACACTGCATTTACTATATACACACACTACACAGACACACTGCATTCATTATATACACACTACACACACACTCTGCATTCACTATATAAACACACACACACACACACACACACACTACATTCATTATATACACACACACTACACAAACACACACTGCATCCATTATATACACACTACACAAAAACACACTGCATCCGCTACACACACACACACTACACAAACACACACAGCATCCACTACATGTGGCATGTATATTTTGTGCATTTACCTTTAGAAAGAGTTTATTTTTCAAAATGGTAAATTTACAGAATATCAGTTAATATCAGTTGATAAGTTATCGACCTGAAAGTTCACAGATTATCGGTATCGGCTCTAAAAAAATCAATATCAGTCAATCCCTAGACTGTTCATTACATAAAACTAAATCTTATCTTATTGTAATGATAAAAATAATAAAATACTGTAAATTTAAAAAGTGTCAATACAATTTCAAGTTTAACAATTTCAAAGCACTGCATTATGCTATTTTGAAGACAGTAATTCATTTAAAGGGAAACTATAGTGCCAGGAAAACAAAGTTGTTTCCTCTAACTATAGCTCCCCATAGTGCCCCCCCTCCCTGCATGGTGGAGTATGCTTTAAAAAAAAATGTTCCCTGGTGCTGGTTCAAGCTCCGCCCCTGCTCCTCCTCGCTGTCAGCTGCCTGGGGTTACCTTAATGTGCATGCGCTGTGCTCGCATTAGGACTTCCTCCATTAGGGGACGCTGGATGTCCTCATGCATAGCGTGACAAAAAGTCGCCTAACCACCCGGAACTCCCTCTAGAGGTGGAGTAAACCCTGGCAGGCAATTATTTATATTTATTTAAAACTGCAATAATTACCACTGAAGAGTTAAGGGACTTGGGAATACTGCACCCAGACCATTTCAATGAGCTAAGGTGATCTGGGTGCCTTTAATCAGTTTCTTGTAAAAATAAAAAACTTACAACCAATAGATTGCATAATAAAAACACACATTTCATTTTTACGATGTAAGAAGATACAAATACACATACACTATCTTTAGGATGTATTATATATATGAAGGCTTTAATGTATATATGAATAACAAAACACAATAGACCTGTCACCATCACAATTAAGTGTGAATTATAAAATGTCATTATCTCGCCATCACTTTATTTTCACGGTCCATACTGGTAAATTCTCCATACTGATATCAGAGCATGAATGTAAAACTGTCGAGGCAGACTGAGAAATTCTCCACTGCCAACTTGGCATTTGATCCTAAACATTCCTATTCAGCTTTTGTAATATTTTGAAGGCACTGTTGCTTGGCATGTTGAATATTTTTAAATACCCTATTATTTTGCATTTGTGGAGTAATTTAACTTTAGCATGGTACTGAATTACTATTGTCAGCAACCTAATCATAAATGCAGACTCTATAAATACAAATTTTAAGCCAGACACCACTCACATGGACAGGCACACAGCTGTGTGTACCAAGGATTCCATTTTAACATTTATTTTCATATTCTGCCTACTCAGGAAGAGTCTACATCTTGAAAGGAAAATGCATATAAAAAATTCCCAAGTGGCCTTAAAATATCAGTGAAAAATCTTTTTCAGCTGAGCCGTATAATATATAAACTGGAATGCTGATCCTTTTTACCCATGCAACAGGCACATTTCAGTGTGAAATAAAACCGCATCTTACCAATCTCTAGTGGTGTAAGGCATTCTTTGTTTGCATGTTTGTTTTAGCAATGCAAAGCTTAATTCCGAACGCCCCTTTTTTGGCATAGTGTTCTACCAGCAAAAAAATATTAGTCTGCATATTAAGTGTACTGTTTAAAAAATATAGAAACAAAATGTTTTGATAGCTGAGGCACTATTGACTTTTTTTTTTTTTTTTTTTTACTTGAAGGCCATCTTAGTGTAGCAAAATATATCTTCCCTTCATGTTTGCACTTAACGCCTTTCGACAAAACATGCGGAAGCAAACACTGACGTCCAAGTCAGAGAAAGAAGCATTAAAAACAGAAATAAACTTGAGAATAGGAGCAGACAAAAGACATACAAATTAAATGTAAATGAGAGGAGGTGGGATAAGTATTGAAAAAAGATACCAAAAAAAGAGACAAACACCAAATTTAAAGGATAATGGTCATTAAATTTTTACCTTTAATTTTTTTAAAGGTTTATTACATTTAGTAAAAGGAAAGGACTGGGTAGGCACAAGTAGAAATGGCGACAGTTATGAAAGGAAAAAAAAAAAAGAGAAAAGGAAAGGAAAGGAAAAAGGACTGAGCATCTAAATTGCAGGATAAAGAGGAGCAACATTTCAGCTCCTAACAGAGCTTTCATCAAGATAGCTACCTTGATAAAACTCTGTTAGGAGCAGAAACATTGTTGCTCTTCATCTGCCTGCACTTTAGACCCGTGCCCAGTGTTCTTCCTTGTTTATTATTACAATCAATTAAACTTAAAATATTTTAAATATCTTAAAATATTTTTTTTTTAAACAATGTATATTCAAATTTTCAAAATTAAAATAACAAAATCACTTTAAAACTTGCTAAGTAGACATGTTTGGTCAATCTCTACTCTTAAAGGGACACTATAGACACTCAGACCACTTCAGCTCATTGAAGTGGTCTCGATGCAATGTCCCTGTCCCACTTAGTCCTGAAATATAAAACACTGCAGTTTTTAAAAAAACAAAAAACAATTGCAGTACTAAAACATCCTTTAGTGGCTGTCTATTAGACAGCCGGCAATTATTTTCAGAGTAAAATCTGTGCTTGAGAAAAGTCACAAAGAAAAGAACTGCTGTTTTGTACTGCCACTATCAATATGGAACATTATAATCAAGTATAATTTAATCAGGTAGAGAGTTGAAAATTTGATGACCGCTATCCTTTAAGGAATTATATCACGCATTAAAAAATATATTAACCCCATTCTGATTGCTGACTTACACTATACATTGCCATCATAAATGCCTTAAAGCCCCAAAACCGTGGGTTGCATCAATCAGCTGACAGCTAAAGAAATGTAATCACTGTGATTAATCAGCTTAATCTTCTAGACAGTAAATGGTTTGTTTTTGCTTCAGTTAGGGTTAGCTGAGATTATAACCAAAGACAAACCCCTTTATACTAGGCCCTAGCCCCCCTCCAAGGCCCTAACCTCCAGCTAATCTTTTTTCCACATTTTAAACATTCCCAACACGCGGCCGTGCCAATAATATGATCTGAGTAACAGTGCCATCTTGGATTTTTATCATCACAGTTTTAAACACATTCTTTTTAAAATAAACTTTGTTTTTGTTATTTTACTTGGTCAATAAGCTCATGGTTACCATGCGTGCATTAATTTAAAACATTGTTTTTAATTGTTTTAATGTTACGTACTTTCTGATCACGTCAGTGGCATCATGTGACTAATATTTGAAATTGTGCTCCCTATAAAAAATGCTGTGTATGTTCAGATGTATGTAACATTTGAAAAAGCCTCTATGTTGAAAGGCATTAGTGTTTTGTACTTATTATATTATTTTTTAAATATTATATTTTTATTATCTAAGAATATACTTTTTCTAATAAATTTGTTTTTTAATTTTCTAAAATGTTATTCCTGGACCTATCTTGATTGTTTCGAGCCTGAAAAAATATCCATTTAGTAAGGGAAATACCACTTCAGCCCTGTAGACTGAGAAAAATTTACTTTTGCACAACAGCGGAGTACCTCTCTTACCCTTTTATTACATTTTACCTAAAACAGGGAGCACTATATTTTTTATTCTTGTCTTTACCTATACAACACACCAAGAGAGCCTCTACAAGCAAATAAGATGTTTAAGTGGGGTTTATACCACTCTACGCTGTTTTTTTTAAGAAATTGTATCTCTATAGATTGTGAGTGTATTTTTTTATTTATTTAAATTTGGCTATATTATCAGTTTATTCCACATATCCCTTGGAGCACTTAATACTGGATCAAAAGAAAACACCAGACATCCTTAGGCTGGGATTGTACCGCCCAGGCACATGAAAGTAGAGCTAGCCTAAGCTCTACACACTACAAGAGCATTTCTTTCATTAATCTGCACTAGAAAAACTACACTATATTTTGTTGTACTCTTCCTCGTTTTACATATTTATCCACGTCTCAGAATCCCTAAAGGCGCTACACCCTCTTCTTATATCACACATATTTGAAACATTACTTGACATGTTTCACTTACATTCCACCAGGAAAAATCCGGCATATGGTAAATAATGGTCATTGCACAGAGAAAATATGTTTGGAGTTTGTTTGTCAGCAAAGGTAATGTCGGCTTTGCTGCATATAATTCTAGCAGTTTCTTGATGTTTAATTATTTACTGCTGCAGTCGCCTTGATAAAGTAATTTTGTTTCCTTGTTTAAATAGAAAATGTCAACTACCTATATTTAGGCCTAACAAGAGGTAAAGTAAAATGGAGAATTGATTTAAAGGGACTCTCCAGGCAGCCGTTTTTACTCACCTGGTTCCAGCGCCGGGAGCCTTGTGAAGCCGCGCCCCCTATTTCGTTAAAATGACAAAATAGGCGGGCGCGAGCAGGGAGCAATCAGACGCTTCCATTTGGAAGCGTCATTGCTCCCTTGTGCACATGCGCGGCTTCGCCCTATGAAGTCATGAGAGCACTACTGCACATGCACGCAGTGTGTGCGTCCGCGAGCTGAGCTGACTGACAGCTCAGCTCGCGGTCTTTGCCCACCCCCTCTCCTCTGCTGATAGGCAGGAGAGAGAAGGCGGGCACACAGTGCCTTCTCTCTCCTGCACACGTCAGACGTATTTTAATACGTATGACGTGTACATGGCCTTTTTAGGGCCATACATCATAGGAAGTCCCTCTGGTGGCCGTCTGAGTGACGGCCACTGGAGGTATTCCAATCAACGTAAACACTGTATTTTCTATGAAAATACAGTGTTTACATTAGATTGCCTGCAGGGAGCTATAGATCTCACCTGAACAACTACATTAAGCTGTATTTGTTCAGGTAACTATAGTGTCCCTTTAAGTTAATTCATATAAGACACGCAAAGACAAATACCTGATTATCTGATTTCATTTTTTTTCCAGCTAATGTAACTAATGTCATCTAACTTGGTCCTTGCTTAGTATGAGTTACAACTGACAAATCATATGTTATTGTGAGTGCACAGCATGCAGAGTCCAATTTAAATGTACTTAAATCATTTCAAGGCACATTTTCACACAAATACTTTTTTTGTGGATTCCTAGAAATGATTCTTTATCTAAAACTAAATTTGAATTTGCACATAATAAAAAAAAAATAATTATACAAATGAATTTGAAACTTCAAAATTATTATAACAAATATGTGGTCAGTTTCATACAGTTAATAACCAATTGTCCTACATAGAGTTGTGAGTCCTAGAACTAAGTTAAAGTAAACAAAAAGGCCGGGGACATCATGGCAGTTACCTTCACACGTGGTGCCAAAAAAATATTCAAAAAAGGTTACCTTTTACGAATCCATAATGTCCTTACCATGCACTGTCCTCTACAGTCTAGTTTCTCTAGATCACATGTACTGCTTATTATCTAAACCAACATCTGTTATAAAAATTGATGTACATCCAGAACAAGTGGGATGCTACCTCCAGCCAAGTTTTTACATTAAATACATAATTTATTAATGAAATGATTAATGGCTATGGTTATTCTGCATGGACCCTTTGGTTGAAATACGAGGATATCAGCACTATTAGGAGACCCTACAGTAATGTAGAAGATGCCCTGTCCTGCTTTTTCCCGCTCTCTCTCGTCTTCTTTCAAGCATAAAATTGGCCTGTTGTTAATGTTGACTGAAGGCATCTACTTGTGATGCTGATGGATTGTTACAGTTCTGACATTGTATATACAATATATGGACAAATGTATAGGGACACCGTACCATAACACTAACAGGGATTTTTTTAAAACTGCATTCTAAATGTACGGACACTAAAATGAATTTGGTTCCTCACTTCCACTTTTCTGGGAAGGCTTTCCACAAACGTTTAGAGTGTTTTTAATTGGAATATTTGCCCATTCAACCAATAGAGCATTTCTGAGGTCAGACACTAGTATTGGATGAGAAGGCCTGTATCGTAATCTCCGTTTGATTTCATCACAAACGTCGGATGACGTCAGGGCTCTGTGGGGCCAGTCAAGTTCTTCAATCCCAAACTCAACCAACTATGTCATTATTGACCTTGTTTTTTGCACTGGGGAATAGTCATTCTGGAATAGCCAAGGGTCTTCCCAAAACTGTTCCCAGAAAGTTGGAAACATAGCATTGTCCAAAATGTCTTGGTATGCTGAAGCATTAATATTTCCCTTCACAGGGAGTAAACGGGTCTAGCCCAACCCCTGAAAAACAATGTAGTCAGACAGGTAATATTGTCCTGTCATCAACCAAACACCGGCTTGCCCATCAGACTGCCATACAGAGAAGTGTGATTTGTCACTTCACAGAACACGTTTACTCCAGAGTCCAGTGGAGGTTTTACACCATTCGATCCGACATTTGCCATTGTGTTTGGTGATGAGAGGCTTGCATGCAGCTACTCAGCCATGGAAACCCATCCATGAAGCTCCCACCGCACAGTTTTTGTGTGGATATTAATGCCAGTGGAAGTTTGGAACTCTTCAGATATGGAATCAGCAAAGCGTTGGAAACTTTTACACACCATCTGTCTCAGCATTCAGTGGCTCTGCATGGTCTTCCGCTGCTGTTCCACTTTCCAATTACCATTTACATTTGTTTTTCTATCGAACAGTTGACTGTGAAATATTTGGCAGGATTGAAATTTCAAGAATGGACTTATTGCAAAGGTGGTATTCTATCACAATACCATGCTTAAATTCACTGAGCTCTTCGTAACGATCCATTTTTTCACAAATGTTTGTAAATGCAGACTGAATGACTAGGTGCTTGATTTTATAGACCTGTGGCAATGGGTCTGGTTAAAACACATGAATTCAATAATTAAGAGGTACAGCCCAATACTTTTGTCCATATAGTGTACAGGGCTACGGAATTTGCAGCTGCTATATAAATAATAATAACAACAACAACAACATAGTGTATGTCTTTATGCTGTTCACAAAAATAATAAAATAAATATATAAATAAAAAAAACTAATTCAAAAATGTAAATACAATAAAAAGCTTCCAGGTAAATAAAAGCAAATAATAATCTTGTTAAAAAAAAGTTGAAAACATAAAGAGGAGCCTACCCGAATTTCTTGAAGGTTGTGAAAGTTATTTCCCACTCTGACTGAAATTTTACTTGGCGTGTAGCTCTCATCTGACTTGTAATCTGCATAAATGCACAAGGCCTTCACAGTTGTTTTTCGTCTGTAAGATAAACAAATTATATATCACACCAGAAACTAAAATTAATCACAATAATTTCATAGAAGTTTTAAAAATAAAAAAGTAATAGTCCTATATTTAGGCTGCCAAGTCTCAAAGGTTAAAGGACCACTATAGGCACCCAGACCACTTCAGCTCAATGAAGTGGTCTGGGTGCCAAGTGCCTCTAGTGTTAACCCAGAGCTGTAAACATAGCAGTTTCAGAGAAATTGCTATGTTTACACTACAGTTAATCCAGCCTCTAGTGACTGTCTCACTGACAGCCACTAGAGGCGCTTCCGTGCTTCTCACTGTGAAAATCACAGTGAGAAGATGCTGGATGTCCACAGGAAAACATTGAGAAATGCTTTCCTATGGGCGGTTTGAATACGCGCGCAGGTCTTGCCACGCATGCGCATTCGGAGCTTATGTAGGCAGAGGGAGGAGAGTTCCCCAGCGCCAAGGGAGCCCGGCGCTGGAGAAAGGCAAGTGTTTTAACCCCTTCAGCCCAGCTTGAATGGGACCCTGAGGGTGGGGGGACCTAAAGACCCTATAGTGCCAGGAAAATTAGTTCGTTTTCCTGGCACTATAGTGGCCCTTTAAGATGTGTACACATTACTAGAAAGCATGCATATCCTTAAGGTTAAAAAGATAATTGATTACATTTAATAGAAAAACACTCAAGTTTAATAACTGCCCATTAAGACATGGAACGGGTAAAATGTTGAAAGGTAGTTGAGCTATAGAACGTTTCAGATGTGGTTGTGGAAAAACTACAAACAAAAAAAAATCTGAAATATAATGCCGGTCTGTGCTCATTTGTATATCAAGCTGGTAATTCTTTGATAGTTGACAAAACTTAAGATATTTCTTGGCACAGAAATTATGAACAATGTTTGGTCTCACTGCACCTTCTTTGGCAACTAGACTCACCTGTCTTTTTTTAATTTTAGTCTAGAACTATTGCACTCTTAATATACAAATAATGTATGATAGTGTAAGCCTATTATAAAGCTTTTATATAATTAAACTACCAAAAAAAAAAAAAGCCTGTGATCCACTTTACCACCATATTAGCAAGGTGTTTTATATACTGGTCAGCCACAACATTAAAACCACCTGCCTAATATTGTGTAGGTCCCCGTTGTATTGCCAAATCAGTTCTGATGCATCGAGGCATGGATTCCACAAGACCTCTGAATGTGTCCTGTGATATCTGACACCAAGACATTAGCAGCAGATTATTTAAGTTGCAAGGGGCGCCTTCATGGATTTGATTAGTTGTATCATCACATCTCCCAGATGTGCAATTGGATTTGGAGGCAAAAGCAGCACCTTATACTCATTGTTATTTTCCCCAAACCATTTCTGAACAATTTTGCAGTGTGGCATGGTGCATTATCTTGCTGAAGGGAACTCCATTACCATGAAGATGTGCACGTGGTCTGCAACAATCTCTATGTAGGTAGTACATGCCAAGATAACATCCACATGAATTCCAGGAATGTTTCCCAGCAGAACACTACCCAAAGTGGACAGAAGTCATTATTGAAAAATCTGGCCGGTCTGCAGCTACACAGCCAAATATGCAGCAAACTGCGATGCACTGTATGTTCTGACACCTTTCTATCATGGCCAGCATTACGTTTTTGAGCAAGTTGAGCTACAGTAGCTCTTTTGCGTGATTAAGCCAGACAGACTGGCCTTCGCTACCCATGACCATCATGCCAGTTCACCTGTTGTCCTTCTTTGCACCACTTATTGTGCGTACTATAACCACTGCATACTGGGAACACCCCACAAGACTTGGCATTTTTTTGATCTTTTAACCTACTTGGCTAGCCATCACTATTTGGCCCTTGTCAAAGTCACTCAGAAGTTTTCGCTTGCCCATTTCCTTGCTTTCAACAAATGAAACTCAAGAACAGACTTTTCTTGCTGTCACCCCTAAACAGGTGCTATTGTCGTGATATAATCAATGTTACTCACTTCACCTGTCATTGGTTTTAATGTTTTGGCTGATAAGTGTCTACACACACCATAAAATACAATAATATATTTCCATTTAAAATTCAAATAAAGCATTGAAACAACCTCAAAAAGAAAGGAATAATACCGAAATTGAATGTTCACTAAGTGAGGCTGCGACCCGTCTGACTGCCAGTAGGTTTCTAGATTATCATCTCGTAACTGGTCCACTCCAAATCCTTTAGGGGGAAAATCAGACACACATTACTTCAAATTCTATAAATTCCAGTACAAATTCTGCAATCACATACATACCAGCAATAAAACCCGGTGTAATAAAATTCCTTGGCTATTTTATATTACAAACTTGAACAGGTGAAAGGGACAATATATAATTTTTCTTAAAGGGTTATTCCAAGCATTATCACCACTACGGCTGCACTATCCTAGTGCCGCTGCCTGGTAATAGGGAAAACCTTTTTGTAATGGTTTGTCCTCTTACCTGGCACGTCACGGTGCACCAAGCTTCTTTTCAGGCACGTGATGCAGAAGCCAGATGTCGATCTTGCCATTTATTAAAGACACAGCCGATCAATCTCAGCCAATGAATCACCCCTCTGTGCATAGATCACACACAAAAATGGCATAAGCCAACGCCCCAAAAAATCTTATTTCTGGCTGGTTAATGATTTACTAATGACAATGCCGCAGGAAGAGTTACAGCTCCAGCAGCAAAATAAAATACAGTTTCTAAACACCACAAACACTTCAAAACATGAAGTCGTCATGTTATCTGGAGTAACCCTTTGAGTTACACATTACAGCTTTACTTCACTTGGTATCTCTTCATGATTACTTTTTATCTGTCATGAGAAATGATATCAAGTGCTGTTAATCCCAATCTAGCATTACATGGAAACATAGAATGTGACGGCAGATAAGAACTATTCGGCCCATCTAGTCTGCCCAATTTTCTAAATACTTTCATTAGTCCCAGGAATAATATCACACAGATTTAGACTGTGTAATATAGATTTACTGGTGAGATATCTTGTAACTATGCATTTACATTTAGAAATGGTTTTTACTAACATCAACTTGCTTTATTGTCTGTTGACCAAATTCACACGCAGATAGTTTGATGCGGTATGTGCTAGAAGCAGGTACATTATACACAAAGCATTTAATAATATGTAATAATGTAAACATGTAATAATATTTTGCATTAATATTTATATATTTTTTCCTTCTAAAAAAATCTAAATTATAAAGGAAAATTCCACCCTTGTGTGGAGGTCTGCAGACTGAAGTCAGTCAAACCACTAGCACATTACAGCTCCTTCAGAAGGTCTATATGGAGCTGAGATTTGCTAGTTATTCTTTTCTTAAAGGACCATGATAGGCACCCAGACCACTTCAGCTTAATGAAGTGGTCTGGGTGCCAGGTCCCTCTAGGATTAACCCTTTCTGCTGTAAACATAGCAGTTTCAGAGAAACTGCTATGTTTAGTTTAGAGTTAATCCAGCCTCTAGTGGCTGTCGCATTGACAGCCGCTAGAGGCGCTTTTCACAGTGAGAAGACGCCAGCGTCCATAGGAAAGCATTCAGAATGCTTTCCTATGAGACTGGCTGAATGCATGCGCGACTCTTGACGCGCATGCGCATTCAGCCGATGACGGAAGAAGAGGGAGGAGATTCTCCAGCACAGAGGGAGCCCGGCGCTGGAGAAAGGTAAGTGTTTAACCCCTTCCTCGCCATCCAGCGGGATAAGGGAACCTGAGGGTGGGGGCACCCTCAGGGCACTATAGTGCCAGGAAAATGAGTATGTTTTCCTGGCACTATAGTGGTCCTTTAACCAGTTCCTTGTGTCTTAGATCTTTCATAAGGAAGTTAACTTTCACAACCATTCTAAAAAGTAAAAAAACAAAGTTGTCTAAAGTACGATTTTACACAAAGCTAGTTACATATAGCTGTTTCTTCATATAAAAGGGAATTTGGAAACGGCTTCCGTTTTCATACATTAGGAGTTCCATAGGGAAATGTTGGGTGAAAATTTATATGCAAGTAATACCTGGTTTACAAGAAGACAAAGACCAAACAGCCTGAGCACCAATTTCTCTAACTGTTCCAGTTCTCTTCAGCTGGTTTGGATCTGCACCAGGGGGTGTTTTGTTGGGAGTTGTCATTTTAAACTGTTTAAAAAATAAGTATTAGCATTAAACCAACAGATTTGCACACTATGAGATGGCTACATTTTGTGAGAAGTCATGATGATTTGCCTGTGAAGGGTTATGTACAAAAGACAGCATTAACCTTTTATGAAAAATCTTTACTTAATGTCACATCGTGATGTTATCTGGCATCCTCACTCTACAATGAAGGAACAGCATTGCCAAGTAACAGGGAGAGATAGTGACCACAGACTGCAAAATGTAAACAGTGGTTTGCTCACTGAAAATCAAAAAGTAGTGAACTCAAAACCTACTTGTATTTTTCAAAATTCTCACAGCTTGAAAATGTTCATATGAATTTTGCAATCCACTACGATTCAGTGCTTAGTAAATGCATTACATACTGTCTAGTGACTCTAAAGTGTCTATTCTCTAAAAGCTGAATTTGCTTTTGCAATATCACCTTATTTCATTTGGCTCAATTTTCCTACATTTGGCTTTTAAAATTCCTCTCTGATTAAAAGGTTATTCCAAAACCATGACCTCAGCAGTGATTTAAAGTGGTCATGGTGATAGGAGTCTGCAAGTTCTAAGTTTTATACTAAAAACAATGTACACATAGAGATAGTCTAAGTTGCTGTAACCTCAGGCAGCATGATTAACCAGTCCGGAAAAAGAGTACAGACAAGGTTAATGTTGAATCTGTGCACCGCATACAACTATAGTCAAGATGTCAAATGTCAAAGTGAGATTTTCTCAGAATATCAGAAAAAAAAAAAAAAAAATCTTTAACCCCCTTAAGGACCTGTGACGGAATTATTTTGTCATGGTTGTCCTTGCTTTATGAATCTATGACGGAATAATTCTGTCATGCTCTATTTTACCAGCAGGGACCATTGCCTTGAAGGTAATTGGCTCTGCTTTGTCAACTGGGACAAGAATTAGTGACCTCAGACTGACCAATGCTCTGTTTGCAGCACTCAAAGTAAATGCTGCAAAAAAACATTTAACTTGGGATTTCAATCCCCATGTAGTGTGAGCAAGGTTAAATTCCTGCTTACACCAAGCTTGACAAGTGAGCTGTATGCTGAGTTCAGAGTAAGATCCACAATCAGCACTTCCAATGGGGATTTAAATTTCCATAGACAAAACTGTAGTGTGATAATAAGTGAAGGGAAAGGAATTGCCCTTACAATTTTCTGGAGTTTATACTCCGCTCCAGGACGGTATAATACCCATCTATGGCTATGTAGATTATCTTTGGATGTCCTCAAAAAGGGGGTCTCCAGAGGTAGTAGAGTATTTCTCCTTCCCAATAGCAGTAGGCCAGTATTCGAATAGTTAGTGATATATTAAAAAAACACAAAATAGTGCTCTCTGGATGATACAGAATAAAATGATAAAAGATGGAGGTATACTCACAAGTGAAGAGCAAATGGGATATTTGCTCAGTATATGTAGGTGTAGGTGGTATGATCCCCACCAAGGATGTCACTCCTCAAATCCTCCAGTGGGGGTGTTTGAGAGAGCTGAAGGGAATTATATTTAAAAATAAATTTAAAAAAAAATAGAATAAAAGGATAGGTTTAGAGGCTCCAATAGCATAAATGGGCTATCTTTATTGGAGACAAAAAAAGAAAAATCAGTAACATAAATCAGTTTTAAAATCACTAACGCGTTTCTCCTGCAAAGAGGCTTTATCAAAGCCCTTTTATAAAGTCTCTTTGCAGGAGAAATGTGTTAGTGATTTTAAAACGGTTTTATGTTACGGATTTTTTTTGTCTCCAATAAAGATAGCCCATTTATGCTATTGGAGTCACTAAGCCTATGCTTTTAGTCTATTTTATTTAAAAAAATATATATATAATTCCCTTCAACTCTCTCCAACACCCCCACTGGATGACTCGAGGACTGACATCCTTGGTGGGGATCATACCACCAACGCCTACATATATTGAGCAAAACCTCCATCTTTTATCATTTTATTCTGTATCATCCAGAGAGCACTATTTTGTGTTTCTATCCTCTTTTTTATATATCACTAACTATTCAAATACCGGCCCACTGCTGGAAAGGAAAAATGCTCTACTACCTCTGGAGACCCCCTTTTTGAGGACATCCAAGGACCATCTACATACCCATAGATGGGTATTATACCGCCCAGGCGCACATATCTGTAGCGGAGTATAAACTCCAGAAAATTGTAAGTGCAATTCCTTTCCCTTCACTTATCACTTAAGATCCTAACATACTACACTATATCCGTGTCTTCTGCCTTCCCTCATCCATATTGCGCTGAGCATGGGAATTCCATCACAGGCGCTGCTCCCAGATCCTACTATTTACACCCAGACTTTTGTTGTAGCAAAGTTTCTTCTCAACAATAGAGCCTTTATCAAGCATTTGATAAATGTTCTATTGTTGCACTGAACTATTGCTACAATAAAAGTCTGCTTACTAATTTTATTCAGATTAGGATTAAGGCCAACAAGGTAATCCCTCTGCTGACATGAGCAGAGGGAATCCTTCTAACACTATTTATAGGGCTTATTTGGTTTTTAAATTCACACCCGCGTTGACCTCTTCTTTTTCAAGCTTATCAGGGGATTCCTGTTTTCAGACGAGTTAGACAAGCTGGAAAAAGCAAATAAAAGGGGTGAAAAAAAGAAGAAACTAAATATAAGAGTTTGGAATTCCCAGAGGCAACTCTAAGACTAAAGAAAAAAAAATGTTCATACATTAAAAGGCGCCTCTTACAAATACAAGTCGAAAAAAGTAATTTTAATTACCGTAAATTCCTTTATTCTTAGTATAGTGGCAGTACTGTACAAGTGGGATATAGCGAGGTCCCTGTAACAAACAAAGGATGGGAAATTAAAAGGCTACTGCCTGGAGCACCTTCCGCCCAAAAGTAGCTTCAGAGGATGAGAATATGTCAAGCCTATAATGCTTTATAAAGGTGTGGAATGAAGACCAAGTAGCCGCCTTACAAATGTCTTCTGGAGAAGCTGCAAGTCTTTCTGCCCAGGAAGTTGCCATTGCCCTTGTAGAATGGGCCTTCAATAGAAATCTGATGGGAACACCTCAGGTTTCATAAGCCAGTTTTATGGCTTCAGTTAGCCACCTGGCGATAGTAGGTCTGGAGGCTCCTCTACCTTTACAAGAGCCTTGAAAAGTGACTTAGAGATGATCTGAGATCCTAAAGCCTTGTGATCTCTGAAGATAGATTTCCAATGCTCTTCTAACATCTAGAAGATGCCACTTTTTTTCAAACGCCGAAGATTGAGACTGGTAGTAGGCAGAACAACAGGCTGGCCCATAGATTTCTTTGAAATAACCTTAGCTAAAAAGGAAGATCTGGGATGCAAGACTACTTTGTCTTGCTTGAAGATGGTAAGTTCAGACGTTGAAGAAAGAGCCTGTAGTTCTCCTATTCTCCTTGTGGAGGTGATGGCCACCAAGAAGATAGTTTTGATTGTAAACAGCTTTAGGAAAACATCCTGCAAAGTTTCAAATGGAGGTTCACAAAGAGCCTGAAGTACTAAAGACAAATACCAGGTAGTAAAAGGCGAAACCTTAGAAGGTCGTTTTAGTAAGATTGACTTGAAATATCTGCGGATAAGAATGTTAAAAGCTATATCACACACAAGGAAGGGACTCAATGCTGAAATTTGGACCTTGAGTGTTGAAACACCTAGACCAACTATAAACCCATCCTGCGAAAAAGACAAAATATCAGAGATAGATTATCTGGATTGCAGCCTTTCTGAGCACACCAGTTCCGGACCTTTATCCAAATCCTGAGATATACCTAAGAAGTAGATAAACGGACCGAAGGGTCATCCTTTCAGCAGCCATGCGGTCAGGTGGAACATTTCCAGGGACTCTACTGGAAGATTCAAATGCTCTATGAAGTTGTCTAAATTTGGGAGAGCCTAGCGTGAAATCGTCACACGTTCGGTTTCGGAAAACCATCTTCTGTTTGGCCAGAAGGGCACAATGGCTAGAACCTTTGCTTTGTCCCATCTGATTTTTTGAATAAATCTTTGGTATTAAGGCTATTAGTGGGAAAACGTATCCCATGCTGAAGATCCAGGTGAGGGACAGGCAGCAAAGGTTGGGACTTTCCTGTTTTTGTACTGAGCACTCAGCCCAAATATGTAATAATACATATACTGAGCACAGCTATGTAATAATATATATACTGCTCCCAGACATGTACTGAACACTCAGCCCAAATATGCAATATATATACTGAGCACTCAGCTCAAATATGTAATAATATATATACTGAGCACAGCTATGTAATAATATATATATATTGCTCCCAGATATGTACTGAGCACTCAGCCCAAATATGTAATATATACTGCTCCCAGACATGTACTGAGCACTCAGCCCAAATATGTAATACTATATATACTGAGCACAGCTATGTAATAATATATACTGAGCACAGCTATGTAATAATATATACATATATACTGCTCCCAGCTGCTATAGGAGCCAGAAATTTTGTAAAGATACAGGAGCTGATGAAAGGCCAAACAGAAGGGCTTTCAACTGAAAGTGAAGGATCTTTCTTTTCCCTAAAAGTATTGCAAACCTTAGAAAACTTTAGAGAAAATACAGACATTAGAACATGGAGGTAGGCATCCTTCAAATCTAACTTTGCCATTAATTCTCCCTTCTGCAAGATGTGCATTACTGATATATTTTCCATACGGAACCTCTGATAAGGGATACATGCGTTGACATCCTTGAGGTCTAGGATAGGATGGAAGGATTTGTCTGGTTCCGGAACTAAAAACAGGCGAGAGTAAAGCCCCTGAAACGCCTGGTATCTGGGTACTTTCTCTATAACGCCCTTACGTAAAAGGAGTAGGGTTTCTCCTAGGAGGGCCTCCGATTTCTTTTGTGATGTGTACTGTAACGGATCACCTGGGTACCTCCATTGAAGGATGCTCCGAGTGCTTACAGAGGGCTCCAAGCGCTCCGCCAGACACCACCACAGACCCCACGAACTGCTGCAGCTTGGTTGGGATCTCGCCGTCTCCTAGCCACCCTGGACCTACGACAAGGCTCCAGGTTCCAGTGGGTGAATCTCTCCTCCAAGAGAGTGAAGCAGGAACAAGCTCTTAAAAGAGCTTAGCAGTGATTAGCTAAGGGAGTATGAAGAGCATAGCAATCCCTTGTAGTGATATAGCGATTCTCCCAATAAGAGACAGGACTCTAGATTGAGGGTGAAGAAGAACTGACTGTACTGGCACATACAGCCTCTTTTATTCACATTCTACAAACATAGTACTGCCCACAGGGTTTTGAAGAACAACCAATCAACACATTACAACACAGCTAACACTCCCATTCATTACATCAGAAATCCTCCCGTCTGCCTGTGATACAATTATCTCAACACAATAGACTAACTTAATTATCACAGGCAGGAAAATACAGTATTATAAAACATATCACAGGGACCCCAAAACATGCAATAACCCCATAAAATCATAGGAACCGGGGGATCTGGGTGAACCACATATCCAAAATTCACCCAGATCCGTTCAGTAGTTTGGAAGATCCGGTTTAATGCAGATTCCGCAGAACATATTCAGGCTATATGAAAAATAATTACTGTTAAATGTGTCCCCTGATCTGTAGTTTAAAACTACTGAATGGTGTCTTTGTGCACCAAATACCAGCGAGATGGCACCATGTAGAAAAGTCAAAACAGTGTCTGTGAGTTAAAATGGCCAATGGGAAGTCTCGGCCCGCTTGTCCATGGAATCTTTTAAACCAGAAACCTCACCAATAGGGATCGTGGTTTTCTTTGATAATTGCGCCACTTGGATATCGACTTTCAGAAGGTCTTCCCATTTTTCCTCAGTCTGTAGTTTAAAAAGTAGTTTGAAGTGCTTGGAAATAAAAGCACATTATTTCCATAACCCTTGGAAAACTTTTACCTCGCCCCTGGTAGGTTGTTTCCTGAAGAACTGTTGATACTTCACTGATAAACTTTTTTATTTCTTCTGGTGGAAATCCTTCATCCAGACTTGAAGCCAGACTGGAAACCTCCAAAAGGGAAGAAGATGAACATTCACCTGATGAAACCTCAGACAGGGATCTTTCTCGCCTTCGTTTTTTTGTTTTTGTTTGTTTTACGTGAATAGTAACAAATCTGCTGTCTTTTTAACGGTATCTTTAAATGACTCGAAGGTCTGTGAAAAATTATCCTGAAACCAGCACAGGAATGAGGACGTTTCTTTTTGCTGGATGTTTCCAGCAATTCCATGGAGCATTGATTACAGGTGTTTTTTTACGACATCCGTCAGGCAGAGGAACAGCACATTCTAAACAACACAAGTACTTTGATTTGCTCGTGGCCTTTTTAGGTATAGGAGCTGACATGTTACCTTTTTCAGCTTTATCCAGTGAATTACGACTGGACATATTCGTTCATTTCCATAATACGGCAGGAAGGAGAAGACATGGGAGCATCAGCTCAGGAGTAGCTGTACTACAGGAAGCTGTTCCTTCTAACAGCCGTAGGAACAGCCCCTCTAGTACGGGTGGGGTTGAGAGGATAAGGAAAGCTAGAGTAGTTAGGGTAATCTGCCACTCTGATCGACTCAACCGGACAATTTGCTGTCACCCGGGTGCTCGGGTCCGGCATGTTGTCGACAGAGTGGAGGGATTACTGGGAGGGGCTGGGGATGACCCAGCTGTCATGGTCCATATTGGAACCAATGACAAAGTCATACAAATCTATTTCCTTTCTAAACTTATTAAAATGATCACAATGTTAAAAAACAATAGTGTTGAGTTGAAGGTTGTCCTTTAAGTCAAAAACAAACAAAGATTGTCCCTTAAAAGGTTAATTCGCCTCTGTGTCCAGTTTCACTGTCTTGTAGTGTAACCCTAACTTCCTTTGATTACTTGACAAGTCACACTTTACCAAATACCGTATTTTCCGGCGTATAAGACGACTGGGCGTATAAGACAACCCCCAACTTTTCCAGTTAAAATATAGAGTTTGGGATATACTCGCCGTATAAGACTACCCCTCTTCCAATGCACACCAAATAAAAATTAGCCATGATGTACAGTGAGCAGACAGAGCTACACAGCAAGACATTAAATAATGATAATCTGAAATAGCATTTAAAGCCCAGGTATGTGCCAGGCTGTTTGGGCATATAATCCATGCCTGCTGGTCTAGCACTGAGGAGGCTAATTGCGATATATTCTTTTTACTCCACCCCCCCTCCATTCTTTTTACTCCCCTCCCAGATCCTCCCTACATTCTTCTCACCTCCCCTTCCCTGTGCAGAGTGGGTGGTCGAGCTCGTCTTCGTCCTGTCAGTGTGCACTTCCTTTCAGTCCGGCCGGGAACAGGTAACTGAATCTCCTGTACCGCGCGGTACCCGGCCGGACTGACAGGACGAAGAGGAGCTCGGCCACCCACTCTGCACGGGGAAGGGGAGGTGAGAAGAGAGGCAGTGCGGCAGCCGTCTGAGCGCTCTCTATAGAGCGATCAGGCGGCTGCAGCATTAGAAGGGCCGGCGATGGGGGCGCAGGGCGCCCCCGGCAGCCATATAAACCCTATACCCGGCGTATAAGACGACCCCCGACTTTGGAGAAGATTTTCCAGGGTTAAAAAGTCATCTTACATGCCAGAAAATACAATAACCCTGACATAGGTTACACTGAAGCTAAAAAATTGGAAAAGAAAAAAAAAAGTCTTCAAAACCATTTTATATTCACTACAACTCCGTAATTAGTGACTAGCCCTGATAGTAAAACACACTACAGCCATCACACAGCCTCTTCCTTACTGTAACACTGCACACTTAGCTCCACACTATACACTAAGTACATTGCAGTAATAGCAGCTATGAGTGTGAAGCCGTTATATAAACAGACACCGAATAAATAATATGTAAAGCTCTCACAGCAGCGTTTCCCAGTGTTTTCTATCTACTTCATCTCCAGGAGCGATGACTCCAATTCAAACTGGTTCCTGGCAATCCCCCCGACACTCCTCTCTGGCAGGGTCGCCTCCTACTGACGTCATGACCCCATCACTGTCGCTGTTATGCGTTTCACCGCGGAACGCAGCGCCCACGTCCAACGACGCTGCACGCCAACACTGTGGGAGGTGCTGGCGGCCATCTTGGCCGGTCTCTTTTCGTGTACTGTGCACGTTGCTTCGGTGGGGAGGAACGAATCAGAGATCCCGCCGAGTACCGGAGCGGTGGAGGCTTCCGTTTTACTTCCCGTGTCGCTCCTGGAGCGGTGTTAGACTCCCCGGCGAAGCATCGTTTAGCGGTAAGTTCCCTGCGGAGCCATGTTTCCAGCCGGGTCTGGGATCACTGAAGGTTCCTGGCCCAAACCGATGGCAGTGCGTCACCCACGGGGTAGGGGAGGCAGGGGAGGGCCGGCACACCGCTCGCTAACTAACACACAGTTACCTTCATAGAGGGAGGGAGGGGGCAGCCCGCACCGTGCTATCCGCTCTGTGTCTGCTGCTCCATTCATTATCACCGCCAGAATATGGGTATAGAATATAATATATAATATATATAATGTGTGTGTATAGGGGGATCTACTAAATGGAATGCCCATAGACAATAATGGGACAGAATGGAATGCCCATAGACAATAATGGGACAGAATGGAATGCCCATAGACAATAATGGAAACAAAATATTTGAAAAATATATGTGTGTGTAATGTTTGTGTTTACAGTCTAGCTCTGTGGCTATCCTTTGTACAGCGGTGTATTTCCTTTGCAATTCCACATTTTTTGCCAGTAACAGCTGTGGGGCCAACTCTGGACAGCGTCTAAGGTGGAGTAGGGAAGGCAAACAAATTCCTCTACCTGCAGTTGCCTTTTTATGGGAATTGTTTGCCTGGTATTCGTTGTGTGCTTGACTGGCAGAGGTCCATAGGGATTGCAATTGGCTAACAGCTGGAGGGCTGCTGATTGCATACCCCCTGATCTAGAGTTTGCCCGGTGTATTTACGAGTGCAGGCATAGGCAACCTTCGCCACTCCAGATGTTGTGGACTGCAACTCCCTTGATGCTTTGTCGGCATTATGGGTGATGTAGTCCACAACATCTGAAGTGCCGAAGGTGGCCTATCCCTGTGCTAGTACATACTTAAAACTAATATATCTTCTATTGTGCATGTGAAGACTGGGAATCCATGTATTTATAGACTGTCTGCAAGCTGCTTCTAATCTATTTTTGAGTTGCATGTATATTGTCTTGTTAAAAGTGTACATTAGCTAGGTGAGTTTTTTTTTACCATTCCATCCTTTATTTTTTTTATGGCTACCTGATGTAAATCCTCAATAGAATGTACTATTGACTATTTAAAATAAAATCAACGTTGTGCATTGCTCAGAATCTTAAATAACCTACACGTGAACGAAATGGTAAATAATAAAATACACAAAAATACATTTTTACCATATTCAAAACTCGTTTACTGTCGGAGGTATTTGCTATGACATGCACTTTTGCTAAATGCGTTAAAATCCGATCTCTCTTTTTGGGAGTAGGAGCTCATAATGCGTTTTAGCACATATTCAAAAACCATAGTGCACACAATAGATTTGATGTTTTGTCTAGAACAGTAATGACTATCCATGGCATTCCAGATGTTTGTTTGAGGCGCATCATAGGAAATGTTAACAAGCATCAGTGTTGCCAAACGTAGCCAAGTAAACCACTGGTTAAAGTACCACTGAAGTCAACTATGCCACTTGATCTCAATGAAGTGGCCTAGCTGCAGTGGTTCTGTCCTTGTAAAACTGCTATGTTTACATTCAGGCTTCCCCAAACTCCGGCCCTTCAGATGTTGCTGAACTACAACTCCCATGATTCTCAGCCTGCCTATTTAATTCATATACAAACACAAAGATAAAGCACCGCGCTTACAGCAGCAGTAGCTTAGTATCCAACAGCTTAAAATACATAGTAAAAACAAAGAGAATGTTACCTGCGCTCTGGCATAAATATTTAATTCATAGAATCATGGGAGTTTTAGTTAAGCAACATCTGGAGGGCCGGAGTTTGGGGAAGCCTGCGTTACAGGCTTAAAGCCTCCTATAGTGGCTGTAAAATTCGTCACGTGATGTGGAAGCCCCCATTGGAAATGTTGGTTCGTGTGTCATGAGGTTAAATTCTGCACATACAGACTCCAGGCCCAATGATCACTTCAAAGCTGAATGGGTGGTTGTTATTATCTATGTAGCACCATCAGATTCCGTAGCACTGTACAATGGGTAGGCTATCAGACATGTAATTGTAACCAGACATCTCGACGTACAGGAACAGAGAGGTGGAGGGCCCTGCTCAATTAGCTTACATTCTAGAGGGAGTTGGGGTATAGTGACACAAAGGGTAAAAGTAGGGGTACGAAGTAGATTGTTAGAAAAGTATTCACTGCGGGCTTAGTAGATAATTTTGACAGTTGCAGGAGAGGAGTCTTGGGGGGTGGGGGATAAAAACCTGCTAACAGTTTAATTGATATGCTTCCTTGAAGAAGTGAGTTTTCAATGATTTTTTTGAATGAATTGAGACTGGGTGAAAGTCTTACGGAGGGAGTTCCACAGAAGAGGTGCAGCCCTGGAAAAATCTTGGAGACGAGCATTAGAGGTCTGAGTTCGGACAGAGGTTATACATAGGTCTTTGGCAGATGGTAGGGGCCTCGCTGGGACATACATGTGTATTAGGGAGGATAGGTAGGTTGGAGCAGCATTATGTAGGGACTTGTAAGCAAGCACCAGAATTTTAAATTTAACCCTTGGTTCTTAGAATTCATCAGCCCTGGTTGTCAAGCTCTGTCTAGATTAATAATGCTATACACTATAAATACGAATACTGTTTCTGGCAAGATCAAAGCACCATCACCACCATGACTGAAGTTCATATTTCTGCATTAACATACCATACATACTCAAGTATAAGTCTAGTTTTTCAGCACATTGTTTGTGCTGAAAAAAACCCCACTCGACTTATACTCGAGTCAGTGTCTGTATTATGGCAACTTACATTGCCATAATACAGACCAGGACCGCCGGGCTCATTATAAGCCCGGCAGTCCTGTTGGGGGCTGGCAGAGAGCTGTAACTTACCTTTCCTGCAGCTCCGGTCAGCTCCCTTCTCCTCCACTGTAAGTCTCGCTGTGTGACTGCCGCGTGGTGCGTTGCCACGGTAATCCGTGGCAACGCTCTGACCCGCACCTCTCGCGAGACTTACAGTGGAGCTGACTGGACCGGAGGAGAAGGGAGCTGCAGGAAAGGTAAGTAACAGCTCTCTGCCAGCCCCCCTTTTAAACAGCCCATCCACTGGACCACCAGGGAATGAGAGTCCCCCTCCCTGGCAAGCTAACAAGCAGGGAGGGGGGACGAAAATAAAAATTAAATAATAATAATAAAAAAATTACAATAATTAAAAAAAAAAAAAAGTTAATAATAAAATAAAATACTAAAAGAAAACAAATTGAAATATTAAAATTTAAAATGATAAAAATGCCCTCCCCCACCCAGTTCACACACAAACACACACTCTGCATTATAAACACACACTCTGCATTATAAACACACACTCTGCATTATAAACACACACTCTGCATTATAAACACACACTCTGCATTATAAACACACTCATACAAACACACACTCATACAAACACACACTCATACAAACACACACTCATACAAACACACACTCTGCATTCACACAAACACACACACTGTGTGTTTGTATGAGTGTGTGTGTATAATGCAGAGTGTGTGTTTGTATGAGTGTGTGTGTATAATGCAGAGTGTGTGTTTGTATGAGTGTGTGTGTATAATGCAGAGTGTGTGTTTGTATGAGTGTGTGTGTATAATGCAGAGTGTGTGTTTGTATATATGTGTGTGTATAATGCAGAGTGTGTGTTTGTATATATGTGTGTGTGTGTGTTTGTATGAGTGTGTGTGTGTATAATGCTGTGTGTGTGTGTGTGTTTGTATGAGTGTGTGTGTGTGTATATAATGCAGATTGTTTGTATGAGTGTGTGTATATAATGCAGTGTGTGTGTGTGTATAATGCAGATTGTATGAGTGTGTGTGTGTGTGTATAATGCAGAGTGTGTGTATTAGTGTGTGTGTATATAATGCAGTGTGTGTGTGTGTATATATAATGCAGTGTGTGTATATAATTATAAAAATCACAGAATTTCATAGCCCCTAGTTTTACCCTCGACTTATCCAAGAGGCATAGCCTATTTCACAATTTGCAAGAAAAGGAAGAGTTAAGGATGCAGCGCTTATTATTCCCAATAAAAAGATATATATCCAATAGTAATAGGTAAATTTAGCTGCTAAACATTCTCGTGGCTCCTTCAATGTCACCAATAAATTCAAACCGTAAAAAAGGAAAAAGTTCCTTAAAGAATGTAGCGCTTATACAATAAGAAATAATGTTATCACCTTTTGGTAATTGGACAAAAAATATATTTTTTCCCTTTATCCAGGTGTCCAATAAATGGTTTATCTACAAAAGATAATCATACATAGTGCAGATGGTATATAACTGTACATTCATATATCTATATATGGTATTATTCACTCACAAACATAGAGCTGTGGACCCAGCTCAAGTTGAAGTCACTCTCGGGTCCGTATAGGCGACCCACCCCTGTTTAGGATGCTTTGGTCACAAAACTGCACTCGACTTATACATGAGATCGACTTATACACGAGTATATACGGTACCAACTTTGGACATTATTACACTGGCTGAGAGCTTTACCTGGTATCTCGCAACCAAGAGTAATCTTCAACATTGACATGCTATGCCAGAAGTCCACTTTAGCTTTGTAAAGCAGACCTGGTAAATGTCAAACTGGTCATGAATACCAAAAAAGGCACAAAAATTATTTTCCGAAGTTGAGTTCATTTTATAGATCTGAAAAGGCAGACGACACTTATGGATCTACCACTTTCTAAAAGGCTTTCCTTCTGTCTGTATTGTATAATGTACTGAATATACCCGCATCCCTATAATCAGTCACATTTTACAATCTATGGTGTTCTTTTCTTGCTGTTGACAAATATCTTAAAAATGCACTCTAAGCATTACATTTCATTGTATATCCTAAAGAGCTGATAGACTAAAACCACTGGTGTAATAGTGTAGTTGCTGCATCTCCAACCATAAAACATAAAAGGGTAAGAACTAAGAGTGCTGTTTTGGGGGGTGGGGGAGTGTGTGTGTTTTTAGTCAAACTCAAAAATAAGACAAAAAAGAGGGGGTGGCCATATAGCACTATAATCACTACACTGGGCACTGGTGGATATGGCACTTGGGGTACCTCTTTAGGTAGGAAAAGTAATATCACAGAGGGAGGATCTTAATGTAATTTCAAGGGGGTGGTGATGTTGTATAACTACCAGAGCATTTTGCGAAAAAATATATCATATGATGACCGTTCAAGGCAAGTGCTTGATATTATCAATCTAGCAGCGAGAGGAGTAAAATTAAGTTAAATCCAGTAAAAAAGGGGAAAACTTGCTTTACTCTTCTCACTTTTGATGTTGCAACATGCATATGTTCAAAAGGTAGCATTTTGGGGACAGAGCTTGAATCTTGAGCTGGTCGGACGGGTGCGGTGTGAGCTTCTGTCTAAATCTACAATACTGGGGTGAAATCATCGTCAATTAAGCCTCAAAACTCACTTTGGTGCACTCCGCACGTCGGGAGTGCTACAGCGATTCGATTGACATCCCACTCGAGCCTGTTACTGCTGGGAGCCCAGCACACTGTGTCATAGCCTACCTAAAGTGGATTTGGGGGGAGGCGGCTGCTCCTCTCACTTACACACCTGTCTTACAGCCTTACCGATCCCCATTTGGTCCGGCGTGGTTGTTTTCGGTCACCACTGGCAAGGTACAGACTACCTTCGCGGCACATACCTGCAGTTTTCAGCCGATACTAGACTGAGCGTGGTGACCCAACATGGCCGACGCACTTACCCCACTACATTGATAGTATGGGAATAAAGAGAATCGTGATGGGTTTGTCCTGCACACTTAGCTGTATATGTTGTAATGATAAAGCTCTTACATGACTGGTGTCTTGGGAACACCCAATTATTATCGATCTTCTTTTTGGTTACATTTTTGCCTGCTTGTAAATCTCTCCCCTCCCCCGTAACCTGAATACTACAAGTACAGAATCCATGACTTCAGCAACCTTGGCTGGCATTTGAGTTGGCTACATTTTTCTTTTTTTTTTTTTTTCTTTTTTTTTGTGTTAAATATGTTTATTAGTTCCATAACATATTCCAATGCAAACGTATTATTTTTAATGCGAGTTAGTGCTCTTCATTCATAACAGTTGTTGTATAGCATGCAATATAGTATCATATTCAAGCATGGTCTCTCTAGGTGCCAGTAGGCAGTAATAAGATAAGTGAGTAAATTAAGGCTGATAAATTAAGAATTAACGTTAATAAACAGAACAATATGAAAGCAATATCTTGTGCAATCTGTATATTATAAACAGCGTAGTTAACACATTATAGCATGCCGTTGTCTTTTGGCTAAATTAAGACTTAGTTGTTTGTCCTATAACAGCGCTTAAACAGTTACGGTGCAGGCTTGCAACAATAAAAAAGGCTAACAGTTAAGAATTTGCGTCCGGGTACATATTAGTAGAGGAGCAGGCTGGTAGTAACCCTTTGGGTGTCGCCCTAGAGTCGTCTAAATATGATGTGCATTAAAGAAGTTACATTCTGAGAGTTGGGAGCTAAATGTTCCATCTAATCATTGTGTGCGACTCCGTATGTGGTCTGGGCTTTAGAGTGCAGTTGGTCAGGGTCTATTTGCGTGTTGATTTAACCAGGCAGTAACATTTAGCATTATGTAGTATAGACATGTGTGCCTACAGTATCTCCTGGCATGTAGGTAGACACAGGCCCTAACGTCCGCGGTCAGCTGCCGTGAGGGTAATATAGAACGTATCTACTTTATTAAAGATTTATATGCGGAGACCATTAGCTCGCTTCTAAGGCCCGCTGAGACCGAATATCCTTACATACTTATTCAGTTGTGGGCTTAGTTGTGTACATATGTGTAGTCGTTATGTTACGTATCAGTCTGGTATGTGCGGTACCTATTGGTGTAGTGTGTATGCTGTATCGTGAAGCTAGGGTCCTGGGCATGGGTCTGGGTATCATATCCTGTTACATTTCAGTTGTTAATCAAGCCCTAATAAACAGCGTTAGACTTATGCCCTCCGGGGCTCTTTAGCCTGGGATGTCGTCTTGTGTGGCAGTCCCAGGGCTCCCGTGCCTCCGCTACAGCACAGTCCCAGAGTCGTCGAACCTCCTTCCATCTTCTCCCCACCAACTCCGGTCCGCTGGCTGTGTCCTCCACCGTGCCGTGGGCACTCAGGGGCTGAGGCTGACCACTCGACCCCACCACCAAAGTCTGTGACCCGCCCGCCCCCTGTACCTCCCCAACACCGTGTTGGTCCACATAGAGTGCGTTCCCCCAAGTCTCTCCCGCTGTCGGCCTCACTCTTGGGGCCGGTACACGTACCCCACGGCCACCGGTCCGCCGGAAGGGCAGCACACTCCTGCCCCACAGGGCTCGCGGCAGCGGGGACATAGCTCTCCGGGGACCTCCCTACCCAGAGGCCGGGGTACTCACTGCTCCAGCGGGTGCCGGGTCAGCGCGGAGGTTCTGTCCGGTGTCCACTTCGTCTGTTCTTGTATGAGCAGCCCACGCCAGGTCCCCCCAATGAGTGCGTTATTCCGCTCCACCTTCTGGGTCCCCACCAGCTCACATTTCTCTTCTGTCCTGGTGCTCCCTTTTCCACTGTGCCTGCCCCCCTCATTTCTGTGTTCCGTTTTTCTGGCGGGCCTCTCCTTAGCAGCCGTTGCCAGTGTAGGGGCACAGCGTGTTCCCCGAGCCGAGGTGTCCGTTTCGGCGCATGCCATCCCCATGGGCCGGGATCTCCCCCACCGGCCGGGGGGGGAGCGGGGCCGTCCCCCGAGCCAACATGGTTCTCCATAATGATATTTGTCTCCAGGGTGCATCTGCCGCCAACCTCTGCGTCTTACACTTACTCCTGCTGTTGGCAGGCTTATGTCGGCTGCTAGGCCGGAGTTCTCCATGGCCGCGTATCCTGTATGCTGTGGGCCTTGTTCGGGTGTCATCTTGTAGCTGGGGTGTTTCTCTACCTCAGCATGCTCGGGTGTCCGAGTTTGGGGTGAATCTTGCGGTATTTTGCAGCCATTGTTTGGGGCTCGAGCTCGGAGCCATGTCTGTCTGCTTCCACTCGGCCCGGCCCCGCCCCCCTGAGTTGGCTACATTTTATGAACAAACACTATCTCTCTTTCTCTGTGTGTGTATAGATGCATAAACATAACTGTTTTGTTGTTGCTTCGTAGATAAACACACAGGCCCCAGTCCCTCATTGTTTTGAGATGCGGATGAACAAGCTGACACTACAGTGCAGGCTGCTCCATCCCTCCATGATGGAATGTCTGAGTAGCTATGTGCCTGGCCTTCCCTCACATACCCTATGGGTTACGCACTCCCGCCATTTTTCTTTTAAGAAAGGCAATGTTTAATGTTGCTAGAGGAAATGTATAGCATGAATGCATTAAGACCACTACACTAAGACTAAGATATAGTGGATTTTGGTGCTTGGTGTCACTTGTAAAATGTGTTTTTGGTTGAGTCCCTTTAAATTTGTAGGTAAATATAAAAGCCATGTATGCATTTTTTCCTATGCCCAGCAGTGTGTCTCTAATCCAAACTGTGCCTGCCCTTTGTTTTGTCTTTGTCCTTAAATGTGTTGGGCCTCCTATTGTCATTAAAAACTACAACATGAATATGAAGCATACAGAATAATGGTGAATGTGCATTTCTTTTCAAACACGACTAGGAAAAGCTTACATTTGTTTATCACTCTTTTCTTAAGGCTTGTATTTTAATTTACAGAAACCTGCTGAAACTACATTTACCAAAATGGCAGACAAGCTTACAAGAATAGCTATTGTAAATCATGACAAATGCAAGCCAAAGAAATGTCGGCAAGAATGCAAGAAGAGTTGCCCGGTTGTACGAATGGGTAAGCCACTGCAATAACAGACTTTTTTTACCTGTTTTTTTTTTTTGTTTGTTTGCTGGTTTAAAAAAAAAAAAAAAAATGAAAATAATTGTCAAGTGATGCATGTCCCTTTTAGGAAAAAAGTGGCACATCACTGCAGTCATGAAATCGTCTAAGTGTATTAATTAAAATATATGCTTGCCTTATATTGCCATCTTGAACCTTTACTCCACTTACATTTCCTATGATTCTTATGTAATTTCAGGCAGGCTTCTTAATGTGGCAATGCCAGTTTTTCTTCACCTTCATTTCCTTTTAGCCCATGTCCCCAGTAGCTAATTTATTATACTCCTGCCCCTCACATTGCCCTTTTTTACCCATTTAATTTGTTTTTTTATTGCCCTTCACTTGGAGTTTCCATATAATCTTGCAAGACACAGCCGCGCACATTATACTTTCGTTCCTCTTTGCATCAATAATTACAGTCTCCGTTTGCCGGCCCTACAGTTCACCTGAGCCCCACGAGTTAGGGGAGACTTCATATACTCTAGTCAAACACCGGGCCAACAAAACAAGTCGGTGTCCATGTCCGCTAAGGCATGCATCAGTTTAACAAAGTATGAAATACCTAACTGGACAGGGGCATTCGGTTTAAAATATTGGGTTGTACAGATGGCAGAATTGGCATGCCATACAATGCTTGTGGTTGTTGGCCAATGCATAAACAGTAAATATAGCAGACTGCCCATTGAATTAGCATGCATGACGTCCTAATCACAGAATAATTTCGAGACAGATAAGTAAATCAATCAAAGCCATTTAACTGATGGAATGTTAGTAAATTACCTAGGTTACAGTGCAAATGTTCCTAAGCTATATCCTTTGCCAAAAATCATGCACAAAAAAGTGTTCCCTATTTTTTTCTTTTATGTAATAAAAAAAGGCAAATTCTAATAAACTAAAAGCAGTGGCAACATTAGAGTAACTAATAAAATAAATACATATAAAGAGCTGTGAAGTGTCAGTGTCATTTTAAACAAACTGAGGAAGTGAGTACGTGATAAAAGCAATGTGACGTTATCTTTGGCAAAGTGAGTAAACTCTTAAAGGACCACTATAGGCACCCAGACCACTTAAGCTCAATGAAGTGGTCTGGGTGCCAGGTCCCTCTAGGATTAACCCTTTCTGCTGTAAACATGGCAGTTTCAGAGAAACTGCTATGTTTATCAATGGGTTAATCCTGCCTCTAGTGGCTGACTCATTGACAGCCGCTAGAGGCATTTCCGCGCTTCTCGCTGTGATTTTCACAGTGAGAAGACGTCCATAGGAAAGCATCGAGAATGCTATCCTATGAGACTGGCTAAATGTGCGCGCGGCTCATTCAGCCGATGATGGAAGAAGAGGGAGGAGAGTCCCAGCGCCAAGGGCATTGGGGAAAAGGTAAGGGTTTAACCCCTTCCTCCCCCCTCAGCTTCACAGGAGTGGGACCCTGAAGGTGGGGGCACCCTCAGGTCACTGTTGTGCCAGGAAAACGAGTATGTTTTCCTGGCACTATAGTGGTCCTTTAAGATGAGTCTTATTTTCAAGTATGAACTATATGTTTGATAGCTTGTGTAAATGGGGAGGAGGGGACTCGTGCAAAAAGGAGCTAGTGGAGGCAGGGTGCAGCACCCAGCAGACCCCAGGCAAGAAGTCAAAAATGTCTAAAATGGTTTGAATGCTTGAGGGCAAAAGGGCACCATAAGCAATAGAGATCTACTGGAGTTTTAACTGTACACTTGTCATTATGTAATTTTTTGGGGGAAAACACATTTGTTAATTTAATGTTTAGGTCCAGAGTTTTATCAAATTCTTGTATGTATTTTATTAACACCAAAACCTTGTCTACCTTCATGGGAGTATCAAAGGCTGGTATGACACTATCAAAAGAATAAATCATAACCTTATTTTTTCTTTCATGTCAGGAAAACTTTGCATAGAAGTTACTCCACAAAGTAAGATTGTATGGATTTCTGAAACACTGTGCATTGGTTGCGGGATCTGTATTAAGGTAAGGATCTAACAATCTGTGTTTGCTGTGGCACTAAATGTATATGGTCTCCTGCTGAGCTGCAGAAGCCAGATGCTGATCCTGCCAGCCATTAATTGACTCAAAATGTAAGCTGAACGTTCTCTGCCAATAAATCAATTCTGTGCATAGAAATAACATCCAGCCCTTAACTTGGTTATGTGAAGGATGATGGCACCCCTGTGAAGTTCCAGTCGCCATGAACATGTCAAATCATTGAAGTGGTCACGTTACTTGGAGTAACCTTTTAAACAAGCAATGAGTGCATATTGTGATAGACAGCTTGTATTGGTAAAATCTTTCAAAGTTGAGTCATTTCACTGATAAGCTCAATGATGTTGTAGGAAGTTAAAGGTGGGGTAGTCATTTTAGAAGGATATGAAAGGACTACTAAAGACAATCAGACCATTTCATCTCCATAAAGTGGTCTGGCTGCAGTGGTTCTTCGTTTTAACCCTTTAATGTAAAAAATTGCTGTTTAGAACACACTGAAATGTTTACATTAAAACATGAAGCACACCTGACAGCCAATAGAGGCTCTTCCGCTGTTGCACACAAATTACATTTACATTTTAAGTGTAAATTTTGTCCCCCTTCTCCATAATATATTTCTTAGTCTCCAGAAGGAAAGCTGCAGTAATAGCACTCGATCTATATTTATGGTATGTGGTGGTTATATACATTGTTTTTGCTGTGCTTTTCTGTATGCATGAAATGCAATTATTTCTCGTTGCAGAAATGTCCTTTTGGAGCGTTGTCCATTGTGAACTTGCCGAGTAATCTTGAGAAAGAAACTACACATAGATACTGTGCCAATGCATTTAAGCTTCACCGGTGAGCAGTTTGTGCAAATTAAATTAGTCTCCAACCCCCTCCCCTTCTTCTTCCTCACTAACTTAGCAGATTGTAAACATAAATAGCCAAGAGCAAATCAGCAGAGATTTAGCAGGTGTTAATTTATCAACTTTCATCAAAGTATGTTTTTATCCAATTGTGCTGTCCCTAGTGTCTACCTGGGGTGTTTATCCATAGTCTACAGTTTACAAAGAATGCTGCAAAAGGCTGCAGTGGACAGTAGTTGTGAGGGTCAAAACAATGTTAATGGAGAACAAAAGAAAACTTTAAAGGACCACTATAGTGCCAGGAAAACATACTCGTTTTCCTGGCACTATAGTGCCCTGAGGGTGCCCCCACCCTCAGGGTCCCACTCCCGCCGGACTGTATGGCGAGGAAAGGGTTAAATATTACCTTTTTTCCAGCGCCGGGCGGGAAGCTCTCCTCCTCCTCCTTCGGCTGAATGCGCACGCGCGGCAGGAGCTGCGTGTGCGTTCAGCCTGTCTCATAGGAAAGCATTCATAATGCTTTCCTATGGACGCTTGCGTCTTCTCACTGTGAATTTCACAGTGAGAAGCACGCAAACGCCTCTAGCAGCTGTCAATGAGACAGCCACTAGAGGCTTTAGAGGCTGGATTAACCCATTTATAAACATAGCAGTTTCTCTGAAACTGCTATGTTTACAGCAGAAAGGGTTAATCCTAGAGGGACCTGGCACCCAGACCACTTCATTAAGCTGAAGTGGTCTGGGTGCCTAGAGTGGTCCTTTAACTTTCAAGCTGATCAGGGCCAAATAATCATTTTATAACAGTGGTGTGTAAGCAGTCATATTTAAGTGCATATGTAGAGTCATTGCTCAATCAGATTAATAATAATTTCTTACTAAAAACCAAGAACCATCCTACCAAATTGCTGTTTAGTGATAAGGATTGTAATCTTTGCTAGAAATTGGTTGTGATTTGTTTTAGAAATCTTGTTAAAATTCAGTTTTAGCACATCTATACTTAAATGGTAGGTTTTTTTTTCTGTCATATTCTTTAGATATTGAAACTTAGATTTTACGTCCCATCTCCTCTTTATTGCTGTTAAGACTACTCTTTGACTCTTACAACTTAGAATGCAATCCTAAATGACACTCACCGTTAGGAACACTCTGTAACAGGGACACACTTACAAAACCCCTTAAGACTATCTCAAGAGCTCACTAGGCTCCCAACGAAGGGCAAAGGCAGACCAAGGCGAAAACCAAACTGGGTTCACTATAATCAGAGCTAAGGCGTCATTGATTTTATAATGTACAACTGACTACCCAAGACTACTCACATAAGTACTCAATAGAAAAACATTCATTACTCTTCACACACTTCATTCAGAATAGTCAATTGATAAGCTTCGCTAGCCTCTTTGGCACATAACCTGACTTGTATTACACTACTGTTTAATTCCCCCCTTATCTCTTACAAACTGTGCAATGTTATTCATGCCACCAAATGTCTTTCTATGTATAATGCACGACTAGCAACAGCTGTTGTGGCATTGTGAGCCATTATGTAATGTATTTTCTATGCACCAAAATTAAAGATTTTTTTTTTTTTTAAAGACTACTCTTTAGAAGCAATACACCACAAATGTGTATATAATTAAGACAAATGTAAAGGCTCATATCCATTAAATAGTTTTTGTGTAACTCTGCTACTGCAAAGTGAAAAGGAAGATTTCAAGACACATGCAAACCTGTGTGTATGTTTAGCAAACAAGAAGTCTAGAATCTACGGCTCAAAATTGCAAGCTTGGATAGTCCATGACATGCTTATAAGTGGTGAATTTTTACTCACAGGGGCTGAATTTTCACTTGCCAATGGATAGTGGAGAGGGGAAATTTTGAAATTTGCTATAATCTTTTATCCAACGCCTGTTTGTGATCCACCCAGACTAAAATGTTTGTTTCCATGTAGATTGCCTACTCCTCGTCCTGGAGAAGTACTTGGGTTGGTTGGCACCAATGGTATTGGGAAATCAACCGCGTTGAAGATTTTGGCTGGAAAGCAAAAGCCAAACCTTGGAAAGTATGATGTAAGTATGCTCTGCTTGTTTTATTATGGGCACAACACATTTATATAGTCGCCTTGTCTTGTTTTGGTATTGTAGTTCAGTATGTCCTTTGCCAATTCATCATCATGATTGTTTGTGCGCTCTAGGACACACTCTGAATGTAATTGTACATATTTGGTCTTCATAAAAGCCTATCCATCAATAACATTGATAACAATAAATGAAAAGTACTTGGCATCACAAACTAGGCAAGAGTATGCAAAGCTGGTCTGTCCTTGCAAAAGCTATTGAGGTGCTTTAATGTATAAAAAGGGCTTCGATTCACATGCTCCAGATATCATTTTCCCTCTTTACAAATGAATGGTAAGACCCATCTTTGAACACGCGGTGCAATTCTGTTCACCAATTTTAAAGAAGGATATTGCATAATTAGAAATAGTGCAGAGGGGACTACAAAATTAGGAAGGTAAATGGAAAATAATAGTTATGAGGAAAGGCTATAAACACTGGGTTTGTTTTCTTTTGAAAAAAGGCAACTCGGAGAGGATATGATAGAAATATATACAGGGTCAATATAAACCTCTGTGCTAACCCAGCGCTTCCCAAACTTTGTGCTGCAGCACCCTGGGGTGCTGTAACTGTTTCCCAAGTGCTAAGGTTTCGGGTAAACCAGTGGTGGAACTTCCACTCATGCGGCTGCACTGGGACTCATTCAATTAGGGCCACCCATAGGGTATTGCTGCTTTACTACTAAACATGTGCCGGTCGGGTGCTGCAGCCCTGTAAGAGTCTGACTGGGCTTCTATAATATCGGCCGGTTTGGAGGAAGTCTTCACAGTTTCATGCAGAGAGCACCGCAGGAGGAAGAGGAGACAAAGGCAGCATGAGGGGAGAGGCTCACAAAGCTTGAGCTCCTCCAGACCCCACCCTCCCAGCCAGGGCCGCCATCAGGGCATGACAGCCATAACGGTTGTCATGGTCCTGCGGGGCCCGGACTGCTCTGGCAGTCTGAGCCCCACATTCCTCATGTGCACAGGTATATAGCGAATTTCGCTATATATCTATGCACTGAGGGTTCCCCTACCTGTAAATTGCAGCGGAGGGCCCAGCAGCACACTCTGTCCTCCTTCCAGCTCCTCTCTTTCAAACTCTCCTGCGGCCGCCAGAGTGTTACCACGGCAACACTCCGCACGCAGGCCGTTCTCACAAGAGTTCGTCAGAGAGGAGCTGGAAAGAAAGACAGTGTGTGCTGCTGAGCCCCCCTCTGCAATGTACCGCGGCTGGCTCTCTCCACCGGACCACCAGGGAATGCGATCTGCCAGGTAAGAACCAGGGAGGGGGGAATAAAATTTAAATTTTAAATATATATATTTATATATATATATATATATATATATATATATATATATATATATATACTCCCCTCCCCCTACTTTATACAAACACTGCATCCTTACAAGCACACACACTACATTAACTGAACTCACTCTGCACTACACACACACACACTCTACATTCATTGAACTCACTCTGCACTACACACACACTCTACATTCACTGAACACACTCTGCACTACACACACACTACATTCACTGAACACACTCTGCACTACACACACACTACATTCACTAAACACCCTCTGCACTACACACACTAAATTCACTAAACACAATCTGCACTACATTCACTAAACACAGATCTTGAGCTGTGTCAGGGGCCCTAATATTTCTGATGGCGGCCCTGCTCCCAGAAGCAAGACCTCGACCTCAAGCAAGCCACCCTCCTGGACACAAAAGTAAGCTAACAGGAGGGTGGCTATATTAAAAAAATAATAATTATGTGTGTGTGTCGACGTGTATCTGTGTGTTTGCGCATCTGACAGTGTGTGTGCGCGCGCACATCTGTGTGCATGTTGGGGTGTGTACATGTCAGTGTGTGTGTGTGTGTGTATCTCAAGGTGTTAGTTTGTGTGTCTCTATATAAATTTCTGTGTGTGCGCATACATCCAACTTGTTCATTAGTAGGAATATATAGTAGACAAGTTCCCTTTTGAGGCTTAGTTTGAAATGGCTGCAATTGGGGGGGAGAGGTGCCTTCTTTTGGATCAACAGGACTAAAAAAAACATTATTGGAGCTGAATTATGCATTATGCTTTGCAAGATGTCTGGGAAAGAATTTTGAAGTGTAACATAGGCAAAGTGTCCATGGAGTACAAACAGTTTTTGTTATCTCTCAAATTAATGAATTCCAGGGTTAGGTTAGGTTACTACCTACATAAAAAATTGACTTTAAATTAAAATGATAAGACAAGATAAGACAAGAAAAAAATGGCATATCATCCGTCCAGAGTCCATATAGAGAGCCTGAGTTTCAGCTATTCTGTCAGATTGCTTTAATGTCATGGCTAGATATACAGCGCACTTGAGTGCTCCAGAGTGGAGTGGAGAAAATGTTTTTCTTCTGAATTTAGGGATTAGCCAAATGCACCCCTAGGAAGTGCAAATAAAAAAAATCTTTTTAATGGGAAAACAAATCCCAATTTCTGTTGTCTAAAAATTTCATGTTTTATGCTCTTCTATAAAGGATCCACCTGATTGGCAAGAAATATTGACATACTTCAGAGGATCTGAGTTGCAAAATTACTTCACTAAGATTTTGGAAGATGATTTGAAGGCTATCATTAAACCTCAGTATGTGGACCAAATCCCAAAAGCAGCGAAGGTCAGTATGTTGAATGTCACTGCACACTTTCATTAATTATTATTTTTTTTTTAATCTTTAACCATCCCTTTCCATAAACCATGTAAAGTCTATACTGAAGAATCTTTACTTGTGAATTTAAAGAACATGGCTGGGAATTTCTGCATTTTCTGTGGTTACTTTTAATTATACTGGTTTATTGCAACCATTTGAGCAGGTTGCAATTAACCAGCATAATTGCTTGTGGGCAGCCCTAAAAAAAGAAATGTATTCCTTTCAAAAAGTTTCAAATGAATCCAAAAAAAATATGTATCCACACACTTTTCTTGAAATTTTAGAAAACGTGTTTGCAGATTCTTGTAGGAGCGAACATTTAGGATATACTGTATTAAATAAACTAAAGGGGTTATGCTCATATAATTAGAATAATTTTAATTACATGAATTTAACTCTTTAACAGACATATGTGGGATTTTTTTTTTTTTTTATTTACTTTCACAGGGCCCAGTAGGAACTATCTTGGATAGAAAGGATGAAACAAGAACCCAGACAATTATATGCGAACACCTTGGTGCGTAAATGTAGAATTTTTTTAAATCCTGTATCAAAGTTATTTGAGTCATTTTTCTCTCTGGGTGTGGGTTTTGTGGTTTGTTTTGTTGCTGTAAGTATGCTGTTTCATAGAATTCCCTCTATCTAGTCTAACTGCATAAAATGTCTCCATAATTTGTTAAAAGCTTTACAGCTAGGAGACTAAACACCCCAGGTCAGTGACCTCAAAGGAAGAATTTCACATGCTTCAAGTGTGCAAGTGTTCCATTACCAAATTTATGTAAAAATATATAAATCATGCTTATTTACATACAAAATTGTCATTTTCTTTTACCCTTGGCTCTAAAGTAGCTGCATTGATAAAATGTTGGCATTTGTAAGTTTAGCTTTTCAAAGACAGGTGTTTATTTTACACAAACTAATACCTCACCACTATTACTTCACGGGCAATTTGTGCATCTGCATGAACCCCTGTTGGACTCAGTGGTAAGAAGGCTTCAGCTGGTAGAGCACCTAGCAAAGTGGGTAGATATTTGTTTAATATCTGAATGTCATAGAGGAGCAATTCAAAAATGTTTCTCTCTCCTTACTTCTGACTGCTGAAGTTCTACAATTATCGTACAATTATCACCTTGTTCTGCTATTCTGTTCCATTTAATTAAAGGACCACTATAGGCAAGCGGACCATTTCAGCTTAATGAAGTGGTCTGGGTGCCAGGTCCCCCTAGTTTTAACCCTGCAGCTGCAAACCTAGCAATTTCAGAGAAGCTGCTATGTTTACATTGAGGGTGAATCCAAAACCCTCTTTCCTGCACCAAGACTTCAGCCACGCATTGACCTCTCTAATCTCCTGCTGCCTTTCCACTGTGGCACGTGGCACAGGTAATCTCTGAGTGTTTTTCCTTGTTCATTCAATCTAGTTTGTTTTTGGCTATGCGTGGATATTTGAGGAATTTGCACATAGCCCCTAAAACTTATAGTAGCCATGTAACTGAAATGAAATGCTTGTTGCAGATCTGACACATCTGAGAGACCGAAATGTGGAGGACCTTTCTGGTGGAGAGTTGCAACGATTTGCTTGTGCGGTTGTATGTATCCAGAAAGCTGATATGTAAGAACATATTGTTTTTTCATTTGACTATTATTATTATTTTTATTATTGCAATTTATAAAGCGCACACAGATTCCGCAGCGCTGTACAATTAGTTGAGAAACGTACAATATACACAAACAAATACAAGAGGTAAGAGAGCCCTGCCCGTAAGCTGATATCTAGCCATTGGAGCTCTTTATACAAAGTGCTTAGCTAGATGGCCCTTGAGCTTACAATCTAAAGGATACCAGGGGGATTTGAGACAAAAGGTAGCAGGGGAAGTTTGGAGGTGATGGCTGAAAGAGTTAACAGAGAAGCAGCTATTGGTAAGATGTTAGGGGAATGAACAGGTAATTGGGTGAGAATCTCGAACAGCTGGAGGAGCATGCTATATATTTAAGGGGAGCCTGGGTGGGTGGGAAGTGGGGAGAAAAAATGCAGTCTTCACTGAGTTGATTGTGAAGTGAGGCCTGAGGAATAGGGATAGAACAGTCAATGAAGGTATTTACGACTGGGGAGGGGAAAAGGAGAGTGTGAGAGGGGAGGGGGGGGGGCAGAGTAGACATGTGTTATAGACTATTGAAAAGTTTAGCAATCAAATTCTATCACCCAAAATATTAATAACTGTCTACATGAAATATTGGTCACAAACATTAAATGACAGTGGTACACACTGCATGCACATAACATTACAGTGGCAAACTACAGGTATCAATTGTAACAACTCTATAGTAACACATGAGAATTTTGTAGCAATCCAGTAATACGGGAGGTGGAGTATCTTCCAAGCTTCAGTCAGTACCTGAGTGTGATGGGTGTTTCTGCAGGATGGTAAATGCAGTCTTCACTGAGTTGATTGTGAAGTGAGGCCTGAGAGTGATGGGTGTTTCTGCAGGATGGTAAATGCAGTCTTCACTGAGTTGATTGTGAAGTGAGGCCTGAGAGTGATGGGTGTTTCTGCAGGATGGTAAATGCAGTCTTCACTGAGTTGATTGTGAAGTGAGGCCTGAGAGTGATGGGTGTTTCTGCAGATGGTAAATGCAGTCTTCACTGAGTTGATTGTGAAGTGAGGCCTGAGAGTGATGGGTGTTTCTGCAGGATGGTAAATGCAGTCTTCACTGAGTTGATTGTGAAGTGAGGCCTGAGAGTGATGGGTGTTTCTGCAGGATGGTAAATGCAGTCTTCACTGAGTTGATTGTGAAGTGAGGCCTGAGAGTAATGGGTGTTTCTGCAGGATGGTAAATGCAGTCTTCACTGAGTTGATTGACTAATACGAGAACCTTTTGTTTGCATGTAGTGCTGCCCAAAAGCTTACTAGAATTGGTATTTTAAAAAGCTATAATAAAATTTACATTGCTTTGCCTTGGGGAATATTTGTACTGCTTGCTCCTGAAAATAATTAGGTCTCTGTTTTGTTTTGCATTCTTTCTATGGAAATCATGTATTTAATTGTATCATCATACAGTGGTCTAATTTTTCCTTCCTCAACAGCTTCATGTTTGATGAACCATCTAGTTACTTAGATGTAAAGCAACGCCTGAAGGCAGCCATTACCATTCGATCTCTTATTGATCCAGATCGGTAAGAAAAAAATACTTTTTCATTTTCTTGTATTGTTTTAATTTGTACACATATGATCGATCAGCACTAGAATTATCTCTAGAACAAGGCTGGATTTTAAATGCACTACTGTACGGTTAACTGCTCATCAGTAGAGTTCAGGTTTTATATTTAGAATATACTCATGAAGGGGGGGGGGGAAGGGTTAAATTAGTTCTCAGCTTAGCCCACCTATGCAGTGTCACCAATAATGTATAACAATATTATAATGTATAGCCAAAAATTAAACAAAAGTGAAAGCACACAAAGTGTATGTGTAGAACAGTGGTTATAGTTACCAGAATGTAAGGAACAAATTCCTCTGGTGAATATCGTAAATTCTATAAAACAATAGTTGAACACAAATATAGTGCAATACGAAGAGGCAAATAAGTGAAATTTTAAATTGGGATCTCTCTCACCTTCAAGAGCCTATATGAGTTTAGTGTTAAAAGTACCACAATAACTCCATAACACCCAGAACATATAAACTCAATGAAGTAGTTGAGGTGCAGTGCCTCTGCTGGTTTATCCTTGACATCTAAAACATTATCGTTTTGTAGGAATTTCATTGCAAAGTTAACACACCTCTAGCAGTTGTCTTCTAGAGGTGCTTTTCCAGTGAGAACTGACACAGATTTAGTTCTGAGTCAAATGCTACTTGTAGAGAGCATTTGATGGGTGCATGCACACTTTCCTCATAATGAGGAACAATTGGATTGGCTAAGATCAATCTTGATGATCTCTGCCATGGAGGTGGGGCAGCAACGCTGCAAGAGCTGAAAGGTAAGTAAATTGTTTTTTTGGGGGTTGTGTGCAAATGGGGGGAGGTCACTTAATTAATCGTGACACTGTAGAATTAGGAATTCAAGTATGTCTTACACATTAGTTTTTTCTACTTCTGCAGTAAAATGGGTGACAGCGGTACCCAAACTGTGTGCCGTTTCAGGCATACAGGAGTGATGTGAAATGCCCCATCGGGTGGCCTATTCACTTAGGGCCTTTTAATTGGTTTTCACAGTTTCCTGGGTCCTGGCCAGGCGCCGCAGCTGCCTGACCGGGCCCGTGTGATATTGGCAGGCTGAGAGGAAATGACAGTATGTGGAGGGAGCAGAAGACTTATTATAACATGTTTATGTTTGTTAGATTGTGTGTATCTGTGTCAAGGTGTATGTACAAACACATTCCTGCAGAAACACAAATTTTACATACATACACACCGCTGCATTCAAACTCCAACACTATGCACAAATGTACACCAGCATTTAAAAGCGAACATTACATCCAGACACACAAAACGCAAACATTACATACATACGCTCCTTGTTTTAAAACACTAAAATTATATACGATCATAGCGCCAGTATATGCCGCAGTGCTGTACAGATTTACAATCTAGAACTTTGTTTTTACTTTTACACACAATTTTTCTTAAATTCACCTGCTTTTTGCAGGTAAACATACAGGAATCCAGAATGTTTTCCCACTGGCAGGACTAGCAAATGTGGGAGAATATTAAAATTTAAATGTACAGAATAATATAAATAAGTTTCCATCATTGTGATCTGGATTTCAGCTGTTCAGTTGCAATTGGGCAGGATGAAATTCAGTAACCATGTTCCAGGCAATTTTTAGGCAGGTACTCCCCACATTTTACTGGATTATTTTTGCTGATCCAGGCTAGAGGCATTTTTCCATGACATGATATTGTCTATAGTGTAATAAGACTTGGCCCTATGCTTTTTTTAGTATTGTTAAATTATTTTTTTGCTTTTCAGTTACATCATTGTTGTGGAGCACGATTTGAGTGTGCTGGATTACCTTTCAGACTTCATTTGCTGCCTGTATGGTGTGCCGAGTGCTTATGGTGTTGTTACCATGCCTTTCAGTGTCCGAGAAGGTATGGTACTTTCTGTAATAGAACATATGTGTGCAATATTACAACCCATCTTGAAACCAGCAGTTTGTTAAGCAATAATACATATGTTTTGCATAAAAATATTTTTACAAAAATTGTCTCTGGATATGCTGGTTTCTTGGTTGTTTTCCCCTGTGGTTGCATGTGTTATCCTGCCACCACCTATAACCTTTTTCCTTTTTCTACTTTATTTAAATCTTTTGAGAGTTTTCACTCAAGTGGAAATTATACGGTTATTAACTACATGCAAAGTTTGCATGAGCTGCTTAGCTCAGTGTAGGCATCCAGACCCAGGTAAGTTGTTAAACCATTCTAAAACAGTTTGACAAATTACTCTGGGATAGTGTCAAGTCATTTCTTGCACCCAAAGCCATTTTTTTCAGATAGTTTAAAAAAGTTAGGTGCCATTAATAGTTACTGCAAGAATAACAGTTCAAAAAAGTTAGGTGCCATTAATAGTTACTGCAAGACTAACACACACTTGTTCAACATTTTGTTTCACAGTGGATCTATTTCTATATTGCAAGAAAGTGCAAATGTGGTAAAGTGCCACAGTAAATAAACCATTAAATTGCTGCATAAAGACAGAATCGCCTTTGACAATTCACAATAAAAACAAATGCCCCCAAAAAAACCTATTGTTTTTGGACCATTTAAATGCAGAAACAAATGTGTACACACAAAGTGCAGATGTGTGCAAAATGTTACCTTAAAATGTAGGAGATTTAGCACTCGAACTGTAAAATAAAAAAAAATTCTCCTCATGCTATATGCTACCATATGGAAACTTAAATCTTCTACATTTTAAGGTAACATTTTGCAAACATCTGCACTTTGTGTGTACACATTTTTTCTGCACTTTAATGTTCCAAAGACAATTGTTTTTATATATTTTTTGTACGAGGATCTATTTCTATGGAAATTGTCAGCAGTTGGATATATCCTAGAAAAAAAAATGTTTTCAAGAAAACAATCAAAGTCACATTTTAATTGAAGAAGGTTGTTCATATAATTTGTATTTGGAATGTTTGTGAAAGTTGTATGCATTTTGGTGTTTATGTTCCTAACTCTATTAATTTTCCATCAGGGATAAACATTTTCTTGGATGGATACGTTCCAACAGAAAATTTACGATTCAGAGATACCTCTCTGGTTTTTAAAGTGGCTGAAACAGCAAATGAAGAGGAAATAAAAAAGATGTGCATGTATAAATATCCCTCCATGAAAAAGAAGATGGGTGACTTTAAGCTTGCCATCATAGCTGGGGAGTTCACAGATTCTGAAATCATGGTCATGTTGGGCGAAAATGGTTGGTATTCTATGATATAACTTCATTTCTTAGATATATGTTGTGTACTGAGACATTTAATATAGGTAATTCCATTTTAAAAAAAGATAGAAAAGTTTGGACCCACCAGAGCTCAAAAACTAGCACATTTATTGGGACAAAATGTGCAGAGCAATGTTTCAACCCAACAGTGGGTTCACAAATTTGTCTTTATCAAGCTTGATGCATTGCTATGTATATTGTGTCTTAATAAATGTGTTTATTAGCTCTGGTGTGCCCGAACCTTTTTTTCCCTTTTGTCTAATGTACTGGGATAGTGCTGGCCTCTGATTTGATTTTGCACCCAGTTGTCAGCTCAGTTGGAGGAATGCAGTTTCTGTTTATTAATGATTAACGCAAGTAGAGTATCTACAATCCTTTTTCCTGCCATTCCAACCATTACACAATGGAAGAACTGAGTTAATTAACATCTTAAAAATAATTATATAAATGTCCATTATTAAAATTAAAAATATATATGTTGACAAATATTGCATACAAATGTGTTAAATATTCTAGCAGTAAAAGTCATCATTGTACTTTTTAGTTCTGCAACCTCATACTGGCGCACATTAGAGAAAAGTAAGATTTAATCACCGTGATAAAGACTAAATGCACAGGATAGTCTTTGGTTAAAATAAAGCTCTGTTTTTGAGCATGCAGTATTACTGATTCAGTGAATGTGCATAGGGGTAAAAAGAACCTCAGACTGGTCCCCAAATCTTGAATCGTGATGCATAAATTGACTTCAGTCTTGTAAAGCACAAATGTATTTAAGGGAGACATGTCCATGCTGGTTAGTCCTGAACTTGAAAATTCCTTGACAAGTTCTGTGTGGAAGGATGTATAGAGGTGTCAGTCTGTCTTTCCTTGAAAAAAAAATTTGCTTTTTAATTTGTTGCAACGTGTGTGGTTGTGGAGGTGAATACATGGCCACAGTTTGCACGTCCGATAAATTAACCCCTTAGTGAAAGACCAGGACTGTTTTTACATTTCTGCAGTGTTTGTGTTTCGCTGTAAGTTTACTGTACCCACACATTATATACGGTTTTTCGCGCCATTAAAATGGTCTTTCTAAAGATACCATTCTTTTCATCATATCTTATAATTTACTATAAATAAAAATTATAAAACATGAAAAAAGTTTAAAAAAACATACTGCTAAGTTTGACCCCAATATATATATATATGTAATTCAAATATAAGCCAACTATATCCTTTCTCCATTCACTATATATATATATATAAATATATATATATGTGTGTGTGTGTGTGTGTATAATTTCATTCTAAGTGTGTTTTGATATAAATATATATTATCAAAATAGTTAGAATAAAATTACATATATATTTTAATTATTTTTACACTTATTTTTGTACTTCTCATTTATAATTTATAATATATATATTTATAATTATTACATATGTTATATATATACATGTGTGTAATTTAATTCTAAGTGAATTTTTATATTAATATATGTATATAATAAAAAAATACACTCAGAATGACCATATATATGATATATTGATGTATTATATTGATATATGTATGTATATCATCCTTATAGATTTATTTGTTTTTATTTATATATACGAACATAGATTTTTATTTAACAGATGCAGGGAGACTGCCTGTCAGTTCAGGCAGTCCCCCTGCAGCCAACAAAATTGTAAACAGAGGCATTCTTTTCAGTGGTTTTTCATTTGTAAACCAAAAATTATGTTAACCGAAGTGTTTGTAAACCGAGGTACCACTGTAATTTGAGTCTTCCGAAATCATAGGGCTTGGAGGGCTTCCTCTTGTGAGGCAACCGGTGCCATGTTGGTGGTTGCAGTCGCACTCTGTATTATCGTTAAACTAATATAGTGAGCCTGTTTTCACTGTCTGCATCTTACTCGCCGTGTTATGAGATTTCTTGGGGTGTCCCATGCTAGCTGCAAGTCTCTGATTATTTGGATTTTCACCCTATTAAATCCAGAGCTCAGTGGTTAGCCACATGATGTACTTTTTAGATACATACTTGAATTCATATAGGAATCTAATTTTTGTTTTGAAACTTCTACAGTTCTACAATCGTGCAGTTTTTTGGTTTTATTATATAGTGTGTTATCTTAACTAGAACATGTGCGTTAGATTTCTCATATGTGTATTACTTCTGAACTTTAAACAGTGTAAATTGTTTGTTCTTCTGCGGCATGTGAGCTTTGTTTTCATTTATTTCAACAGGAACTGGAAAGACCACTTTTATCCGAATGCTTGCTGGAAGGCTGAAACCAGATGAAGGAGGTAAAGATCAAATACATTTTTAACTAATTGTCTGTAAATAAAACCTGGTTTGTAGTAATTATTTTTATATGTACCATACCATAGATCCTCAGAATGTATACACGGTCAGGTAAGATTACAGAGAAGTCCAGCAAGTGTTTTCTTGCCCCCAAGTTAGAGCCCCAACTAGCAATACTAAGCAATCCTACTCGGACTGTGTGTTATCCAGTAACAATCATTGCACAGCTTCCCTTTATTACCTAGCAGTGAAGTATTACATCACTGGCCTTTCAGTAGACACCAAGGATTTGTTCCCCACCCACCTGCAAAGCTCAGCTCATGTGAGTCACGGGTCGTACAATTATAAAAATGTGAGGAAGTGGTGATCGTGAGGTGGAGAGATAGAAGTAAACAATGTTACTGTATTGTCTTCCTCTAAATATCATATCATCTGCCACTTCTCATGTAGATGAATATATCAAGTGATATAGGTGAGGAAAAACAAGAGTTGTGCATTTAACACACACTGACCATACAACACATATAAGCCTGAATTCCCATACTGTGTGTGTGTATATATTATAGAGAGAGCTCTCACTGTAACTCAACACAAATACACCCTTTTATTCAGACAGAAAATAATTTTTTTAAGCTGCATTGAACAAATCAAATTCTTGTAAATTTATGCCCAAACTTTACCTGTGTAGTCAGACAGATGTGTTCATATGGGAGTAAGTCAACAGGAATTTGGTTTGTTCAACACAGCTGAAAAGGATTTGTGCTTAAATTTAAAGTACACCTCTGCCTTCACACATGTGCTGCTAACGAAGTATGAATGCAAAAGTCAAAATGCTGTTTCTATACGTTTGTGCTGACAACAAGTAGGTTAGAATTTGAAATTTTAAAGCCCTGATCTTAACCATGCATCTGTATATTATAGGGGTATATATCAAGGCATTATTCTAAAGTGAATACATCTTGGAAATTGAATCCTGTCCTTTCTTTACTTTGAGTCCACTATAACACCAGTTTCCTTCCTTTTCATAGGCGACGTCCCAGTTCTTAATGTGAGCTACAAACCACAGAAGATCAGCCCCAAATCAACAGTAAGTTTTGGTGATTTTTCATGGCACCCACTTTTTCTGTAATATGTATGGATACATATTGAATGCATTATTAACCCCTTAATGCCGTTACAGCGTTCTATGCTCTCCCGCATTAAAAGGGCTTTAAAGCCGTTGCGGCGGCATAGAACGCCGTAACGGCTTGCAGCTCCTGGAGGTCCGGTGTACTTACCTCCGCCGCGATCCTCTTCTGGAGGGCTGTCTGGCAGCCCTCCCCGGCATATCAGGCCCACCGGGGCCATTCGTTTTGTTATGATCGGAACGTGCACTATTGACTCCGTCCTGAAGGGGTTAATGTAATATACCTTTCTGTTTGATTAGGGAAGTGTTCGTCAGCTGCTTCATGAAAAGATCAGAGATGCCTATACCCACCCACAGTTTGTTACTGATGTGATGAAACCAATGCAGATTGAAAATATTATTGATCAAGAGGTGCAGACATTGTCTGGTGGTGAGCTGCAACGTGTTGCCTTGGCTTTGTGTCTAGGTAAACCTGCAGATGTCTACCTAATTGACGAACCTTCAGCATACCTGGATTCTGAACAGCGTCTCATGGCAGCTAGAGTCATAAAACGGTAATTAGATAACCGTTTAACGTGCTGCCTGAATAATATGAAATGTTATAGTTCAGTTGTTAAATGCGTTCTCTCATAACAGATTCATACTACATGCAAAGAAGACTGCCTTTATTGTGGAGCACGATTTTATTATGGCCACCTACCTTGCTGATCGTGTCATTGTGTTCGACGGTATCCCTTCCAAAGATACTTTAGCAAACAGGTGAGGTTCCATACATTATTTGTAAATTCAACTATCTGTATAGCGATATCACATAGTCAAATTATTCTCAAACCACCGTTGAGCTAAATAAATTCTCTAAAACTGAAAATCCAGATTTTGAATGGTGTAGCAGTGTTGAATTTCTTTTCTTTCCCTAGCCCTCAGACCCTTTTGGCTGGTATGAACAAATTTTTGTCTCAGCTGGAAATCACATTTAGGAGAGACCCCAACAACTACAGACCTAGAATAAACAAAATGAATTCCATCAAGGTAAGAATGTTTCTCAGTTGTCCGCTTTGATTGTAGTTAATTTTGTTATGAATACATGTGTGTATTACGAATGCTGTAGTGTCTTTCTTACTACGTAGGTATCCACATTCCGGTTATAACTAAATGGTCACTTAACTGAGATAAAGTGATCTGGGTGCCTTTAGAGGTCTTTTAATTTTCCTAAAAGCGATGCACATTGGTCTCTTTGAAATATTTATGTTTGAGTGAATAGGAACTATTTAACCCCTTAAGGACGGCGGGCGTGCTATGCCTCCTTGGCGACCCGGTTCTAAACCCCCTCCCCACTGCCGCCATGTGATCGCAAGGACCAGGTGGAGTGCCTGGAATGACAAGTAGTCCCCCTGCTGTCTGGAATAAAGTTAAAGTTTAAACACTGTTTTTAAAATTAAAAAATATATATTTAGATCATATATATATATATATATATATATATATATATATATATATATATATATATATATATATATATATATATATATACACACATATACATATACACACACTGTCTAAGTGTATTTTAATATATATATATATCAATATCAAAATGCACGTAGAAATATATCTTGAGAAAAGTCTATTGTGACTGAAACGTCGACATTTTTGTATTCTGCACAATAAAGCAGTATTTATTTTGATATAAAACGAAGACTCCAGAGTGCTCTCTACTTGTATGCTATATATATATATATATATATATATATAATAAATATATAAATACGTTAAAAATAAATGTGTAATTTCGTTCTAACTGTATTCTGATATTAATATATAGATATCAAAATAAACTTAGAACGAAATAATATATATGTATATAAATTTATATGTATATATTAAAAAATGTGTGTGTGTGTGTGTATATAAAAAATTTATATATATATATATATTTTAATTCTACGTATATATTTATATACCGTGTATATACTCGCGTATAAGCCGACTTTTTCACACATTTTTTATGCTGAAAAAGCTCCCCTCGGTTTATACTCGAGTGAGCAGGGCCGGCGCTTCCTATAAGGCAAACTAGGGTGCCATATATAGGAGGGGGCGCCCAGCACCCCCATCGCCGGCCCTTCTAATTCTGCAGCTGCCTGGCCAGCGTTTGTGACTAAGTGGCTACTAAAAATGACTGGACTTACCCCATTTGCAATACCCTGGGTTGTCTATTTTTGCAAATGGTATGCCATCATGGGGGTAATTTTCATTCCTGGTCTACCATATGGTATCAAAGGCAGCGTAAATAATCTGGCGAATTTCTGTGTGAAAAGTTAAAATGTCATGAACTAAAAAAAAAAAAAATTCTTAATTTCTCACATTCTTTTATATTTTATTCATATTAAATTATATTTCATAGCTAAATATTTGATGTTAAATGAAGGCTATATTTCTTCTGAATAAAATGCTATATAATAAGTGTGGGTGCACTTAATATGAAAGAGGCGAATTACGGTTGAACAGACATATATTCAAATTCCAAGTTTTGTTTACGTTTTATTTTGATCAAAACGTGTACATTTGGCTCAGTCCTTAAGGGGTTAAAGATAAATGTCAGTTTTTTTTGTTTTTTTTTAAATCATTGCTTTTATGGTACTTTATTTATGGTGTTGCATGTACACTTTACAAATATTCTCCTGAAACTGTGAAAAGTGTTTTATAGAGTTGCCGCTATACATTTATTTACCTGGTTGACCTCTTTTCTTGTCTTCCCCCATTAGGACGTGGATCAGAAGAAGAGTGGAAATTACTTTTTCTTGGATGACTAAACATCAATTCTTAACATAAAGCCTCTTGTGTGAAACTTTATGCTGTTTCACAGAATTCACCTAAATTGATCTAGAATCTGTCAGAGTACCAATGTTTAGTGTACATATCCCAAATGCAGCCTAGTGGTTGTACATGGGGAGAATATATCCATTCCACATTCCTGCACTATTCTGAAACAAAAGTATAAATTTGTATGGGTTAACAACTTGTATAATGTATTTATCATCCTATATGCTGACAAATATCCCCCAATTTTAGACACTTGAAATTTATTTCTTGTCAATATGGTTTATAAAACTGCTACCATTGAGTTCAATCTTGTTTTAAAGAGGGATTTAACCCAAGAAGAGGTTTTGAAAAATAAATATCCACCTCAAATTGAATGGTCCTGAGTTTGTTTGCATAACACACCTATTCCTATAGAGGTTTCATAAAAACACACGCTTTTTATTATTCTATATATGGTGTCGCAGGTGATTGTCATCATTCTGAGTAAACATCCTTTTGATCTATTTTTAAAGCTACTTTTACCATAACAAAATAGAATTATGTAAAATTTAGCTTTTTGTCTAAAGGTAGTGAACAAGGTCCACTTTAAAATCTTTATCTATTTAGTGTGTTAGCCAGCTCATTATAACGATATGTAATTCTAGCCTGCTGTATTCACAGCCTACATGCAGTCTCATCCATTGCAGGCGCCAATGCTTTTAGTTTATACCTGCCAAAAAATATTTTTTGAAGCTTAAATGTAAATAAAATTTAATGTATGCACTTGATCTCAATTTGATAAATGATACATTGATACAATTTTGTCACAGGTTCTAAACCCATCCATGAATATTGTAAAGCGCTGCTGAATTAGTTGGAACTATATTAACAAACACATATATATATATATATATATATATATATACACACACACACACTTTTTGTGTGTGTGTGTGTGTGTTCTGGTGTACACTCTAGAACAGGGATATGCAACCTTCAGCACTCCAGATGTGGACTACATCCCCCATAAGGCTCTTACATAATGCTAGCCAAAGCATCATATGATGTGTAGTCCAAAACATCTGCAGTGCCGAAGGTTGCCTATGCCTGCTCTAGAAGGAGAGGTCAACCTAGAATAGAAGCTATTAAAATGTAGTCCTTATTTTAATATGTATACTTGTAAAATAAGAGCATAATAATAAAAAGATAATTTGGTGAATAACAGACTAATCGAATGGATGTCAACAATATCATATAGTGTCTTTACTAATTTCAATAGCAGAGAAATAGAGCTTGTGTCCTATACAGGACAAGTTAGGTTAACATCCATTCGATTAGGGTGTTCTTCCCTTATTTTATAATATACATATTAAAATGTAACCTTTATTTAAATATATTCTATTTTAGGCTGTCTATTCCTCTTGTGTATTTCTATATTCACTAGAGAGGTTAGACACCTTACTATTTTGGTAGCCTATATCCTCTTTAGCTTATTGTTTATTAAAGGTTCTGTTTCAGTTGCTAAATCAAATTTAGCCACAATCCATAAGTAAAATCTATCCCACAGAAGGGCAGACATAGACAGGATAACAAAATGGCTGCACCCAGATATTGAGATCCTGCACATTAAAGAAAAGATAACAATTTAAATAAATGTGGGGTGTGGATATTAAGATACAAGGATCAAAAAAGTAAAGGGGGTGAGAATGAGAGGTTTGTTTTTAAGTAGCCCCCTAAAGGGCTTCTATAGAGCCTGGAAAACAAGGCTGTTTACTGGCGCTATAGAATCCTACAGTACCCCCCTCCCACAATGCTAAAGGGATTAAAACCCCTTCAGTCACTTACCTAACCATCGGCGCTGGGTTAGGCTCCGTCCCCAGCCGGCGGGGGAGACCTAATGCACATGCGCAGCAATGGCCGCACTCGCATTAGGATTTCCCTATGGGAAAGCATTAATAAAAAAAATCTGACACTGGAGGTCCTCATGCAGAGCGCTAGAACGTCCAGCGTCAGATAACAGACCAAATGTCCATTTTAAACCAAGAAGCCCTCTAGTGCCTGTTTAGTAGACTGACACTAAAGGTGTAGATAACCCTGGATAGTAATTGTTCGTTTCTCATTAACTGCAATCATTACTATTGCAGGGTTAAGGGACAGGGGTCATTGCACCCAGACCACTTCAATGAGCTGAAGTGGTCTGGCTGCCTACAGTGTCCCTTTAAGACTTTCAAAAGAAAATACGAAGACTAGGAAAAAATTGCAAATTTTGCAGTCACTCGTGATTAAAGTATTGAACAATTGGGTTCAATATACACCACACCTAGTTTATCTCCTTTAACCCAGGCTGTATGCAACTACCTATCTTTGTGAACTAGAGGGGGGGGAAATAATAACACCTACCTGTAGTTTATTTTCCAGTTATATGCCAGCACTTGGGGATAAGGTGTTCATGTTCAGTGGGAGGAGAACCATTTTATCCCTGTATGATTCCAGTCTGTGAACAAAGTCACATAATGGTCTGGATTAATGCATTGGAACTATTTTCGGCATAAAGACTTTGTGGTTCCTGGTCGGTCCCCAGCGGCACTTAGCACTATTTTCGGCATGGGACCATGCATGCGGTCTGTCAAATTATGACTTCCAGGAAATTCCTGAACCGATCTGGGTGACCAACATATCCAAAAATCAGGCTATCAGGAGATTGTAACCCTTTGTGTGTTTAAATGTATTTTTGGGGTTTTGTATAAGTGTATGTATTCTGTGCCTGGAGATAATGGAGTTTAATACAGTGCTGACTCAATTATCTCCAAGGCACAGGGGAGGGTTTGATCTATTTTGTATGGGAGTGTCCTGGACCTAAGAGCCAATGTAATCGTATGTTTTTACTGTAGTCTACTCTTAGGTCCAGGGGGAGTCCCCCTTGCATGGGGACCTGCAAATAAGGACAGTTGTGGCTGACATTAGTTTAACCCTTCATGAAGTCTAGGTTCATGTTTGGGGGATTGGAGAGTTATATTCACTCTGGGGATTGCTGTAATCACTATACAACGATTCCTCTTGTAAGAGCAGCCTGCTTTGCTCTCTGGACAAGGAGAGATCTACCCACTAGAAGCTGGATCCTGGTCTTGTGTCCAGGGTGGGTGAAGGACAGCGAGACCCCAAACCAAGCTGCAGCGGTTTAAGATGGTTATGGTGTCCGGTGCAATGCTTATGGTACTCAAGGATTACTAGGAAGCAGCTATTGATGCAGGTACCTAGTCCCAGTGCCAGGCGGTCTGTCACGTGTTCTACAATTAATGAGGATGTCATGGTTACAAGTTCCAGAGTGGGAAGAATAACGCAGTTGTGACCTATTTTTAGAAAAACTGCGAAAAGATTTAGCTAGCATAAAGTTTGACTAGCTGCGTCAATCCGAGTAGGTGGATAATGATTTCGACACAAGCATCTGAATACCCTTCAATGATAAGTAGCTGGTGCATCATTATGGGTAACGGTTCTGGTTTTAGACATGGGGGCGTCAATCTTAGTATGGTGCTTTGGAACTTGGTTGGTACAAGTCCTATTGTTATACCTTGAGGTTTGGGTAGTGTGTTTTGATGAGAAGTGTCAGTTTTAGTAGTGGGCCTCACAGAACCACTGTCAGAATGGAAAACAAGAGTAAGAATCTTCACAGGAAAGAGACCATAGTTCCAAAATCCTGAAACCTGATGTCAAGGTATCTAAGACATTTGTAAGGGTCAGCAGCAATACAATTTCTTTCAAAGTAGTTTGATTAATATAATCCCAAAGCAGAAAATTACTAGATGAATACCCAAGGTTGAGAACAAATCTTTACAGAACGCTAGATCTATAAACTTCCCTGATCACATGACATCTTTCTCCAATTCCCATGTAATATTTGAAGGTGATACTGGAATGGGCCCTTTGCAGGTATTAATGATCAGACCCTAGCTAATCCACCATTAGAAAACAAGAAAAAGATCATGAAGTTCCTAGTCATAACAAACATAATGAAATAGTAGAGCAAAGACATGTATAGTTTCCTGAATTGCAACGAGGTATTGACAAATGTTTTAGTCAGACACTTCCTCTCATTTGCCATGCTGTCACTTGGAACTGGTGACGAGCTGGATGTAGGCTGTGAGACAATTGATAGGACAATTTTCACTCCAGAGGACCATCATGTTGTTCAAAAAGCCTGTATTTTTCTTGGCAAAGCACCGTGTATTAGCCTTTTTATGTTTGTTTTGTTCAACAAATTACTATTTTTAACCATATTTGAACCTTCCTGATTTTATCCAGAAGATTTTATCCAGAGGATTCTGATATGTTGGTGGAGAACATACCACCCAAGCTATATGGATTAGAAGTATATATCCTTTTCCTGGGCCACACACGGCAGCATCACATGGGTAAGTTCCTCCTCCCCAGCTGTCAGGACAGAAATAATTAAACAAACGTTGCCATAAAAGTCCCCTCCTCTCTAGACCCTCCAGTCTTTTTTTCCTGTCCCAGCTGACAGGGATTTTTTGGGGATCCCTTTAAAATGTTTTTTATTCTGAGCTACTACCATGTTTAACATGGTTCTTCCAGGGGGAGTTCTGCCTCTCTACCCCTGAAGAAACTAGTAAATAGGCTGCATTGGCAGCACTAACTGGTTTGAGTCTCCTTTTATTAACAGAGAATCCACCGTGAGAAGACTCCTACTCTCATTACCCATAGCAGCATGGACTAGATGATTATCCGAAGGTCCTTTTTACCTCCTAGCTAAGGGAGTGTGGGAAGCCATCAATCTTACCTTGAGAGCCTCCTGAGGGTCCCAGAGGTAGAACCGCAACTTTTGGAGCTGCTGCAGGATCAAGATGGCGGCCGCAACTTCCACTTCGGGTTTGACCGTGGGGATCTCGCGCATAATCATTTAGGTGAATTTTAGTAGATTCGCGGGAGCCCGCTAGTGGGATAAAAACATAATGCAAGAGGAAAATTCAAAGTTTTACAAACGTATAAAAGTGTATCCTGCCTATAGATCCTGCATTCATCTTTAAGGTTAGTTGGGTTTTAAAATATTTTAATGCTTAGTTGGTATTATTATTCATTCTAATATGTAATCTTATTCATTTAAGATGGCCTCCTCTCCCACCTTCCTTAGAAGTAAATCTAGGAGAAAAGGTTGAGTCCAGTTCATGGGGGTATAAAAGAGTACATTGACGGCCTGAAAGTAAAAACATATGGCCTTATCATTTAAAGCCCTAGAACCTCTCAGGATTCATCTCCAAGAAAAAATAAACAGAAAACCAATCGCTGAATGGTCTGCGGTTCAAAAAAAAAAAAGAGCTGAAGAACCCATGCTTCCAATGTATGAAAGAAGGGGGCGTGGCCTGGACGAGCATGGTGCAGGACACGGACTAAACTCGCTCCGCACACCGGGCCGAAAAACTAGCGATCACCAGCGGCATACAGGTGAAACATGGTCCGGACCAAGAGACCCAACACCCCAGGACCGGCGGGGACTGTTTCCCCGAGACGCAATATCGGCCCGATGGACGAGTTCATCGCCACGCCGTCGGACCTGAGAGGGCTGCGACCGGCTAACAAAATGGCGCCCGCATCCCCGGGCTCGGAGAGTGCGGGTGAAACCTCTGAAGCAGGTACCCAATTCAGTGAACTGGCCCAGATACAAGCCGAGCTTACCCAGATCTCGGCGAAAATGCTCACGAAGGCAGATACAAGCACAATAGCTCAGGAGCTGCGGGCAGCACTGCGAGAGGAGCTGGTAGGCCTGAGGTCAGATCTCACTGCCCTAGAGCAGAGGGTGGATGAGGTGGAAACAGCAGCGCAGGGCTGTGAAGACCAACACAGGGCAACTGAAGTTGCAGTAACCAGGCAGGGTAACCTCTTGATCACCCTACGCAGGCAGGTGGAGGATTTGGAAAATAGAAGTAGGCGTAAGAATATCAGAATACGCGGCATGCCAGAAACCGAAACAGAGGAAGAACCCCTCCACGCATGCCTGTGCGCCCTATTTACACAGATTTTGGGGGAAGCTGCACCTGAAGAAATCCACATGGATCGCGCACACAGAGCACTGGGGCCGGCAAGAAGAGATGGCAGCCCCAGAGATGTAATCTGCTGTATGACCCTGCAGGACCAAAGGGACATGATCATGGCGGCGGCTAGGGATGGGCCCTCCATTCTGTTCCGTGGAGGGGAAATATCCCTGTACCAGGACCTATCAAGTCTAACACTGGACGCCAGGCGAGCGCTGCGCCCAGTAACGGGTATGCTCAGAGACAAAAGGATCCCGTATCGCTGGGGCTTCCCCTTCAGCCTCCAAGCAAAACACGGCAACACATGGATCACGGCCCGCTGGCCAGAAGAGGTACCACGCATGATGAGGACCCTTAACCTGCCACCGGTGAGAGTGCGCAACTGGATCCTGGACGAAGCTATAGCGGCACGTAGAGACCCACTGAATCCCTCCAACCCGGCGGTCCCACCAATAGCACGGGCCACCCGGCCACTCCGCAGAGGGGGCCCAAACGGCGCAGAAGAATGACACTCTAGCAGCCGGTCCGGGCCGACAAGAGTCGGGTAAGGCGGGGGGGGGGGAAATGACTGGGCACGGAGCTGATAGCGCACATGCAGGGACAACTGGCTGTGGGAGGGCGATCCTGGGACTTTGTTGGGTTGAGGGCATGGGCGAGAAATGCGACCTACAAGGGTCATGGAGCCACTGTAGGGCCTGGGCCAGATTTGGGACCACAGGGACAACTCCCCTATTAAGGGCTCTGACCCCTGGGAGATGACTTGCGGGACATAGCCTGAGGTACACGGCGACTGGCCCAGTACTAAACAAAGAACTTTACCAGAGGCACAGGCGGGACAGTGGAAAGCCCTAGATGGCACATCACAAAACAGGCTTCTTTGGGAGGGCTGAGGGAGGGCACATTCTACGGCAAGTACCCACGCTGGGTCACGGGCGCAGACATAGGCCGACCTCGGCCCCCTGGACCCTAGCCTGCAAGCAAAGGGGGAATAGACGGGGGTCAGCCCCCGAAGGGACAACCAGGTCATTCCCCGATAGGGGCCACAAGCATAACAACCATTGCAGTAGCAAATATCCGGAGATGGGCCGGAGGGGGCGGAGAGCCGGAGGGGGTTTCTGGCTACTGCTTCGAAGGTCTTGAGAACTGTATATAATTGTATGTGCCGACCTGGCCAATCCCCTGGCCCTCCGACATGCGCTCGAGACAGCCGGGGTAGGGGGAGGGGGGTGCGGGTGAAATCCCTGGAAGCACCGGGATAAACACTGTACGGGGTGTGTGGGGAATCGCAATAAGGTGGGGGACTAATGTACACTAGGCGCTTGCGACTGACGTACAGCCCCCCCCCCCAGGACTGACAGCAAGACGGGCGATAGCTACTGCCCTTGCCTGACTCTTACACACTAGACGTAAAAGTCTACTCCCACAGCGCTCTTAGGGTTGCAGATGACATCATGATGGAGGTGGCACCACCCTCCGGCGCCCCCGCGCTACTATCTAGACCAGACAGGGGAGCTCGACGCTCTGCTCCTCTCCACCCTACTCCCGGACAGGCGGAACCGTCCCGTCCCGACTACTGACCTATGCCCCGGGGTGACCATACTGACTCCCCCCTGAGACACGCTGATGGGGGATGCAGCCTCCCCTCCCCTGGCCCCGACCAGACGCCTGAACAGGGAGCGATACCCACAGACAGGGATCCCATGAGACCGCAAACCATGAGGAGACAGCCCAGGCGCCCGGCATAACTGAGCCCCGTTTCCCTTATGCCTCCATACGCACTCTGCTTGCCTCGGCCTGGGGGCGGAAAGGAGAAGTGAACGGTTTAACTACTGGTAGTTCCTTGGATACACTTGACAACACGGGACACGGATATAATTGGCGCCCTGCTGGTGCTCCAAGGGTCTCGACCCCAGTGACAGACACCACTGTGAATTTGGTGCGGGGGGTGTGGACCACCATTTAGAGGTGCCCCACACTCCACCCTTACCTTAGGTGTACAGTCTCCACAGTTACATTACAACACACCCATCCACATACATACAGACCTCTCACGCTTTTTATCCCCTTCCCCGCCCTCCTCCGTCCTATCATTCCAGCTCTCTCCCCCTATTTTTCCCCATTCCCAGAGACCATGGGCTCAAGGTACGATCCCGCCCCTCTTCGTCTCTGGTCAAACAATGTCCGGGGGTTGAATGTGCCAGAACGTAGGTCACACCTCTTGCGTTCCTTGGGGGCCGCGAGAACGTCCATCGCATTTCTGCAGGAGACTCACTTCCGAGGGGACTCAGCTCCGACACTTAAGGACGCAGATTTCCCCCAAGGATACTTCGCCAATCACCCGACCGCCAAGAAAGCTGGGGTAGCAATATTGTTTGCCCGTACGGTACCGTTCGAATGTAAGGACACACAGACCGATGAAGCAGGCCGGTTCCTCTTCCTCAAGGGCACTATAGCAGCTACCACCTACACGCTAGCCACCATCTATGCCCCAAACGTCCGACAGCATAAATTCCTGAGGGGGATCCTCCGTAAATTGGAAAGGTTCCGGGAAGGACTGCTGATCGTAGCAGGCGACCTGAATCTGGCCCTGGATCCACGAATGGACACATCCCGGGGGATTAGTTCGGTTCCGGCCCACTGTGTGCAGTCGGTCCGGACAGACCTACGCGGCGCTGGCCTGGCAGACTGCTGGAGGGTCCTTCATCCAACTGAAAGGGACTACTCTTATTTCTCTGCGGTACATAAGCACTATAGCAGGCTAGACTATATCCTCATAGCTCAGGAGTTCTTACCTTTACTTCTCAGTTCGGAGATTGGACTGCAGGGCTGGTCGGACCATTCTCCCGTTTTGGCAAGCATCAAGTCCCCGTTATTCCGACCCAGAGACAGACAATGGAGGATGAACGAGTCAATTCTTAACGATGGGCGGACATCCGAGCGGCGCTAGTCACATACTTTGAAGAGAACGACACTCCTGAAGTGTCGGCTTTGACGATCTGGGAGGCTCACAAATGCGCTATCCGGGGACACCTAATCAAAGTGTGTACGAGAAGAAAGAAGGAGCAGCAAAGACGCACGGATGAACTGCTGGATCGGATAGCGGCCCTTGAAGGTCTTCATAAAGCCACACAATCGGATGATAGTTACAAAGAGCTGTTGGAGAACAGGAAGCAGTTGCGCGATATCTTGCACCAAAAGCTGCAGTATACGATCCGAAAATCCCAACGCTTCTTCTACGAATACTCGGGTAAATGCGGGCGGCTACTGGCTAGGACTCTACAAAAACAACGGAGGATGTGCTATATCACTAAAATCAAGCCCAAGGACCAACAGGTGACGCAACTGCCGGAGAAAATTACGGAGACATTCAGGGAGTTCTATGAAGACCTCTACAACCTCCCTACGGAACAGTCGGAAGGAGCAGGACTTCGCAAAGACAGGCGGATCGCAGACTACCTTCAACAACACATCACTAACTCACTAAGCCGAGAGGCGGCGGAGGAACTGGAGGCCGCTATAACACTAGAAGAATTACAAATCACACTGAAAGGCTCGAAACTGAACAAAGCGCCTGGCCCAGACGGTTTGCCGGTCCGATAGCTGAAGGAGTTCAGCGAAGTGCTCCTACCACGGCTTCTACTAGGTCTCAACTCGATACTGGATGGAGGAACATTTCCGAGAGACTCCTTGCTGGCAACAATAACGGTTATCCCTAAAGAGGGCAAGGACCCGGCCATCTGCGCAAGCTACAGGCCGATCTCGCTATTGAACGCAGATCTGAAGCTGTTCACGAAGGTAATAGCAACACGCATAGGAAGTGTACTGCCGGAACTGGTGCACCCGGACCAAGTGGGTTTTGTCCCAGGACGGGAGGCGAGGGATAACACCACACGCGCACTGAACGTCATCCATGCGGCGAAACAAGCGACACAGAAAATCCTTCTCCTGTCCACGGATGCAGAGAAGGCTTTTGACCGCGTGGACTGGAGATTTCTGGCGGCAACGCTACGAGCCATGGGATTTGGTCCCCGTCTGATGGCATGGATCACATCCCTGTACACTACGCCTACAGCTAGAGTCCGAATTAACGGAGCACTCTCCGCACCGGTACACATCCGCAATGGTACCCGACAGGGGTGCCCTCTCTCCCCCCTCCTGTTTGCCCTCTCCCTGGAACCATTCCTGGGGGCGGTCAGGCGGGACGGGGGAATAGAGGGCTTCGTCCTACGGGGTGAGGTACATAAGGTGGCCGCATACGCGGATGACATGCTATTTTTCATCGGCAATCCGCTAGTCTCACTCCCGAATCTTCTGAAGGCCTTCAAGGACTATGGTCAGCTATCAAACCTAAAGTTGAATACGGACAAATCGGAAGCACTCCCCATAACTCTGAGCGCGGACTCCATCGCCCACCTGCGAACACAGTTCGCTTTCACATGGTGCCAAACCAGGCTTAAATACCTGGGGATTTGGCTCCCCACAGATCTCTCCCAGCTTTATGACTACAACTTCGCCCCAATGGCTCAAACCCTGAAAAACGATCTAGCTCGATGGGCGGGCCTGTGCATTACATGGTTTGGGAGGTTAAACGCAATTAAAATGAATCTCCTCCCCCGCCTCCTATATCTGTTCCAAACCATCCCGATCAACCTCCCGACATCCTTTTTCCACGAAATTGACAAGACAATTTCTAGGTTCGTTTGGCAAGCTAAAGCTCCAAGGCTGAGCAAAGTACACCTTCGCAGACCAAAAGCACAAGGCGGGGTGGGGCTCCCACACATACGGGATTACCATAGAGCTACACATCTGCACCGTATTGTCGACTGGCATACCCCCAGAGATGGGAAGTCATGGATAACCATGGAGACTACACAAATGGAGGGTTCGCTCCCGGCTGTGGTATGGTTAGATAACCAACACGGAGTTCAGCGAGCCAGGAACCATCCGCTCATCGGTGCAACGTTGAAGGTTTGGTACTCTGTGCGGACTAAGCTCTCACTAACCACCACACCAGGACCACTGACACGGATAACACACAACCCCGCTGTGGCCGGGGGCCTCAAGCCCCAAGACATCAGTGCATTTACGGAGGAAAAATGGTCATATATACAACAATGGTGCTCAGCGGACTCGCTGAAACCACTGCCAGAACTCATACGAGAAGGAGCCCCACGAGGCATAGACAGATTCAGATACTTCCAGATTAAGTCATACTATCAATCGCATGCGGGACGCCGCCTGTTCCACAGGACTATGACTGAGTTTGAGAAAACATGCACAGCCGGGAGACCGCTACACCGAGGAGTATCTACCATGTACGCTCTGCTACAAACCTCTACCCAACATACACCCCTGAAACACCTGGCGAGATGGGAGGAGGCCACGGGTACGGTACTCACCGACCCCCAATGGGACAAGATCCACATACTGACACATCAGGGCACATTGAGTTCTAAACACCAAGAACTGAACTACAAACTGCTAACGGGATGGTATAGAACGCCAGAGCGCCTACATCGAATGCTACCGGAAATCCCGGACTTATGCTGGAGATGTGAGTCAGAGACCGGCTCGGACCTCCATATTTGGTGGTCCTGCGGACACATCGCCCCATTCTGGAAACAAATTCATACGCAGATAAAAAACATTGCGGACCCGGACCTCCCTTTCCAGCCAATGCAAATGCTCCTCCATCACACTGATATGCCTCTCTCGAGATATAAAAAATCACTCACGAAACAACTCCTCAATGCAGCTAAATTGCTTATCCCGATCCGCTGGCGGACCACGCAAATCCCCACGCTGCAACAATGGATGGAGAAAGTAGAGGAGATCCATGGCATGGAACAGCTTACAGCCTCACTGCGGGGAACAACGGAACGCTATCTACAGACCTGGACTCCCTGGCTCGAATTTATCTCGGGCAGAACGGCGTAGACACCAGGAATATGGGGCTTCTACATGACCCCCACAGGAACCACAAGTAAATACATATAGTGACGTGGCAGCGACCCCCAAAGGAACGGCGGACACACTCTTGGCAGAGGAGACTCTGAGGAGGACGGGTTGTGCCGACACAGCGAGCACGACACTAAGGAGGTCTCTCTTCACCCCCCCCTACCCTTTAACCCTCTCCCACTTTCCCAACCCATGCTCTCTCTCACACTCGGGCCACACAGGGAACGGATACAAGCACACGCTCGCCCCCCCATCTTTCCTCTGTCCCCTACACACACAAATACACATTTATCTAGACACAAACCATCCGGGAAGCAACTCCCGACAGATCATTAGAAGACGAATCAGGGAGGGAGCGAGACGGGGGTAAAATCCTAGTCAGACAAGCAGAGGCAACAGAGCTGCGATAAAGAGGCATAATGGACCACAGGACACTGTGACCCAGCTATCTAAACACTGACGTACCAGACCTGGGAAAGGCGGCCACCTAACGCACCTCAAAGGCCCAGACTAAGTGAGCGGAAAACTTTGCTGTTCCAGATCCCCATAAAACACGACGTAGAACACGCACAAACAGAGATGGGGGACTTCTCACGAGGACCCCAACCTTGGGGTAACCACTGGCTACTGCCCTAACAGATTCGAACACATAGGTAGAGACCTACCGACCCCTACCCGCTTCATGACGCGTAGTTAGACAAGAAGCAAGGACAAACAGCTGAAAGCTGAATAACATGTGAGACAGGGGGGTTAGGATGGGGAAGTGTAAACAGAAAAGGGTGGACAGCCCACACTAGCCTTCAGCACTAAGGTGCAAGCGTAGTGAGACAAACGAGGGTGACCGCGGAGATGACCCTGGTTCACCTGTCCTTCCAAGGTACAGATATTCCTACATGAATGCATAATAAAAAGGACTTGTTCACATGTTTTACTGTTGAACCGCATTGCCTGTCTAGTGCAGACTGTTATGTTTATCGAGACAACCTCGAATACTTTAACTTCCTGTTTAATTCGCTAACAGCACTGTTGTCGATGTTACCTTTCAAACTGGAAATAAAACAATGATTGACAAAAAAAAGAAAGTACACTGGGGCAGGATAAATCCAAAAATCCTGTATCAGTTGAGAATACCCTAGTGTTTGTGTTAGGCCTGATAACGCTATCGCTGCTTGTTTGAACCTATGTTTGTACTTCGGGAAGATCTACCTGTCAGACAGGTAATGTTTATTATTACTGTTCCTTATACTGATATACTTTTGTGTACCTGACTGTTATATGCTTTCCATTGTTCAAAAGACAAAATTACAAAATAAAGATTGTCAAAAAAAAAAAAAAAAAAGAAAGAAGCTCACCCCAAACAGAATTGAAAAGATGGATTTATGATGCCATTTCTGAAGGCTTTCAATCAACATGCAAACATAGTTGGTATTCTTTTTTAAAAAAAAGCTCGAAGTGGTTTAACGACTTCATATGGGGCTCTAGAGACTGAATTGCATAAATGGGTTATAGAGTGTCGTCAAAATGGATACTGCGTAACACGCATGGGAATTTGCTTACGTGCCCTTCAAATGGCAAGATGACAAATTAAAAGCACCAGGCATTGAAAATTTTGTTGCGTCAGCAGAATGGTGTTCCCGCTTTATGAATTGATTTGCCCTATGTTTGCGGCAAAGAACAAAGATTTCACAGAAGTTGCCAAAAGACCTTGATGAAAAATTTATGTCATTTCATTCATTCATCATAAAACAAAGAAGGATCCATAACTATGACCTGGGAGATATTGGGAATATTTATGAAACACCTATGACCTTTGATCTTCCAAGCAACAGAACTGTGGCAAGTTTGGAAGGCAAATCTATTTTACTCAGAACCACAGGAAATGAAAAACAAACATTTCACAGTCGTTCTGTCATGTTTGGCTAATGAAACTAAGCTACGGCCTGTCATTATTTTTAAAAGAAAGACCTTGCCTAAAAAGGTAAAATTCCCACCACGAATTAGAGTGCGCGCACATGTTAGAGGCTGGATGGATGAAGACGGAACAAAAAAATGGCTGGAAGAAATTTGGAACGGACGACCAGGAGCAGCCTTAAAGAAAAAAAACATCATTGCTAGTTTGGGATATGTTCAGAGCCCACACATCTGATGACATAAAAAAAAAAAGTCTTCTCAAGTTACTTTGGCCGTTATCCCAAGTGGGCTTACATCTGTATTGCAGCTCCTACATGTGTGTTTAAATAAACCTTTCAAAGACTGTGTGCAAAAGAGGTGGCATGAATGGATGTCATCTGGTCACCCCCGACTGACAAAAGTTGAAATCTGATGAAGCCCGACATAGAATTGATAGCAAAATGGGTTTGTGATGCATGGGAAGAGATTCCAGAGGACATGGTGCAACGCGCCTTCAAGAAATGTGGCATTAGTAATGCTATGGATGGCAGAGAAGACAGCGCTTTGTATGAGAACAACAGCAGTGATGGTGATGACTGCGAACTCATTGATGATGACAATGTCTACGCTGATAAGCTCACACCAGCTACAGTTGAAGCTCTGTTTGGATATACAGATGATGAGGAATCCAGTTTTGAAGGATTTTAACTCTTTTAGCTGTTTTAGCTGTTTTAGCTTAGTTGCTGATAGAGCTAAGGTTTTTGTACTGTTAAAGTTATTGTTGATACCATATTGTTTTTGTTGACCCTTTTTTCCCCTTACAGAGCTAGTTTACTGTTTTTCTTTGAAATAAATATTCAAAAACCTTTAACCTACTGATGCCTCAATTAATGTAATTTTATTGGTATCCATTTTTATTTTTGAAATTTACCAGTAGCTGCTGCATTTCCCACCCTAGGCTTATACTCAAGTCAATAATTTTTCCCATTTTTTTGTGGTAAAATTAGATGCCTCGGTTTATATTCGGGTCGGCTTATACTCGAGTATATACAGTATCAATTTTAATCAGAAGTGAAACACTGTGAAACCATTCCAAAAATTGATGCTACTGTGATCCGTTTAGCAAAAAAAAAAAACATCCTTCCCATAGATAGTATAGTGTCCCTTTAAGGCAGAGATAGGTCAAATATGGACCTTAAAGGACCACTATAGTGCCCTGAGGGTGCCCCCACCCTCAGGGTCCCCCTCCCGCCCGGCTCTGGGGAGAGGAAAGGGGTAAAAACTTACCTTTTTCCAGCGCTGGGCGGGGAGCTCTCCTCCTCCGATCCTCCTCCTCTCCGCCCATTCGGCTGAATGCGCACGCGCTGCAAGAGCTGCGCGCGCATTCAGCCGGTCACATAGGAAAGCATTTACAATTTTACAACGGTTGATTTTCACAGTGAGAAGCACGCAAGCGCCTCTAGCGGCTGTCAATGAGACAGCCACTAGAGGCTTTGGAGGAAGGCTTAACCCATTTATAAACATAGCAGTTTCTCTGAAACTGCTATGTTTATAAAAAAAAATGGGTTAACCCTAGCTGGACCAGGTACCCAGACCACTTCATTAAGCTGAAGTGGTCTGGGTGCCTAGAGTGGTCCTTTAAGTGTGTTAAGACTGAGTCCTTTATCCAATCCAGTCTGAAGCAACCCCAAAATATCAAATGTGGAGAGAGATACTGGAGAAATAGGGTTCCTAGTGACCCAATCAATCAGTAAATGCATCCCAAATCTTTTTATAAGACTGGGAGGTGGACTGATTTCTACCCATAAGCATTATAGCTATGACTGCCACTGAAAATACATTGTCTTCTAACTTCCATGCCCTTAGTTGGAATATGTGAGTGTCGGAGTGATAAATTGGCCCTGGTGAAAGAGCTTAGGAATGTTGTGAAACAGAATCAGATCCTCCACTGCCAACTTTAACAGAAAAGGGAACCATGGCGTACCAGAATTTTATGGCATGCAAGAATCCATTCCGGTCATGCAGATCCATGGTGGGTCTTGTGTCTGTATTCCCTTTTGAGGGCAAGAAAATGGCCTGAAGTCTTTCTTCTCTGGGCACCAGGCATATCGCCTTTTGGTCAAATATGAATAAGATGTAGCTCTGCAGGGACTGCCTTCTTTGAATCAAGAATGAGAAATCCTAGAGGAAGGGGAACTTCTTCAAATGTAACAAGCTGAATAAAAAAATAATAATATTTCTGCAGTGCATAAAGATACCTAAAGGTTTGCAATGCTCAGACCGCATAAACCAGCATAACATTTGTGGTGAAACCGGCCTCTCCACGTGTCCTTGGAGGGGGATGCTTGCCCGCCTCTTGCCTTTGGACTATGGACCAGACTTTATGTGAATGTGTTAACCCAGATAGCTATGCCATGGAGCCCATTCGTGTAGTTAAAGACTTCGGCTCCATGGCAATTGAACTGTGTGAATAGGATCTGAGCGCTATTCGGTAGTTTTGTGCGCTCAGATCCCAGCTATCTGGGGATATGTGAAATGTCTGTGTGTTATGTGTAAAAGGTGACTTTATGTATTTTAAAGTGTTTTATGTCTTTTTGCAACCATGTGCTCAATGGAGTCTGCCTCTATCCCTGGATAATTGGATTACTTTCCCCATTGTCTCCAGGATAGAGGGCTCTGTAAAACCTGTTTGAGCCAGATATCCATGTGCCAGCCAGGGCCCAAAAGATACTTTTACTAACTTTTGAACCCCTGGTCGGATTCATGCCATTTTTTAATATGTTGTTCCCCTGAATGGATTGATTGTGAATATGTAATTTTATGTGAATGTGATGTATGGTTTTAGAGTTATGAAAGTTGGGTAGAAAGTATGTTTTAACTGTATATGTAATTGAGTTTCCTCTCAGGATAAGGGGAGGGAATATGTGGGATGTAACTGATATGTGATTGGTTGTTTTATACCTCCCTGTGGGCGGTCCTGTATGTGAAAGGCTGTAATAAAAACCAGGCTGGGTGTGCCAGCACAGAGTTCCTGTTTTAACCCTCAAAGTGAAGTGTCGTCTCATTATTGGGGGAAGGATTTATTGTATGCTGTTCCAGTTTGACTGCTAGGAGAGTAAACCTATTCGTATGGTTCCTATTCAACTGTCTAAAGCATTCATATGCTTGGGAGAATTTATTTGTTTCTCCGGTTTGGTGATTGTGGTGTCTGCCAGAGTGCTTGGAGTCCTCAGGAAGCGCTAGAAGCATCCTTCAACGGAGGTACCCAGTCGGGGTGCCAGGCGATCCGTTACAACATTATACCCAGGTTTACAATTGTGTGGCATTGAGATTAGTGCACCATCTTATGTAAATGCTAACAAATGCAGGCTATGCATTAAAAACGTTAAACATTAACATTAAAAACAAACTAGGCTTGATTGGAAAGGAGTTATTGGGAGATAATGCTATAACACATGAGAAAGGAAAAACCTACTGGTATCTCGGGGAAACCGCAAAATGGGAACAAGATAAGACATTTCCCCAGCCCCAGGCCAGCATCTTCAGGCCACAGACTTGCAAAGTCCTTCCCAGTTTGGAAATCACAGAAGGTTCTGTTGTTATGGAAGGCGATCATTCGCCTGTCGTTATGGTGAATGCTTTGGGTATATGCCCCTTCGGGCCAGGAGGGCCAACATGAATGGTGATGGGTGCTCATGGACCTGCTGAGCCTGAAGAAGGCCCCCCTCCTCCATGTCCCTCACAACTCTGGTCATCTTCCCAAGATAGGAGAGGCTTAGGTTGAGCTTATGCATCCAATGCTGCCCAGAAACCCTCAAATATTGCCTCAAACCTTTTTTGCCTCCAATCTTTAGACTGAACAGTGCTGGATAAATGGCAGGCAAAGGTGTATCTGCCATCTTGCTGCGTTCTGCAAATGGGAGAAGTCAGGTGAGAGTAATGAAGTTACGTAGGTTGATGCAAGTCCAATGGGGACCGGGATAAGGGGTAGCGAGACTGCCGTTCGGTTTGCTAGTACAGCGGTGAGATCTAGAGCCTCTAACCAGGTCCTCCATGAGTAGTTCATAATGTTACATACTGGGCTACCAAGGGTCAATTTCAGGCTTGGTGTCTGCAAGTGCACTCCATTTCCCTGCAAGCAGTCACATCACTGTTGTAGTAGCTTTGTTACCAGGTTTATTTCCCAGAAATTCAATCAAAAGAGCAAGAGCCATCTCTGTGTACATCCACTCGGCTTAGCTATCTGGCTCCGGTCCTTTGCCATTATGACCACTGCTGCATCTGCTTTTGGGGCATTATCCCATGACTCATAATTTGACTTCTTGAATGAATACAGTCTCAGAATTTTTCCTTGCGCGGACTGTCTTTTCTCTGTCTTCTGCCATTCCTCCATAATGACTTTGTTTTATGAAGAGGGAAGACTGTAGATCTCTTTTTCAAATTCACAAAGTGCTTACGTGTTCCTGGTTGTTCCTCTTGGAGTTCTTGCAAACCCAAAGTGGATATGACTAAATAAATTAAGGAATCAACGGTTTTGTTATCAAGGTCAGATTGTAACAAATTTTCATTTGTAGAAGATAGATCATCTCTGAACACAGCCCCTTCCCAATCTGAAGCTTCTGACTCTTCCCGATCTGGGTCAAGTAATCTGGGAGGGTTTTTTAGATTAAATCATGGATGGTTATTCTTTACCTTTCTTTTATAAAAGAAATTGCATCTTAGCATGGGGCAGAAGTTCCTGCTGGTGCTCGAATGCATGATGTGCCAAGCTTTTTTCCTTCTAGCCAGTGGTGGAAGCAGCTGCGACCGGGCCCATCATTCCATGGGGTCTGTATAGGATCAGGATGTTTAGATAATCCCTCTGTAATTTGAGTAATGGGGAAAGTTTATCATACTCTCACTGTTAAAATAATTAATTCAAGTACTTGATTTCAACTATTAATCAAATATTAGCTGTTAAGCGTTTTGTGACTTCATCTATTTAGGAGGTTTAAAATAGCTTTTGTTCAGACTTCTATTAAACATGGGGCCAATGTTGGAACTACCATGGTCATGGTGAGTTTCAAATCAGAGTGTGTGTCAATGAGTGTATGATAGTGTATGTATCAGAGAGAGCATATAAGGGACCCTGCGATTCCTAGTTACGCTCCTGTTTCCAGCACAAACTCCTCACAGGCATTACATCTAGTGAGATGCATAGACCAGTCTGTAGGATATGCTATAAATTAGCAGCTTCCCATAATTTCCTCTTAACTTGAAACTTAAAAACCAACAAGGCAGCTTATTTATGAGGGAGACCTATTACTTGACCTTTGAGGGGAAGACATGGTCAGCTGCAAAAAACAAGGCTGTGCAAATTCATGAAAAACTAACTAAAAAAGCAACCAAGAAGTGGAGAACAAAAAATAAAAATAAAAAGTGTATTTTCCAAAATGATGACATTAGGGGGATAATATCCAATATGTTCTAGAGAATGATCTGCTGCAAGTTGTGGGTTGTAAGACAGCTGGTGGGTGAGTAGTTTGATGTTTGCATGCAGACTCTAGCATTTAGTTAGAAATTGAGCAGTACGTTTTCAATCTGTACATCTTGTCCTACTACTGGCCTCTGAAAGGCATATTGTGTCCCATTACCTAATATGTTTCATTGGAAGCATGCAAGACCTTGAGAAGAGGTTTCAGCTCTTGGGTCATCTCTCTATACACACATTTCCTCAAAGGATGGTAGGGAAACAGGGTTGATAAAGTTGAAAGAAGGTCAATAGGGAAGCTATCTTTAGTTGGGTGTTCTTCAAATGGTTTAGAAAGATCAGGTCAGGGGAAAAAACAATGTTGATCCATAGGTAACAAAGTTAATGTGGTAATCAGAGGAAGTGAGGACAAACTGAAAGCATTAAATGCTGAATGACCTATGGACCGGTGGACAAGAATGATTGAATAGGAGGTTAGAGTACACAGGGAAGGAAATAGAATAAAAGTAAGAGCTGCACCTGTGATTTAGAGAATGTTGAAATACGTTTCAATAAGCATTGTTAAGAAGGAGCACAATACAATGTAATGATTATACCATGTCTTCAACACCTGTTGGTATTCCCCCTTCCCCATTTCTCTTCTGTACCCCACGGATAACTGCGAAAAAAACAATAAAAATTGTCAATTGAAATACGTTTCAATGAAATAATTGTCACCAATGAACTGTGAATATCACATAGTCATGCCTGTAACAACTTGTACATTGCAACAATTTGAGAGAAATTTGAATCCAGTTCACAGGTACTGTAGACATTTGGTTTTGTGAGTACTCCCTCTGATCACAGAGTCCAAATTAACAGTATGGCTTTCCCCGCTTCAATAGATATATTTTAAGAACAGGGTACATAAGTGTATAGGCAAGATCTAGAAGACAATATAAGCACAGCAATATAATAATTTGAAAAACTGAAATACATGAACAAATTAAAAGCAAGTCCGTCCGCTAGCAGCTTCACGGGGCCAGATAAACATAATGGGCTACTAATGGAGCTGAAGTTCCAGGTCTATGCCCATTGAAAATAAATTCTCCCCCCATTATTCTTCACAAGCTCTTAATGTTGTGGAAAGGGAATTTATATCTGCATGCTGTGTAGAATAACTGTGGGTACAGGGGAAGGTAGAGGAAAGGGATATTACATCCTTTATATTCTGCCTACAGTCTAATTTCTAAAATAAATGTAAAAAAATAATAAAGAAAAGTGTGTAAGGCGCTTCTAAAATTAATTTAAATAGTGCTTAATAAAGTGTAAAACTGATATAAATAAGTGCTTCCCAACACACAAGATATAAAAAAGCAAAGAATAATAAATATACCAGCTAAATAACCCTTAGTGCATAAGTGCAAGATATAAATACAAACATTTCCTTCATCAGAAAAATACTGCATTGGAACCATCAGTAGCCTCCATAAGAACAAATAACGCTATTCAAGGTATCCAATTGGGTCAAGTAAAAATAAATTTAAATCTTTTTGCAGATGACATCCTTTTAGCTATAACAAAGCCAGAAATATGGTTACCAGAATTTCATTCTGTTTTACAAAGTTATAGTAATTGTTCTTTTTACAAATTAAATCTTACTAAAACACAGGCCATGATGGGGGTGAGGATGGAATATGACTGTATGACTTGGTTAAAAAGTCAATATGCATATGGTTGGAGAACCGATCATCTGACCTTTTTGGGAGTACGGTTACCTTACCAGATATCACGACAGTATCAGGTAAATTATGTAAAGCTCCGTAAAGAAATTATTAATATATTACATAATTGGCAAAATAAATTTGTATCTTGGTCTGGCCGTATAGCCACAGTTAAAATGATTACAGTATATAACCCAAAATGCTATATTTATTTAGAACAGTCCCTATTAGAGTCCCAATTTCTTATTTTCATTTAATTCAACAAAACATAAATGCTTGTGCTTGGCAAGGTAAAAAACCTAGGATTGCATTGACCACATTATATATATCTTTTCAAAAAGGAGGTATGAAGGTTCCAAACATACGGTTGTATTATTAAGTGGCTATTTTAAATAGCCTAGTATCAGCCCATCAACAACAAAACTTACCATTTGATGTCTTCTTTTTTCAGCCCCAAAAAAGGGCAAGTAAAAAATCCATAATAACCGACCAAAAAAAAAAACGAGCGCAAAAAAAAAAAAAAATCCATTTTCACCCATGGAGGGCTCCGAGCAGACTTAGCTCTGCCCCGCCCTGCAATTATGCTCAGAGCACTCTGATTGGTGGGTTTAAGCCATCCAATCAGAGTGCTCTGACAAGTAAATGAAGAGACTGACAGGTAAGCCTTCCCCCGCCCTGCAGAGCTCAGTCTGCGCGGAGCCCTCCATGGGTGAAGATAGATTTTATTTTTTTTAAGGTGCGTTGGTTATTATGGATTTTTATTTGGCCTTTTTTGGGGCTGAAAAAAGAAGAGTTTAGAAGAAAGAAGACATCAAATGGTAAGTTTATTTTTATTTTTTTACAGGTATTTAGATAAGGGTCCCCCCTCATTATTTCTAAGATGAGGGGGGTAGGTAGGGGTTATTTTTTTGGGAAGGGTGTGACTAGGCGTTTGGGGGGGGGGGTTAAATTTTTATTTAGGGCCGCCACTCAGGGGTGGGGGCCGGGGGGAGGGCAATAGGTTCCCCCTTATTCTTCTTTAGGGCCCCCACCAGCCACTCAGGGGTGGGGGCCCGGGGACTCTTTATAAATTATTGTCCTCCCCCCTGCCCCCACCCCTGAGCGGTGGGTGGGGGCCCTAAATTAGAATAAGGGCACCCCCAATTTAGGGGGGGTAGGGGCCCTAAATTGGAATAATGTCCTCCTCCCTGGCCCTGCTCAGGTGTGGGGGCCGGGGGAGCAATAGGTCCCCCATTCAGGTTAGAAGCCCCCCTCACACAGCACGGGTGGGGGCCAGAGGGGAGGACATTAGGTCACCACCTTATTATTATTTAGGGCCCCCACCCACCACTCAGGGGTGGGGGCCAGGGAGGAGGACATTAGGTTCCCCCCTTATTCCAATTTAGGGCCCCTACCCGCCCTAAATTGGGGGGGCCCTTATTCTAATTTAGGGCCCCCACCCACAGCTCAGGGGTGGGGGCAGGGGGGAGGACAATAGGTCCCCCTTTATTGATATTTAGGGCCCCCACCCGCCGCTCAGGGGTGGGGGCCGGGGGGAGGGCAATAGGTTCCCCCTTATTCTTCTTTAGGGCCCCCACCAGCCACTCAGGGGTGGGGGCCGGGGGGACAATAGGTCCCCCCATTATTTTGCTTTAGGGCCCCCATCCGCTGCTCAGGGGTGGGGGCCGGGGGGGAAGACAATAGGTCCCCCCCTTATTCTTCTTTAGGGCCCCCACAGGGTTTTATGGTTGTGGACACTGTGGTGCGTGCAAGAACTCAAAAAGTAAGAAGAGACTAGTAAAAGAATTCTCACACCCTCAAAATAAAAAAGTCATGTTTAAGATCAACGAGCTAATTACTTGTCAGTCCACGAGAGTTATTTATCTCTTGATATGCCCATGTGGACTTGTATATGTAGGGCGCACCAAAAGAAAGTTGCACATTAGAGTACAGGAACACATTAGGAACATTAGGAACAACTATGAAAAGCACAGTGTCTCCTTACATTTTAAAAATAAACATAATAGCGATCCCACCCAGTTAGAATTCCATGCAATTCAGAGGGTATCACCCGATTGGAGAGGGGGAGATTTTATTAAAAAATTAGGCCAAAGGGAGATGCAATGGATTTTTAACCTGAATACCATGCAGCCTAATGGTCTCAATGATGATTTTGAGTTATGCCATTTTTTAACTTAAATTATTTTTTTATTAGTATGTTTCATACATTTTAAATATTTGCTCTATGGCCATACCAGTCTGAAAATGCCTGATCTCGTCAGATCTCAGAAGCTATCCAGGCTTAGGCCTGGTTAGTACTTGTATGGGAGACCAGCTAGGAACCTACTATATATTTATATGTTTTTTATATATATATTTTAATATTGATATCATCATTGAAGATAAGCTGCTGACACAATTGAGACCTATTCAATAATAATCAGCATTTCTCCTAAAAGAGCACACTCCTATTCACCACCTATCTTTATGCATGTACTGTCACTTTGAATGAAAAACATTAGATGTTTTTATTTTTTTTGATATGTAAATTTTATGAATTAACTTGTAAGCAATATACAATAATACTATCCCCCTTTCTCCCTTCATTTTTTCGTTTATATATCGCTCAAATTGAGCACCTGGCTTGTAAATAGGAACGGACTTGGTTGAAGGAAGGGCATTTTGCCCAACTTAAAAATGGACGATATGGAACTGTGAGCCCTACATTGAAAACACGCCCAATTTGTGATGCGGCACGTGATGCTTCGGGTCACATGACTTGTTCCGAGACCGGAGCATACTCATTACTAACACAGCACAGCTGTTCATGAAAAAGGACGCCAGCGGATTGGAGGGAGGGAAGTTTGAAGGACCACACAGGAGGAAGTACAAAGTATTTAAACAAGTAACAGCAGCAACTATATTACCGATTGAAAAAGCTGTCTGGGTACAGTGAAACATGTTTCGGCTGGAGGATTGAAGATTCCACATTTTATAATTTCTCACAATTTTGTTTATATTTTACTTGTAAGTTTTTACTACTTTATTTAATAAATTTTGTTTTATATTTGGAATCCACCCTCCATTGTTGCTGCTTAAAGAAGGGTAGTTGCCCCCTTAAAGGCACAGACACCTACACACCAGGAGCCAGGTATAGGGCTCCACATCAGGTGAGAAGCCATTTTTTCTGCACTATTTGACATTGTACATTGGGATTGACCGCACTAGGGGTTCTCCTCTTCCCCTTGTTCTCTCTCTCTCTCATGTATGCATAAGGATCTCCAGACGCCTAGAGGACCGATTGGGTACTGTGTCACCATAAGCACACGCAGGCCATTGAGATCTGAGCCTATCCTATAGGGCTCTGCTACATGTGAGTGAGACCATATAGAATATTCCCTCACTGCACTTATTGAAAACGTTATCTGCACTATTTCTTGCATTTACATTTGTTTCAGATATATCGCTATGAGTCACGTTTTCCATACATATGTATGTTAACCCACATGGGTGAGTCAACAAATTTGTAAGCGCTCCATATGCACACCAGTGGTGGTTTTTATCATTAATTTCCAATACTGAGTGTACACCTAATCTTTTTTCCACCAATCAGAGTGCTCTGAGCCTAATTGCAGGAAGATGTTTTTTTTTTTTTTTTTAAAGTGCGTCGGTTATTATGGATTTTTTATTTGGCCTTTTTTGGGGCTGAAAATAGAAGATTTTAGAAGAAGGAAAACATTGAATGGTTATTATTTTTAGGGTGAGGGGGGTAGGTAGGGGGTTATTTTTTTGGAGGGGTGACTAAGGGTTTAGGGACCCCTAGTCACCTGGGGGGGGTAACATTTTTATTTAGGGCCCCCACCCGCCGCTCAGGGGTGGGGGTCAGTGGGGAGTACATTAGGTCCCACCCTTATTAGTATTTAGGGCCCCCAACCGCCGCTCAGGGGTGGGGGCCAGGGGGGAGGACATTAGGTCCCCACC